GTTACCTACCATAAAAACTGCAAAGAGTAAGATATGCGACATACAAAGAAGGGGTTTAAGGGGGAAAATATTACTAAGATTTACAATGTAATGCTGAAATATGATACAAATTGCAGAATTATATTTAATCATAATTGTTTATTTAGAATTTATTTTGGTATAGAAAATCACATATTGCAAACATAGAAATCTCTTCCGTTTTATTTTCGCCTCTTTCGCCCAAACATCATTTGGGCGAAATCAAAGAATACTGTATATTATTTCGAAAAAAAGCATTTTCATTGGCCACATTGTTTACATGTGTGAAAGGGTAAAAATAACACAGGACAAAAATAACCCTGTATATAGTATTAATAAAAATTTTATGGAGAGAAGGGTTATTAAAATAGTTTCAATGCAACTAAAAGTATAGGAACTGAAATTTGTATTGATCAATACATTTCAGCAAGAGACATACTAAAGATGTACGAATTGATCACATAACGGCCGCTCATCTGATTGATTACGATGCTGAACGTGATGTTCTACCTGTTATACTGTCGAACTGCAACATCGAATTGGGACATGGAAACAATGTGGAATATAACTTCCATAATATGGAGCGGCAAATTATTGATAGATTTTTGTTTTCAAAGTCTCAAATAGAAATCAAAATAGAAATGGTAAGAATTAACATAAGTAATTAACATGCATGTTTTACTGTTTCAAACATGTTAATACAATACCTAAAAATAATGTTTTGTTGAAATTTGGCAAACAGTAAATACATGTAAGTTGTTATCATTTTTGTTGGCAAGGACGGTACCCATTTTTTGATGCCCATTATCTAAGTTTTATCATTGAAATCCACCTGTGCATTCGTCTATAAACAGGCATTATCCTGCCTCTGATAAAAGTCATGAAATTTCATTGGTCGAGAGCAGTACTGCATGAAACGATGTCATGCTGTCTACCCACCTCACATTGCTAATTGTGCCCCCTCCACGTGACCTACCCACCATATATTAAAAATTTACCAACCACACATCATCAATATACTGCTTTCACGTGACCCGCACGGAGCCTCATATCTGACGTCACAATGCGTCTGACGACAACGTACAATGGATGTATAGAACGTCTTGCTTGGACGTTCAGTGAAAGCGGTTTATTGATACTATCAATATCTAATGTTTTAGTGATTCATTGGCAGGATAAATTTGTTATGTAGACACTTAGAGGGGTAATACGGAAATATGTTGGGTCCTTGAAAAAATTCAGATTAGGCTCGGCTTACGCCTCGCCCAATATGGATTTCAAGGACCCAACATATTTCCGTATTACCCCTCTAAGTGGCTACAAAACTAATATAGGTTGCTGTAAATGTCACATATTTCAGTGAATATTTTTTTTTTATTTTTAACAAGTTTTACAGCAGTTTTAATAAAGCTTTTATCTTCACTCTAGTTTACGGACTCTTTACCATTCATTTATAATGCAGTGTCTCGAATAGCCCTTGTTTCCCAGCTTATCACGGAAAAACGATGTGATGATAAGTTGTTATATAAACTGTTATAAATTCATTACAGCACTCGCATTAAAAAAAGGATTTCATTTACATGCAAAATCAAAATCAAATGCAAATGAAATGCCTTTATATCGTCAAATCTGGCGCTGAAATAGCTAGCCAGCGTAGGAAAATATATCTGTTTGAAAAGGGACACCTAATAATATTTAAGGATGTTTGATTGTCTTTAATACATATAGCAAATTTGATAGACATCATATCGGGAGTAGTTTATACTATTTTAATAAACATTTTACAGTAAAAAAGCTTGATACTAAAAGGTCACCCTAAATTTTAAAAATGAATGAAAACGACAGCGTGTATGAAAGTCTTAACAATTATTTTAAAATATCAGTAATTGTAATTATCCACAATTGTTTGATATTCAAATAGATAATGGAACACGAATCTATTGCTGAAAACCCTCAAAACAAAATTTACCATAAGTTGTACTCGATAAAAGCAGCGAAGGTCTGACAAGAGCAAAGATATGCAAGAGCAAAAAGACGGATTTATATGCAATTTTCTTAAATATTAGTGGTATTGTTGTTCAAATTCGTAATCGGGGAGACAGTTTAATTTCTGGAGGAGTCTAGAAAGCAATTTTCTGCAAAAAAAACCGAAAGGTTTGAGGCAAGACCCAGAATCAGGAACTCACTTCATTAAATTTCTTCATGACAGCGTCAAAACCCGCATGTCCTGAAGAGTAAAGGGGTTTTGGGGATACACAGAAAGTTGTGTTTTTTCACATTAACAATATTCGCCAGATTTTTGACCTTTTGACTTGTTTATATTTCTTTTCAATGATTTAGTCTTCATGATTTTACTTATTAATCTCTTTTAAGTAAAATGCATGTCCGTAACATTTTTCATACAATTTCTGATTGTTTTTAGAACTCGTATTTGGGTATGAGCCTTAGTATACTAGAAAATGGCAGATCCAATGATTTCCCGGACTTTATTCTTCCTCCTGAAAGGTGTTTTTTTTTCAAGTTTGGAAATAGAGACAAGTCAAAAGGTCAAAGATCTGGCGAATATTGTTAATGTGAAAAAACATTCCCGAAAACCCCTTTACTCTTCAGGGCATGCGTGTTTAGACGCTGTCATGAAGAAATGTAATGTAGTGGATTCCAGATTCTGGGAATTTCCTCTAATAAAACCTCTTGATTTATTTGCAAAAAAAAATTACTTTCTAGATTCCTCAAGAAAATAAACTGTCTCTCCGAATACGAATTTGAACAACAACACAACTTATTCTAAAAAAAATACATATCTCTGTCCTTATGCTCATGTTTCAATATCTGTTTGAAACTAAAACAAACGACGATAACTACAATTACTGATGTTTTAAAATAATTGTTATGACTTTCGTATACGCCGTCGTTTTCACTCATTTTTCAAAATATAGGGTGACTTTTGAGTATCAAGCTTTTTTACCGTTAAACTTTTCTTAAAAACAGTGTAAACTCCTGATATGATGTCTATCAAACTTGTTATGTATCTTAAAGTCAATCATACATCATCAAATATTATTTGTTGAAATCTGGCGAACAGAACGTAAGTTGTTATAATTTTTGTTGGCAAGAACGGTACACATTTTTTTATGTCTATTATATATTGTTTTTATTATTGAAATCCACCTGCTATTTTGTCTATATAACAGGCATTGGTTGCTGTAAATATAACATATCTCAGGAAATATTTCTTTAGGATATTTAACTAGTTTTATAGCAGCTTGAAAGAAGCTTTTATTTTCACTCTAGTTTACCGATTCTTTACCATTCATTTATAATGCAGTGTCTCGAAAAACCCTTAATTCCAAACTTCTCGCTATGAAACTACTTGATAAAAAATGGTCACATAAACTGTTATAAATTTATGAAAGATTCAATAATGAGAGAGAGTCAAGTTTAATGTCATATGATATCTGTAAATTATGTCATATAGTTCAGGACATTATTTGTTGAACAACCCTCGTATATATATTCATCCTGTCTGAGTCATCAATTTATCCAAAAAAGTACAAAATCATAAACATATTATCTCAGTTACGTATTTTTAAAACTGCTTTCATATTTGTTTAATTTATAGACTTAAAAATTAATGATATTTTACAGATTCCAGTGGTTACTTTCCGTTCATATTTGTTTAATTTAAAGACTTAAAAATTAATGAGTTTAAATATTTTACAGATTCCAGTGGTTACTTTCCGTTCTGAATCAACAAACTGTGTTGTATTGCAAAACTTACGATCATCGGTAAATCAGGTAAGAAATATTTCTATTCTGTTTCTTTTATACTTGCAGAATTCCATGACATTTAATCAAAACCGTATTTTTTTTTCAATTCTGATTTAATAGGAGGCATTGCCACCTTCTTTTGCCAAAACAGTATGTGATGAAATTCGAACTTATCCTGAAGTTTGCGAGTCTCTGAACAGACTAGATATAGCAATTTTTTTCTTAACATCGCTTAAGGGAGAAAAAGATATATATCTTGAATATTTTATGGTAAACATCTTGAAAATGGATTCAACTATACCAAGTCAACAAGTAAGTAATTTTATCTGAAAACGCCTTTCATTACATTTTCATAAGAGGACGATTATTCTGTACATGTAAATGAAAACTAAAAAAGAAACATGTTTAAATGGAAAATCCTTCCAAAGTTTAAAAGGAAGAGTTGCTGTTTTAATTTAATTTACATGAAGAATAGAGACTTATGGAACTTATGATATGGAAAAATCGTCTCCTGCGTTATTTAAACAATAAAATGCTTTCTTTGTTTGTTGTTACTGGAATGAACGGAAGCAGCTGTTGCAATAGCTGCGACCGTTCATTCCAGTAACAACAACAAAGAAAGACATTTCATTGTTTATATTTATATCTGTTTAAATTATCATTTTCAGTAGGATTAAAAATATTAATTATTGTGTTAATGATGCGAACGTCTTTGTACGTTTCATTGATGGAACGGCCACTAATCAAGAAATCTGTACAGGTGATATGCCTAATGTAGTTTATGCAGGGATTAACGCAATGGGTTTTCTTAAGAAATTCAGTGGATGTAAATATTAAATATAACATCATGACCATGTCTTCGCTAGTAAAGAATAGCCAAATACATTATAAACTCTAAATTCAACCTTGAATTATGATATACAGTAATTATCTTTTACATAACTTTCGAACATGTAACTGTTTTAATTACAATGTACATGTGGTATATTAATCGACCTTTCAGTGCTTTAGGAAACCAAAGTTAGAAAAAATATCATTCTTTGCGATAACTTATAAATTATACTTTTTTGATAACAAAGACATTGATAAAAGAATTCTCAGTTGATGTGTTGCTTTTCAATATTATTTCTAAAAATGTGTTTTGAAATAGAAAAGCAGTTTCCTTTGTACATTAATTAAATTTGATTTTGGTGTCATACAGGTAAAGAGCAGGTGCCAGTGCAAACATGTGCAGTTTTTATGGCTAACTCTCGCCATGCAAAAAACTAAATTTGAAATGACCAGCAATCAGGTAAATTCTTTAAAATTTTTAATTCCATAATGAAAAATTCAGAAAATGTTTGTAATATAAGAAGTAAAGATCCCCCCAATAACTAAAATCAGATGTTGTACATAATTAAATAATTAATCCCGATATTTTTACATTTCCAATGCCTTTGTTCGAGATAAAATTGCAAAATATTCATGTACTTTATTTCTCAATCAATGTACTGGTTCATCAATACGCGCGCTTAAACAAAATCCCGTGCAGGCGGGACAAATAGAGACAAGAAGTGGGGCTTCTAGCACGTGGATTGACGGAATTAATGCCATGTAAATATAAGGAATAACTGTCAGATTTTTCAATTTCATGACGATGATCAATCTATTGGCTAGCGTGATAATTTGGCGTTTTGCAAATTATCACACATACCAATCGGTTGATCGCAGAACGAAATAGAAAAATAAGACAGTTCTTCCTTAAATCCGTATCAAAGCTCCCTATGTAATCTCATTATTTCATTTATCGCAGTACTGTAAGACACAGGTAAAATATTTTTGCCGAGAGATGCATCTCCATATATCTCATCAATTTAAATAGCTTCAAAAAAGGTTTCCTCTAAGAAATGAATGATATAAGATGAAAGAAATTAATAATGTTTAAGGTCAGACAACACCTTTCTTAAAAATATATAATTTTTCTTAAGAATTTGCCATTGAAATATTGGTACTTAAACAAGTTTCCTCACAAAAAATCAGTGTACCTTACCAGGCATCTGGACAAGATGTTGATATTTCTTATATAACCCTTATGGGTAATCTTCTGAATGGTTTATATCACAATTGTTGGTGTGCTTATATTTCAAAACTATGAATAATTTTTAATATAACACAAAAATACAAATAATATTTGATGAACGTGTTATCTGACCCCTATGTGCAAATGACTTTTGAATATCTAATTGAAATTTGCCAAATCATCTTCTACCGAGACATGTTGTATTACATGATTCAAGTCATCAACTTCAATTTTACTTGAAATGATTGTCGTTGAATAGTATTTGTTTAGTACGTATGCTAATGTACTTGTTTAATTTTTCAAAAGTACCCCGCCCCCTTGAAACAATCCCACCTTTTTTTACATGGACACAAAACATGGATTTGGTTGAAGTAGAATTTAATTAATACTGTTTTTTTCATTAGTGAAAAAAATGAGTGGGGTTTAATACATGGAATTCATAAATACGAGTTATGATAAAATCTTGAACAAAGTGTTTTATTCGAAATCTTTTCTAAACGTTGTTACGTTTGACAACGTTACGGCGCACCGGAGAGCAGTTAAGTTTCACCAAAAATTTTTTAAATATTTTTTCACAATTATGACAAGGAGCGCACGGCGGGTGTGAATGGTTGACAGGGGATACTCACTCCTCTATGGCACTTAATGCAACGACTGATGTATTGGAGGTCCGTGTTTGAACTGCTCCATTTTTGTTTTATGGACATTTGATATATAGCTTGTTATGCCCATTTGTTTCATTTAATGCGTATGTATCCTTATATTTTAGCATAATAATTGTTAGATATACTTTAATAGGAGATTTTTCATGGAATCGACCAAATGTTTAAAAAGGAATTAAGCGATGATCAAGCTCAAGGTATCAGGGAGAATGCAGCACATGTGCCACCAGAACATTTGGACATTTTCCTTGAAATCCTTTTCGAATGCATAATGTTGAACATCACCAAACCAGAAGAAAATGAAGAGGACAACAGGCTACACACAAGGTAGTTCAGAGTCTTTTTTTATATAAAACCTTTATTTTATAGAATCACAAAAAATAATTTCCTTGAGATCGATCAATTTACATTAATGTGACAACTTTTAACATGTATTAGAGAAAAACGTATAAGTTCATTTTCTTCCAAAGAATTGCTTTTTTTCCCTACAGTTTACACGACACAATGTTCGGCTACATCGACGCAAGAGCCTACGATGTCGAAGAAGAATTTCCAGATTGGGCAGTATCAGTACTGGGAAGAATTATCCAAAATGAAGGAGATTTGAAGATTGAAAATTGTCAAGCCATAAAAACATGGGAGACATTGTATGAGACATCCTGTTTGAGACGGGATAACGTGTGATTATTTGGATATCAAAGATATTTTGATATCAAAGAACCATTAACTCAACACTTTAAAAATTAAATTATTCTAATTTAACATGTATGCGTATTTTAAACCATGTATGGTTTTGGAAAATTGGAACACTGCTGTGTCTTTAAGGCTAAAACCTCATCTATAAATTGTACTTAAATGTATTAAAATTTGAATATTGTTGTTTGAATTTTGTTTTTTAACTAATAATTGTAATGTTTTTAGTACGTGGTACTAATCCTGTGAGTGAATCAGATTTTACATTTGAATCTTTGCTGTGGAATTAATTGTTCTCTAAAGATTTTGTTTTTGATAGTTGACATTTCATAATGCATACTGCTGCTTACTTGTGCTTTAAGATTTTTTTTAGTTGTTTATTAAAAATATTTTCTTTTCCGATTTTAGATTTTCTAATACAATAACATATGTTTTGAGATACTTGTCTATTTTGTTTATACTATGTTTTCCTATTTAACAATGGATACATATAACAAACTTTCTGTTTTTTGTTTTTTACTTTAATTCGAATAATGTCAATGTATTCTATATTTATTTTGTTAATATTATTTTATCTTACGTATGCATATATATCTATTTGAACTAAACTTGGATACATGAACCTGTATAAAATGTATGCATTAAAAGTGACGGCTGTACTACTAGAATTTCAGCCACATCTATTTAAATGATAACGATACATGTAATGCGTGGTTTAGGGTTTGAAGGGTCATTTTTTTACCAAGAAGAAAACTGATATTTAAAAATATTTGTTTTAAATTTATATTCTTAATTTTTATATTAGCCCATAAGCTATTTTTGTATTTTGGAAGATTACTTTCCTTCAGCTTAAAACATGTCCGAAACTAAAGTGAAGGTGCTCATAAAAATAAACCACGAACATATTTTCTCTGCAAGATTTGAAGATTTGCATGATATTATTTTTGTAAAAATAATTGGTTTCTCTGTTTTTATGAGTACCTAGGTATCTAATGGATATATAATCTGCTATTACCATCTTCGCAAATGTAATTCAAAAATTTATTCTAATGATAAAAACATTGACTTAAAACAGTGATGTGTTAGATTTTACCATTGTTGTATATTCTTGTCTCTTAATTGTTCGGTGTTAAACAATCTAGCTGAGGAAAAAGTAATCTTCAATTTACGTGTGTTTGATTTTTATTAATAATATATGTAGTTGTCAATAAATAAAAACGCATATTTTCTTGAGGTTTTACTTTCAAAGAAATGAAGAGCTAGTAGCAAACATTCTTCTAGATAAATCTTAGCTTCATAAATCGAACAAAAGGAGCCAGGTTAAAATGAGCTGAAACTTAAATATATTTAAAATTGAATGGTAATTCCATTGCCATGACAACCATTTTTTACAAACATTTTCCTTCAGATCAGTTTTTGTTGTTATTTAACTAACCTAAATGCAGTCCTTTCCGGTAATAACTATATATTTACATCCACTGAGTATTTTCTTCTTTATATTTTAAGAAAACCCATTGCGTTAATCACTGCATGAACTACATCGCCTGTACAGATTTCTTGATCAGTGGCTGTTCCATCAATGAAACGTATAAAGACTTTCGCATCATTAATACAATAATTGATCTTTTCAATCCTACTTTAAATGATTATTTAAACAAATATAAATATAAACAATACAATGTATTTTTTGTTTGTTATTACTGGAATTAACGGTCGCAGCTATTGCAGAAAAAATTACATAACCTATGTAAAAATTTACGTACATAACCCGCTTTCGCAGGTTATGTCTTTTTTCTGCAACAGCTGCTTCCGTTAATTCCAGTAATAACAAACAAAGAAAGCATTTTTTTGTTTAAGTAAACGTCTTCAAAACACGTTTTCTTTAAACTTAAAAAGATATTTATATTTAAGCAACTATTCACTGAAAAGCAAAGAAATATTACTGGGTAATAGAACTAGAAATATCTGAAATATCGGAAACATTGGAAAATTAATGTGGCAATGGAAACATCCTATTTGTAGTGTAAAACCGTTGTAGTGCATGTAATTCTTCGAAAGAATATGGAATATTTGTAATATGATGAGAACGCATAAGATAATTATACATGTAATACCTTTATTCCTGGTAGCTCAGTATCAGGGACTGGGTAAGGGAATTTCTTTGGAAGCTTCAAATTTTCTCACTCCCCAAATTTGTCACTAAATATTTCAAATAAAACATTATTGATAATCAACCAAGTTAAGCAACCATATTTCAGTATAATGATTGTACTTCAAGTAGATCTAAAGATTGCATTTCAAACAGAAGAATGATCATTAAGTGAATCAAATTTCTGTCATATCACTCAGGGAAATAAAAACTTTATAAATATTTTTCTTATAATAGCACAATGAAGCAGTGATACAACTCCACTAGAGCCGCGCTCGTTGCAAAGCAACGAGTAGGTCTTCCGTTAGAGCTGTGGACAGGAAGTACCGACCCTGGGTCAAGGTCACTGTACATTCTTATGTGAACAACTTTTCTTTTCAGCATGAGCCACCAGTGAATCTTAATTACAAAGTTATGCTTGAAATTTTTTTTTCTCTGTCAGTGACCTTGATTTGCCAGAAAGACCTTTGATCAGGGTCAGGACACAACCTCCAATCATAATCTGCCTTATCTATGTTTCAACTAAGAGCTTTTAATGATTTTCGTTTACTAATTCATAGCGTGGCATGGGAAAGAAATATTTCTTCTGTCACTCAGTGACCTTGATCTTAATGGAATAACCTTGGCTTTGTGTCAAGACAAACCCTCAATCTGAAACAACTTTTAGTGATTAGAAATTCAGAACTCTCACAGGATTTTTACAGCTTTCCTGTCATTGGCTTTGAATTTGTTAAAATGGCCGTATTTTGAGTCATCTGAAACTTGCGGACCATAAGCATTCTTTATCAAGTATGAATTTAAACAAATATAGTCCAGATTGAAATGATACTATTTTCTGAGTCAAATTCGTAGAAAAACCTTTTAGTGACAAGCAATCTCTGTATCAAGTATGACTTACAGATATTCTCGATTACATGCAAATGACTGCGAACCCCACTATGGGACGTTAATGTATAATTTCAGCTTAGAAATTTATTATACATGTATAATAATTTGTTGATTCTAATTTTTTCTATAGCAGATGTTAACTTTGTTCTAAGCTGAAATTATACATTAACTTACGTTTATAAATTGATCAAAACAAAAACCTTACAATTGTAAAGAAATAGTCCGAAGAAAAAATTCTCATTCAATAGACTGATAGTTGTACGTAGTCTATACATTTAACAACCCTCCCGAAATAGTTCAGAGGCGAAATTATTAATCAGATATTGAGCAGAGTGATCTTTTTCGTGCCAGCACCTTAAGCGAAACGAGACCTTGTTTTATACGGTCTCATCCGAAGAACAAGTCTCCACGTCCCATAGTGGGGTTCGAACCCACGACGTTAGGATCATCTCCTTACTTCGCGACTGCGGTATGCGGGCGACCTTGGGGGATATAAAATGAAGATAATGAAGAAACGGTTAGTGAAAATAAGAAATGGTCGTTTTGAAATATTATTCTTAAGAACTTCTGGGCAAGAATAATAAACTCTACTTATGAAAGCTTCCTGATATAAAAAAAGTTTACCTTTTTTCAAATTATGACCAGAATAGGTATTTAAAAATTAACATAGGAAGTTATACATGTACCCCCGCAAAGTGATTGTGTATTTAGGGGTATGGTGGATGAGTTGGGAATTAAATTGTCTGTTTAATTAATTGTCCAGATGTCTGTCCCCAAAAGTTTTCCTTATAAGTAGCTATTAATAGCTACATGTACGTAGGTAGAAATAATCTTTAGACTAGACCTGATCAAGCTTTCAATTTGTTGAAATGGCTATAATAAGCATCGAACCATTTACAAACATCGATACGTTTGTCTCATCAGCTTATTTGTCAGTGGTATGCCTCATTTTAGAAAATATTTGCATGTAGACCATGATTCCGAACAGGTTATCACCATGACGTCACTTTTCATCATAACTGTCCCTGAAACATTAATACTTTAAGAGCTTTGTTTTGAATCAGCATCAATGCAAACTAATTATGTAGGAAAAATAATATTCAGCAAACAGTCTCATAATATTTTACACTTCTATTCACCGAGGCCCCCCAAACGGATGGGCCCTTGGATTTCATGTTCTCTAACAGATGTAATGCATCTTCGTCTACGCTTTCTTCAGTATTCAGGATAATGGAGAAATTATTCTTCACTGTGTTTAGATTTATCTGGACCTTTGCTCCTCCGCTGTAGACGGTTTTATCATTAAGTGCCTGGTATATATAGTTTTTATCAGCGTTCATTGAACCATTATTCTCAGTCTGAGGACTTCCTTTGGTTTTGAAAAGGATTTTGCAAGTATGCTTGTAAACCAAAACTGAGATAATCACTGCAAATATTCCAACCGAAAAGCAAAGCGATAAAATCTGCCAAATGTTCGCTGTATTCTCGTCTTCGTAATTGTTTTCTTGAGATTTCATAGGTAAGTTTCTGGTAATGAAACCTTGAAATTGCTCTGTTCTTGCAAGTCTTGGTGTTTCTAGAAAACAAATATTATACGGTTTAATTTGTAATATAATTGTAAGTACAGTTTGTAACGAGGTGTGTGTAATTTTCTCTTGTATGCAGAAAAAATGAAATGCCCATATTTTAAAGTGATAAATTGAAATTTCATTTAAGAAAAAAAGAGTACGAAAAGTTCACAGTGACTACCTTCCCTAGCTTGTTAATTGATTGCTTAATTAAAATTAGTTTATACCTGTTGTGGTCATTGGACACCCAAAGGAAACATTGCACAAAGTCTTTTCACACATGATACACTGGTGAGCACATCCCTCCCCGTAACGACCAGGACTACAATGTCTGGTACAGTTAGGACCGAAGTATCCAGGAAGACACCCTGAAGATAATAGGAACATATAAGTAATGAGATAACACCGTTTTCTGTGACAAACATAACTGACAAAGTAAGTAGTGCACAATTAATGTTAGATTATGGAAATAAATACAGTAAACTTTACGACATTAACAACAAAATCTTGCTCTAAAAATGTCCCAAAACTTCTATTCTATAAACAGAATTATTTTAACAACTCTTATTTTCAAAACTAAATAAAAATTATGATAAAAACCCTGAAAGATATTCATATATATATATATATATATATATATATATATATATATATATATATATATATATATATATATATATATATATATATATATATATATATATATTTCAGGTTTTTTTTTTATTATAATCTAATATATATCTATATTGATACATGTATACAGATACACTAATTGTTAACCCTACTTATTGTATTGTTATGTAAGAATTAATTTAGAATTATGTCATTTTTAATGATATTTTTTATCAAATGTTGAGGAAATTTATTTTTCAAAAAAAAAAATTGTTTCAAGATCAACACTTATATCTTGTTTATTAATACACATTTCACTTGTTTGTTTTCTAATATGTATTGATTTTATCAGAATTTTGAAATATTTTATCAAAAGTATATAATAGATCGACTAACACCACTTCACTTTATAGGAAAGTGTATTAATATGTTTAATTTATTTTTTTACATTTTGAAGTGTTATTTATCGTGAGGGATATACAATATTAATTTTGACTTTATTATAACAATCTCATTCAGAGAGTGTCCCCCGCTTCGGGTAAAAAGGAGAACATATACGATTTTAGAGGAGGTTTAAAGGGGAATGTACTTTGTTGTTGAAGTGTGGGTCGGATCTGAGGGAGTAATGGTATAAAATGTCATTGCAAAAGCTTCCTAAGATATCGCTCAGAAATAAAAGTTTAAGATACAGTCAGAATGTATGAAATTACGACCTTCAACTATGACCATTTGACCCTAAAAGAAATAGTCTTTTTGAGGCCATAGGGAGTTGTGGTAAAATATTTCACTCCAAACTCCCAAAGCTTTTCGAGATGACATTGACCTTTGACCTTTCATCGCAAAAGCTCAAAGGCTTCTGGAAATATCGCGCAGAAACGAAAGTGTTACAGAAAGACAGACGGACGGACGGACAAACAGACAGACCTAAATTAATATCTCCTTCTTTCAGTGAAAGCGGGGGACAAAACACATAATTATAAAGTAAACAAATGACGCTTTTATCAAAAGAATTTCACATCCTATTTCAATTGCTTTATTTTTTTTTAAATAATTTGATTTCATTTAATATCAATATATGAAAATCAGTTGACATCCCTGCTTATATTTCATCATGAATAATTTGAAGAAATACTGAGTAGGTGCAATCTTTAAAGTTATATAACAATCATAATTTAGTGGAAAATTAATATATTTCTTTGAAGAACGTCTTTTGCGCTTTTGTGTGTGTAACTTAGTATATTATATTGAAATATTCTTTCCACAATACGAAGTATATATGCTTGACTACGGCACCGCTGAAGGGCCAGGTAAATAGGTAAAAAAAATATTTTTATTTGTCCGGACGAATTAGAAATTTGTTCGAACGAATTAGTTACTAGTATTCGTTTGGACGAAGGAGTTATTCATAGAGGTATTAGTATGTCAAATTTTGTTAGAAACATTGGCTTGATATGGATCTTAAAGCAATTGTGACATAACTTTTGGATCAACCCTTTTTAATAAATTATTGCAAAATGCTTTCTTTGGTTGTTAGTACGGGGATTAATGGCGCAGCTGTTGCAGAAAAAATACATAACCCACGGAAGCGGCTTATGTAATTTTTTCTGCAATTTAGCTGCGACTTTAATTTTCCGTACTAACAAACAATAAATGATTTTATTGTTTATATTTACATCTGTATTTAAAATCATTTAAAGTAAAATTGAAATTGTATTAAATATAATTGTTTTTAAGATGAATATGTAACTATCCATAACTTAACAGCCATCGTTCAAGAAATCTACGCAGGTGGCTTGCTTAGTGTCGTTCATGCACTGATTAATAAAAATGGTCTTCATAAGAAAGAAAGGAAAAAATATTCAGTGGATATAAATATATGCAAATAATTTCCACCTAATTCAAGATGTGTTGATGTTCATGTATGTATATATATATATATATATATATATATATATATATATATATATATATATATATATATATATATATATATATATATATATATATATATATATATATATATATATATATATTTCAGGTTTTTTTTTTTATTATAATCTAATATATATCTATATTGATACATGTATACAGATACACTAATTGTTAACCCTACTTATTGTATTGTTATGTAAGAATTAATTTAGAATTATGTCATTTTTAATGATATTTTTTATCAAATGTTGAGGAAATTTATTTTTCAAAAAAAAAAATTGTTTCAAGATCAACACTTATATCTTGTTTATTAATACACATTTCACTTGTTTGTTTTCTAATATGTATTGATTTTATCAGAATTTTGAAATATTTTATCAAAAGTATATAATAGATCGACTAACACCACTTCACTTTATAGGAAAGTGTATTAATATGTTTAATTTATTTTTTTACATTTTGAAGTGTTATTTATCGTGAGGGATATACAATATTAATTTTGACTTTATTATAACAATCTCATTCAGAGAGTGTCCCCCGCTTCGGGTAAAAAGGAGAACATATACGATTTTAGAGGAGGTTTAAAGGGGAATGTACTTTGTTGTTGAAGTGTGGGTCGGATCTGAGGGAGTAATGGTATAAAATGTCATTGCAAAAGCTTCCTAAGATATCGCTCAGAAATAAAAGTTTAAGATACAGTCAGAATGTATGAAATTACGACCTTCAACTATGACCATTTGACCCTAAAAGAAATAGTCTTTTTGAGGCCATAGGGAGTTGTGGTAAAATATTTCACTCCAAACTCCCAAAGCTTTTCGAGATGACATTGACCTTTGACCTTTCATCGCAAAAGCTCAAAGGCTTCTGGAAATATCGCGCAGAAACGAAAGTGTTACAGAAAGACAGACGGACGGACGGACAAACAGACAGACCTAAATTAATATCTCCTTCTTTCAGTGAAAGCGGGGGACAAAACACATAATTATAAAGTAAACAAATGACGCTTTTATCAAAAGAATTTCACATCCTATTTCAATTGCTTTATTTTTTTTTTAAATAATTTGATTTCATTTAATATCAATATATGAAAATCAGTTGACATCCCTGCTTATATTTCATCATGAATAATTTGAAGAAATACTGAGTAGGTGCAATCTTTAAAGTTATATAACAATCATAATTTAGTGGAAAATTAATATATTTCTTTGAAGAACGTCTTTTGCGCTTTTGTGTGTGTAACTTAGTATATTATATTGAAATATTCTTTCCACAATACGAAGTATATATGCTTGACTACGGCACCGCTGAAGGGCCAGGTAAATAGGTAAAAAAAATATTTTTATTTGTCCGGACGAATTAGAAATTTGTTCGAACGAATTAGTTACTAGTATTCGTTTGGACGAAGGAGTTATTCATAGAGGTATTAGTATGTCAAATTTTGTTAGAAACATTGGCTTGATATGGATCTTAAAGCAATTGTGACATAACTTTTGGATCAACCCTTTTTAATAAATTATTGCAAAATGCTTTCTTTGGTTGTTAGTACGGGGATTAATGGCGCAGCTGTTGCAGAAAAAATACATAACCCACGGAAGCGGCTTATGTAATTTTTTCTGCAATTTAGCTGCGACTTTAATTTTCCGTACTAACAAACAATAAATGATTTTATTGTTTATATTTACATCTGTATTTAAAATCATTTAAAGTAAAATTGAAATTGTATTAAATATAATTGTTTTTAAGATGAATATGTAACTATCCATAACTTAACAGCCATCGTTCAAGAAATCTACGCAGGTGGCTTGCTTAGTGTCGTTCATGCACTGATTAATAAAAATGGTCTTCATAAGAAAGAAAGGAAAAAATATTCAGTGGATATAAATATATGCAAATAATTTCCACCTAATTCAAGATGTGTTGATGTTCATGTATGTATATATATATATATATATATATATATATATATATATATATATATATATATATATATATATATATATATATATATATATATATATATATATCTTTCAGGTTTTTTTTTTATTATAATCTAATATATATCTATATTGATACATGTATACAGATACACTAATTGTTAACCCTACTTATTGTATTGTTATGTAAGAATTAATTTAGAATTATGTCATTTTTAATGATATTTTTTATCAAATGTTGAGGAAATTTATTTTTCAAAAAAAAAATTGTTTCAAGATCAACACTTATATCTTGTTTATTAATACACATTTCACTTGTTTGTTTTCTAATATGTATTGATTTTATCAGAATTTTGAAATATTTTATCAAAAGTATATAATAGATCGACTAACACCACTTCACTTTATAGGAAAGTGTATTAATATGTTTAATTTATTTTTTTACATTTTGAAGTGTTATTTATCGTGAGGGATATACAATATTAATTTTGACTTTATTATAACAATCTCATTCAGAGAGTGTCCCCCGCTTCGGGTAAAAAGGAGAACATATACGATTTTAGAGGAGGTTTAAAGGGGAATGTACTTTGTTGTTGAAGTGTGGGTCGGATCTGAGGGAGTAATGGTATAAAATGTCATTGCAAAAGCTTCCTATATCGCTCAGAAATAAAAGTTTAAGATACAGTCAGAATGTATGAAATTACGACCTTCAACTATGACCATTTGACCCTAAAAGAAATAGTCTTTTTGAGGCCATAGGGAGTTGTGGTAAAATATTTCACTCCAAACTCCCAAAGCTTTTCGAGATGACATTGACCTTTGACCTTTCATCGCAAAAGCTCAAAGGCTTCTGGAAATATCGCGCAGAAACGAAAGTGTTACAGAAAGACAGACGGACGGACGGACAAACAGACAGACCTAAATTAATATCTCCTTCTTTCAGTGAAAGCGGGGGACAAAACACATAATTATAAAGTAAACAAATGACGCTTTTATCAAAAGAATTTCACATCCTATTTCAATTGCTTTATTTTTTTTTAAATAATTTGATTTCATTTAATATCAATATATGAAAATCAGTTGACATCCCTGCTTATATTTCATCATGAATAATTTGAAGAAATACTGAGTAGGTGCAATCTTTAAAGTTATATAACAATCATAATTTAGTGGAAAATTAATATATTTCTTTGAAGAACGTCTTTTGCGCTTTTGTGTGTGTAACTTAGTATATTATATTGAAATATTCTTTCCACAATACGAAGTATATATGCTTGACTACGGCACCGCTGAAGGGCCAGGTAAATAGGTAAAAAAAATATTTTTATTTGTCCGGACGAATTAGAAATTTGTTCGAACGAATTAGTTACTAGTATTCGTTTGGACGAAGGAGTTATTCATAGAGGTATTAGTATGTCAAATTTTGTTAGAAACATTGGCTTGATATGGATCTTAAAGCAATTGTGACATAACTTTTGGATCAACCCTTTTTAATAAATTATTGCAAAATGCTTTCTTTGGTTGTTAGTACGGGGATTAATGGCGCAGCTGTTGCAGAAAAAATACATAACCCACGGAAGCGGCTTATGTAATTTTTTCTGCAATTTAGCTGCGACTTTAATTTTCCGTACTAACAAACAATAAATGATTTTATTGTTTATATTTACATCTGTATTTAAAATCATTTAAAGTAAAATTGAAATTGTATTAAATATAATTGTTTTTAAGATGAATATGTAACTATCCATAACTTAACAGCCATCGTTCAAGAAATCTACGCAGGTGGCTTGCTTAGTGTCGTTCATGCACTGATTAATAAAAATGGTCTTCATAAGAAAGAAAGGAAAAAATATTCAGTGGATATAAATATATGCAAATAATTTCCACCTAATTCAAGATGTGTTGATGTTCATGTATGTATATATATATATATATATATATATATATATATATATATATATATATATATATATATATATATATATATATATATATATATATATCTTTCAGGTTTTTTTTTTATTATAATCTAATATATATCTATATTGATACATGTATACAGATACACTAATTGTTAACCCTACTTATTGTATTGTTATGTAAGAATTAATTTAGAATTATGTCATTTTTAATGATATTTTTTATCAAATGTTGAGGAAATTTATTTTTCAAAAAAAAAAAATTGTTTCAAGATCAACACTTATATCTTGTTTATTAATACACATTTCACTTGTTTGTTTTCTAATATGTATTGATTTTATCAGAATTTTGAAATATTTTATCAAAAGTATATAATAGATCGACTAACACCACTTCACTTTATAGGAAAGTGTATTAATATGATTTATTTATTTTTTTACATTTTGAAGTGTTATTTATCGTGAGGGATATACAATATTAATTTTGACTTTATTATAACAATCTCATTCAGAGAGTGTCCCCCGCTTCGGGTAAAAAGGAGAACATATACGATTTTAGAGGAGGTTTAAAGGGGAATGTACTTTGTTGTTGAAGTGTGGGTCGGATCTGAGGGAGTAATGGTATAAAATGTCATTGCAAAAGCTTCCTAAGATATCGCTCAGAAATAAAAGTTTAAGATACAGTCAGAATGTATGAAATTACGACCTTCAACTATGACCATTTGACCCTAAAAGAAATAGTCTTTTTGAGGCCATAGGGAGTTGTGGTAAAATATTTCACTCCAAACTCCCAAAGCTTTTCGAGATGACATTGACCTTTGACCTTTCATCGCAAAAGCTCAAAGGCTTCTGGAAATATCGCGCAGAAACGAAAGTGTTACAGAAAGACAGACGGACGGACGGACAAACAGACAGACCTAAATTAATATCTCCTTCTTTCAGTGAAAGCGGGGGACAAAACACATAATTATAAAGTAAACAAATGACGCTTTTATCAAAAGAATTTCACATCCTATTTCAATTGCTTTATTTTTTTTTAAATAATTTGATTTCATTTAATATCAATATATGAAAATCAGTTGACATCCCTGCTTATATTTCATCATGAATAATTTGAAGAAATACTGAGTAGGTGCAATCTTTAAAGTTATATAACAATCATAATTTAGTGGAAAATTAATATATTTCTTTGAAGAACGTCTTTTGCGCTTTTGTGTGTGTAACTTAGTATATTATATTGAAATATTCTTTCCACAATACGAAGTATATATGCTTGACTACGGCACCGCTGAAGGGCCAGGTAAATAGGTAAAAAAAATATTTTTATTTGTCCGGACGAATTAGAAATTTGTTCGAACGAATTAGTTACTAGTATTCGTTTGGACGAAGGAGTTATTCATAGAGGTATTAGTATGTCAAATTTTGTTAGAAACATTGGCTTGATATGGATCTTAAAGCAATTGTGACATAACTTTTGGATCAACCCTTTTTAATAAATTATTGCAAAATGCTTTCTTTGGTTGTTAGTACGGGGATTAATGGCGCAGCTGTTGCAGAAAAAATACATAACCCACGGAAGCGGCTTATGTAATTTTTTCTGCAATTTAGCTGCGACTTTAATTTTCCGTACTAACAAACAATAAATGATTTTATTGTTTATATTTACATCTGTATTTAAAATCATTTAAAGTAAAATTGAAATTGTATTAAATATAATTGTTTTTAAGATGAATATGTAACTATCCATAACTTAACAGCCATCGTTCAAGAAATCTACGCAGGTGGCTTGCTTAGTGTCGTTCATGCACTGATTAATAAAAATGGTCTTCATAAGAAAGAAAGGAAAAAATATTCTGTGGATATAAATATATGCAAATAATTTCCACCTAATTCAAGATGTGTTGATGTTCATGTATGTTAAAGTTTTTAAGGTACCTGTATCAAATGAATATGTTGAAGGTAAGAAATTCAAAAATACAATATAAGCTCCACATTGTGACTTATTGTTCTCTTTGCAGATACTAATTTAAATTTTTTGTTCAAGTTAATAAGACATACTTTAAGTTCAAGATCTAGTAAATGAAAGGTGCCTACAGATTTAACAACCTTGAGAAATAAATTCCTTTATTGATGCTTTACAACTTTACCTTGGTCAAATAAGGTGTTTCGGGGCATAATTTGTAGGTAAACAAGATGAAAAACTGTATTTTAAAATGTCAATTTCAATGAAAAATTAAGAAAACCCGTCATGAATATGGGAGCTTTTTCGTATTTAGCAAAGGAAATGTATCCAAATTGCCTACAGTTTCTCAAAAAACAGTAATTAATATGTTCATGGCCTCTTCTTTAAATCAATATCAAATTTAATATAGGTATCCGGTTTACTTTTCATATGATTTTAAATTGAATGACATGAAAATACCCTATTTTCTACATAATTCTGCTAAAGCCGTAAAGTACGGGAAAAAGAAAGTTGAAATTGATTATGACGTCATAATTGATCTAGCACCAAAAAATTAGTCTCAAGTAATTTACTAGATCTGGCCCCAGGATCATGAAGCATCTTAAGCTTAGGTCAAAAAATGCTTTAGATGCTGAAATCTTTTAGAGGTCAAGTAGCTCAAAATGAAAATGCTTTCCGATTTTGTATCATCAGCCTGCTGCTGCATGCAAATTATGAGTTTCCTGAAACAAGTTTTAAAGATTTTATAGATAATTGAAATTTTAACTTAAGTCTAAGTCTGTTCCATGATCCCGGGGCCTTGACCTTAATTAGATAATTTAAGATGCAGTTAATAGATTTATTCAATATTAGACAATAAGTTACTTGTGCTGCAATCTTTTGTGACGTCATTCCACATATAACCATTACAGCATTCAAATGTTCCGTTTTTGCTACAAAGAAGAAAAACAAGTTTTAAATAATTAGTTAAAAATGGCTTAATTTTTCCTGAACATATTAGAGTATTATTTAATACACTGTACTATATCTGAAAGCAAGTATTACGCCCTGCATTTTCTAATCCTTCTGTATTCATTCAACATTTAAAAAAAAAATCTGCATTTAAATTATGATCTTTATAAAAGAAATATTATATAGAGTCCTAATTGTTCATGTGGTACACCAGAAGACCCATATCGTTTTTTCTTTGTTTGCAAAAAGTACCAACATGCTAGAGAGGTAATGTTAAGACATTTATTGTGTCTAACTAAAACAAATATCAAATTGAACATTATTGATTGCCACACACTTCAATAAATATATTTTTCACTCAGTTCAAAAATTTATTAGAGATTCTGGTAGATTAAATTCATTATTACAGTTTAACAATTTAACTCTAGATAGTTATATATTTATTATGTGTAACGAATGTACGTTTTTTAAACAAACATGTTTGTATATCAATATTTTCCCCCTTTTTCTTCCCATGTATAGACATACAGTAGAAGCATTTTACGATGAGCATCTAGTAAGTTGTTAAAACTTGTGTTTAAACCATTTCTATAGTAATAATGCAATAAAATATGTTCAAACCAAACCAAACCCAAACAGAGATTTATGTAACAAGAAGCATACATGTAATCGATTTAAAAAAAAAAAAATAACAACAATACATACCCCAAACATTCCAATGCGACCGCTCCTTCGAAAAACAATGCAACATGTAAAAATGCTAACATGGTCAGTTCAGTTATTACGTTGAAATTTGTTGAAGTGTGAGTAAAGAGTGATTTTCCAGTTTAGACGAATTAAACACAATACTTTTTTTTGTTATCATTTTGATGATTCTTTTTCCTTTGTGGAAGGAAGTGATATCCTTCAAATTTTCCAAGCTCTTAAAATTAATTTATTTTTAAAATTTATATCCTTATTTCCGCAGCTGCAGCTCTTAATCTGTTTATATCTCTAATGTGTAATCAATAAATCTGAATATAATTATGTATCCTTTCTTGCATTAATTTTTATTAAAATTAAATAAGAACGGTTTTGTGGTTATATTATGTAAAGATTTTAGTATATAGTTATGGTAACATCGATCGATAGGAAAAATTATGAGTTCTTATAAGTGTATTTGTATACTAATTTTTCATGCAAGAGAAAATCGTTTTGCATTTTCATTATTCTATTTTTCATTAATAATGATATATTATATTATTATATTCAAAATCAAAATAAAATTAAATTCATCATATCATTGTTTTCTGTGGTGATTTTTCAAGTTCGATTGTATCTCATATTGTTCAATATGGAATATAACATCAAATAAAAAGAATTTTATTTTATAACATCATTTATGAATATTGATAGTTTTTCTTCGTATGATATTTAAATATCAATACTATGTTTGTTATTATTGAAATGCACTCTCAACCACTATTTAAAAAAAATTATTTCAATAGTGGTTGCAACATAGCACTTAAAACGTTACTCATATTTCGGGAATTGTATGTTATGATTGAAAAATGTTGACCAAAATAATGCATGATCGCTGATTAAAAGGATATATTTTATAGCAAATCTTGAGCACCATCGCTGCGAAATCACTTTTTACACCGATTTTTGATTCTAGTACCAACTATTGCAATTTTCCTACGAAAATCGGGGTTCATGAATGCATAAATGAAAGGATTAGCTACGTTGTAAGTGAAGTACATATAGAACACAATCAGGTTGAAGCGGACAGCCTCAAGTTTCATTAGCCAAGCTGGTAGAAACGCTACAATGTATATATAAGCGACAAAAGACAACGTCAGGGTTGTCTTGATGTAATCATCACGAATACGCTCTTGATGTTGTCGGTAAGTAGATGTTGTATTCGATATCCTGTAATTTTTCTTTTTCTTCTGTCGTGGCTTTGGTTTGGTTTCGTTGTTCGGCGTTTTAGATTCAGAACCTTCGTTATTTGGTCTTAACATGTGACAATTCAAATTTGCGTCATTGTTGATTTCCTCGGTCACACACGTGTTTTGCATTTTCTGACTAACGCAAATAAGATCAGTACGTCCACTTTCACCAAATGGCATTTTACTGAATGTGCAACTAAGGGAAGATTCGGTTCTTAGTCGTTGTCTGCGAGTACGGATGAAGCGGTAAATTACAACATACAGGATGATTACTACAATTCCACACGTCGCGTAAATTGATGCGTATATTGTATTATACACTCTGTAAAATGTATCTCCTAATATCCGTGGATTTCCGCAAAGGGGCTCTGGGGCTAAATTTGTTTTTTCTTTCAGTTGAAGCGCCCCATTGAAAACATCTGTCGTGGATTGCATCACAAGTGTAATATTTAGTTCCTCTCTGTATGTTCCTGTGTCATCGAACATGACCAAACCAAAATTCAAGCAGCCTACGAAACCAATAAAAAGAGCAAGAATACCTAAAGAAAACATTATAATTTTGGCCCTAGATTTCGTCATAATCTGCATCTGTATGAAAGGCCTACATATACAGTAGTAACGATCCACAGCAATAGCTACCATCACAAACGTGGAAAAGGGAATAGTTGTTTGCAACAGAAAGTGATAAGCTTTACACAAAAAATCATAAGGCATTCTAAATTCTACTATCTCCACAGCAACTGTAGCAGGAATTGTTACCAGACAGGTCGTAAAATCGATCCCCGCCAAAGTCAATATGTATATCGATGAAGTCTTTTTTGGTTTTAACCTGGAATAACCATATAAAACAAGGGCGTTTCCGGTAACCCCGATTACCGAAAACACAATTAGCATCAAAACAGCAATCTGTTGAAGGGAGTCCAAGCGATTCTCGTCTTCCTGAATAGCCCCTCCGATATCTAAAATCTCAGACGTGTTTGACATCTTGTTTATACCTATGAAATGAAATATTAAAAAATCTTATGTTAAGTGTTCATATACTGTTAATTTAAAATGATTTTTTGTGATTAAATGTTTCTAGTAGATGTCAGGCCACTCTGACTCATACATACAAGCCAATGCATTGTTGTTCTTGTAGTGTGCATGAGCTCATATATATTACGATTTCAGAATGAGAATTGGAGTTGCAGTGTAAGGAGTTCCTTAGGAAATTTTGACGTAACAATTAAATCCTAGAACAGACGCTTTAACCATTTCGGCACACATACAAAACATACGGACAAACTCCTAATGTAATAGCAAAAGACGGTGTCACAGTAGACCGCTAATATGAGATTTTCTATTAGTTGAATGATGGTGAGAATATTGTCCGTAACTTACTGATAAATCTTCAGAAGATCGCATGAGGGTGCCAATTGGTTCTTCGGGTGTTTATGGAGACTAATTAAAGAATGTGTATCAATGAAATTCCTAAATCTAAGTCGGACTTATCCAACTTCATTTTCATCAAAGATAAAAGGTGACGCTGTTTAGACACTTTGACGTTATAATCCATGGGCCGTAAGTTGATACAATACACAGCATAAAATCACATAATTTGTTTATTTATGCATACATTTATTTGAAATTTGCTATGTATATTACTAAAATATGTACTATATAATAGTGAAAATTTCAGAATGCAGTGGTGTTTATTTTTTACACCAGACAACTTGTCCACGATTTTACGGGACAACCCTCGTACATCTCTGATTTTAGATTGAATCGGCCCTTCAGTAAATTTAGTACAATTTTTTATGAATTGGCGTTTTTTATGTCTCGAAAACATTATTGTAGACTATATCCTTCAAGACACTCACAGACTACGTAAAGTGACGTATCTGTTTTTTAATTTTTGCGTCATAATTAAAACGAGTTCTATTTGGTGGATTTTTAAATTGTTCTTTTTTTTATATAATAAATTAGTATTCTTATTTATGATAACTAGGTAATTTGTAAACAAAGGAAACGGCAACGGAAACGCGCCGGAAGTGGTAACGGTGGGATATTCCCCTAATGTATAAATATTTAATGATTCATTAAGCATTAAGACTCTAAGAAAGGTTCTGTACAACAAACTTTAATGACTTCATTAACTAATGCATCATGAAGAATTTAACGATTTATTATTGTATACTTCATGAAAAACAATGTTAAAGTCTAAAATGCATAAAGTTTGCCTTACCAAGTGAACAGTACGGGGAATATGGCATTAAAAGGGAGCTGGAGCGTTTGCGGAACACCTGTATCGGTTCCCGTTACAATTAGCCCTAGTTATGTTCCCCAAACGAAGTTGGGGAACATATTGTTTTTACTCTGTTTCTTATTATTATTATTCTTTTTTCTTCTTATTTCTTCTCCGGTACTTTTTTGTCCGGAAGTGTTCTCAGAAACTGTTCACCAAACTAAGTTAAAACCTTTTTAGTAGGCATGTTGTGTAGATGTGCCGAACGAAGGTCATTTTGCGCGCATTCGCATGCACGTGCGGGCGCGTGCAATGAGTAAAATGACTGATATATTTAATATGGTTGTAACTTTTATATTTTTTGATAAAATGTTTTGAAACTCATTATATAAAGATATATAAGTTGTATAGATAAGATGACATGGTCAAATTTGCATGAACTCACGCGCATGCACGTGCGCTTTGCGCTGATTGGCTGAAACAGAAATCTCAATATCTTTTTTGTTTTTTAATGAAATGCTTTGAAATTTCTAACATAGACATGCATAATGATGTACTACAATATGATATATAAAATTTTTCATGAAATCACGCGCATGCGCGTGCACTGCAATCTGATTGGCTGAAACTTTAAATGAGTATAACTCCCTTGGTTTTCAACCAAACAGCATGGGATTTACAACATAGATAGACATAAAGGACTCCTACAGGATGGTATGGTCACCATTCAAATGCATGCATGTGCGTGCACGTGCGCTTTGCTCTGATTGGCTGACACAAAAATCTAAATATCTTTTCTGTTTTTTTTTTACAAAATGCTTTGAAATTTAAAACATAAGCATACTTTAAGATGTCCTACAATATGATATATAATAATTGTCATTAAAATACGCGCATGCACGTGCGCTGCAATCTGATTGGCTTAAACTTTAAATGGCTATAACTCCCTTGTTTTTCAACCAAACAGGATGGGATTAAGAACATAGACAGACAAAATGGACTCCTACAAGAAGGTATGGTCATCATGCACGTGCGTGCACGTGCAAATGAGTAAAATAGTGTAGACAAGATGATATCGTCATTACGCTCATGCAATCACATGCGCACGCCTGCATTACTTAAATTTGAAATACTTGGTATCCTTTTGGAAAACCGTTGTTTACGTCTTTAATGCATAGATTTTGCCTTCTTTAATGAAACTTACAGGGAATATGGCACGAGAAGGGAGTTGGGGAGCGTTTGGGGAACATCTGTAACGGTTCCCGTTACAATTAGCACTAGTTTGTTTTGTTATACAATTATTTCGGTAATAGAAAAGGGAATGAGCAATATGGTTCAACTTGGCACAGTCTAATGTAAAATGTTAATTTTAACATTTTAAATCATGCATGCTTTAATTTGAAATATCATTTGTTTATAAAGGCTTTAAAACATTAATATACATGTAGTTGAAAGTAGAATTCTTACCGTTTTTGACCTGACGTGTGCGCAAATTGTTGTCCTTTAATTCAAATTCATTTGTCTAAAATATAAAAGGCAACTTGCGGTCTAAATATCCTTCCGTTTTTTTTTAATGAATAGGAAGGGGGTTCATAAACAATATGTTATGGTTCCAGCAGATAAGGCTTGTAATAATGACGTCTTTGTTCGGTTCCTTCGTATAACTGTAGTTTGGGTTTTAATTTTACGCCTGAAAATCCAACATATTTTTAAGTTTACTCTCCAAGAAAGAACTTCTTCAATACCACATTTCAGTGTTCAATACGTTTAATAAACCAGTAAACCAAGGTGTCTTTGATCTGCCGTAACTGAACTGGATTCATAATTTTCTTAAAAGTTTTACACACAAAGATACATCGTTGAAATCAGCGAATGCTTCACAAACCTTTATCTCTACTTCTTACAAAAACTGTAAAGAAGTTACGTCAGACGTACTGCGCTTCAACGAACATATATCCTAGAATGTGAAAGGTATGATAATAATAAACAGTGATCAATCTAAAAATATCAACAAGTTTAAAAAAGAAGGTGAGCTAGCGCAGTAGCAATTTTCAAACACAGAAAGGAAGGTTCGTGAGCAACTAATTCTTTTTTCTGAATTCTTACATGTGTCTGGGATCTGATAGATAGAGTAATAATTTTTTGCGAAGTGTATTTTATATAATTAAAATTCTATTAATGTGGAACTGCATTATATCAATCGCTTATCGTGTCTTGCCAAGAAATTTTGAAAAGAAAATTTTTTATGAGGTTGACGGCATTATTCAGGAATGTGGAATAACTCGCAAGCTACATGTTTAGAATCTTGGCATTATATGGCCTAATTTTTTTGTGCAGTTTACTTTAAAGTGTAAGTTTCACGATAAATAAACAAACTTTAGAACCAAACAGATAATATCAGTGTTATTTAATGACAGAACGAAATTATTACCGTACAGTCTACATGTATCTATGGTCGTTTTCACGGCTAGACCGTGAAGTTTTCCCAGAATGTCCGACCGTGAAAGCTCGAGAGCGCTAGCAATAAACAATAAATTTATGTGAAGAGTTAAGGCATAAAAAAAATTCAGTGGTGGGATCCGTGCCTCGTATCAGATAAGATCTTCAACAGGGCTGGGTTTCACAAAACTATCGTAAGATTTGTCCTATAAGATAGATCTTACGATCATCTTAAGATCTGACTTATGACAATCATAAGATTTGTCACTGCTGTTTCACAAAACTATCTTAAGTATAAGAAATCTTAGGACAAATCTTAAGACAAGTTTCATTCTTCAATATCACAAGAGATTTTTGTTAAATTTATGTTCGCACGAAGTTTAGATGTCTTTCCTTAATTGTGCAGATAAACCCTATAGGAAAAAAGACAAACATTTTTTTGCATCAACTTTAATGTAATCAGGGTGTGCTTGTGTATGTCGAGGGTTGGGTCAAAAAATTAAATTTGAATTAATTTCATCACCATAAAAAAAATTGAATGTAATATGTTTAAATGTCTTCTTGCTCAAAAAATAGTAGTTACTGACGAAATTTATGAGATGCTTTTTTAATTAAAGCTACTAGAGCATCCGAACCTTTGCAATTTTAAAATGAATGCTTATAGCAATGAATCCTTTTTAAACACCAAATCGTGGTAAAAGTTCGTTCATAAAATTCGATGTAGGTGTCTTTAAAACGCTTCAACTACTGCAACAAAATATCAATGCTAACAGATGAAGAAAAGAAACGAAAAAATAATTCTAATCAAAATTTTATAATTTCAGTACTATTATAAAAAAAGAAGGAAGAAAGAATGTACACACAGCATCAAATGTTACAGCATAATTTTCATACACATTACACATTCCGGTAGATTAATGAGGGATACCCCAAGAATAAATTTGATTATTGATTTTATCTAATTTTGCACGACTGAAAGAAATGTTTACTTTCTAATTTCTAAAGAAAAAAAAATCACCATAATGTAACAAAATAAAGTAAAACGTCTAAAAATGAAGTGTACTTATAAAGTATTTCCTTTACTTTCATGGATTTATTTATAATCCCTAGAAATGCATACTGTATACTTCTTATTTCTGTTTACTAAAAAGACATAAATGTACCCTATCAATAAATAAACTACACGAATCTCGAACACAGGATCTGGAATTACTTTAGTCATTTTAAAAACTGGTTAAATTAACAATGCTTGGTCATAGTTATTGTGATATTCTTGTGGGGTATGGAATTCAAATGAACAATTTTGAATAAAGTTATAAACATGTATGTCAGAGATACGGATTTTTACATAAATGCACATATATGGCCTTAAGAAGCATTGGGGGGGGGGGGGGGGGTAGCGATTTCAATTGGGAGGGGACACAAGCAAAAGTAAAAAGTAGTAAATTTTAGATTTTCTATTGTTTATTTACTGACAAATTATTTTTTGCGGATTTGGGGGGAGGATTGTTCTATCACTAAAAACCGTTTATCTTTAAGTATCCTTAGGTTTTTAGCCAAAATATAAACGGTCACCAGTTACACTTTAGACTTAAGACATTTATCTAGTTGTCTTAAGATTTCGATAGATCTTAAGATTATCATAAGATATGTAAAACGGCTATGGTGCAATCTTAAGATAATTTTCGGTCTTAAGACAGATCTTAGTCATAAGACAGCTTTGTGAAACTGGCCCCTGGATGTTAGGGATGGGCGGGCCATACAGAGAGTTATGGTATGAAATTTTATTGCACACCCCCCCCCCCCTTTTTTTTAGATATCAACTGGAAATGATGGTTTTACAAACAGATAGAATTTTAAATTTACAACCTTGATCTTTTGACTTCAAAAGAAAGAGGGATGTTCCTTTTTAACACAATAATACAATAACAATAGAACCAAGCTCGGTACCGGAAACCTTAATAAATCCAGTGAGCCAGATAGCAAATCTGGTAAATCTTAATGATCATGACAGCTTTGTATTCTGATTGCCCCTCTAGATGCAAAGAAGATTTACAAAAAAAAGTAAAGCAGGTATAAAAGCATTAATACATATTTACTATAAATGTACATGTAATTTATAGAATAGCACCTAACATCAGAACCCTCAACCCAGGAACAAATACTTCAGAAATCAATTCAGATCATGAACAGGCAACCTTGTTCATCATAACTACGTAAAATATTTTACACTTGGTTTATCTGCTTATAACAAAAATGCAGATATTTTCAATAAATAATAGCATTTTTCACCATTGAATAATCAAGTTTGGTTGAAAATTTATCCATTTCATTTATAACAACAGTTTGACTTCTCACTGTATGTCTCACTGTTATTATGAACAAGAAGACTGAAATGATTTAGATTTTTTTAGTTCCACTTATTAAATCCAAAGAGGGTTTGGGTCATACTTTTTCACAATTTTGCTTCTTACAGCCAAAGATGCTAAGTGTATACCTGTATGCTTTTTTAAAGTAGGTTGAAATTGGTTTCTGAGCAGTTCCAGAGAAGAGGCTGAAAATTGTAATTTTATGAATGAAATAAAATGTATAGTAATAATTCACCTGATCATGAGTGACTCTTACTGGTAACCTTACAAAAATGGACTTGCTAATAGAAAAAGGCAAGGGTAGAGCGACTGGAATTGATTCTATGGCTTGTTTTTGCAGCCAACTTGAAAAACAAAATAGTATTTCTTTTTGTCATGTTCAAGAAGAGAAAAAACTGAAACCGTGTGCTGTCTGACTAAAATCAAGTTTATACACCAACTTTTCGTGAACATGTAACTGCAAAATATGAATTCTTATTTATATATATTTTTTTAGATTTTTTAATCAATTAAAATTGCCTAAAATGTCTTTAAGCTCTTTAGGCATAGGTGTGTTCAGAGGTTGTTTTCATAAAGACCAAATCATGATATCTTTTTGTCAGCCAAAAAAAATTTAACCTTGCCCTAAACTTTTGATTTGGTACTATGGTTTTCGTTTCTCAAGGTGTTTTTCTTGTAAAAAGACCTTTCTTTGTGTACCACCAAATTTGACCTCATGACCTTGGATTTTGACTAACTTTTACCAAAAAATTCAAAGTTTAACCTTGGCATTGCTTCCAAATATTTTGTGTTAGGGCTTTCAAACGTCACGTTTATTCTGTGATAAGCCCTACCATTGAGTATAAATAATTCGACCTTTTGACCTTAGAGTTTGACCCACTTTGAAAAATTTTAGTCTTTGCCATAACTTTTGAAAAGTTAGTACTAGTACTTACAGGTGAATTCCTTGTGACAAGATTTTCTTTGGATACCATCAAATTAAACCTTTTGACCTTGGAGAGTTAGTTTTGCATTTTAGAAACTTCAACCCTTAATTAGCAAACACTAATTTTTTTCTTGTCAGATCAAGTTAAAATTTCAAGTTGGTATATCTTTTAAGTTGAATATGGAAATAAGACAAAATTTGTTAGCTCTCATTTTACGTGGGACATACATTTATAATCATAAAATCCTTTCAAAAATTTGTTTACAACTAGTCTTTCTTGATGAATTCATAAACTTCAAACATATATGTGAAGATAATGAAATATTTTATTATATGTCAAAAGCAATAAAAACCAAAAATAAAAAATAAATGTTAAAAAGTTCTCTGCAAATATTATAAACTTCATGCAAGTTCAAAAGCACTTTCTTTGCATAAAATTGCGTAACATCATTTTAACATTGATTGCACTGTACAAGTCACATAAAGATAAGACCACAATTTCCAACAAACAAAATAGGATTGATATTACCTAAAATGACTTAAAATATTAAAAAAAATTTGAAAATATGCAAACTCAAAATCACCATAAAAGAACAAAAATAATCATTTTTCTTTAAATACACACAAAGCAATAAACTTTTAATATTACTACTATTGGCACAATTGTGTTTTTTATCACATTATTAAGGCTTGGTCCCAACATACAGTATATTTCACCAAAATGTTAAGGCAAAGTATTATTATGCCTAATACTTGCATAGGATTATGTGTAAATAGAATATTAAAATCAAGGTTTCATTTTCCAAGTTCATGAATATGTTTTAAGCATCTATAAAATTGAAGCCCTCATTAAATTGAAAGATTTTTATTACATGTACATGTATTACATGTACATGTATATCGATCTGTCCAAAGACCACATACATTATACATGTATGTATTTTCTTAAAGAAGTTTCTTCTACTTTTACTTTGTCTTTTGTCAACACAATACTTCTATCTCCTTTCACTTCGTTTTTGAGTGTAGATAGCATATAAAAACAGCCACACATCCACCGCCTGGCTGTTTATAATTTTCCTAAAGTTTTCTCCTTCATTTGGAATTTGTTCCACAAAGTTCATCAGCCATCCTGGGTGGTTTGGGTCAAGGTCATACTGAGGAGCTGAAACGTAGCCAATCAGAGTGTCTCTCAGGCTGAAAATAAAAACATTAAATGTGATAAAATGAATTCTTTTACATTGCCTCCTGTACAAAGTACTTCATTTATGAAATGTCCTTTTTCTATATTTATATTACCATTTACAGAGTAAACTAATACACGTATTACTAGTCTAAGAACTCAAACTGACTGAAAATTCAGTCTTTATATCAGAACAAATGCTTAAATACAATGCATTGAGATTTCAATTAAAATCTTTTTCCTAGCTCCTAAGTAATAAAATTGAATATCCATGAACCTTACCTGAGTTTGGTCATGTCTAAATCGTCATCATCTGTTCCTCTGGGGACCGTGATGGTCAACATGATACACTCAAACAGGGTTTCCAGCAGGAGTTCTAGTCTCTCTACAGAGAGTTCCTCACAGAACGCAGTGATGATGTCACGCTGGTCAGGGAGGAGGTCCACCCTCAACTCACTTGACACTCCCTCAAAGGCATCCTGGAAAAAATAACACAGTTTATCAATATTTGAACAAATGAGGAGAAAGGTAGGTGGATTTTTCTTTACAATATAGAGTGAAACAAGCCTAAAACAAGCACTCTTAAAACGAATTGAAGCACATGACAAAGTAATTTCTATTCCTCATCCCTTTCTGATTCAGTGTAAACTTAATGCATACAACAAATTACATTTATAAAGAAGCAAAATCACCTGTCTATTACACTTCTGAATCATTATAAGTGTGATTGACTGTATTAGAAAAACATTCCTAGTTAATGTACAAAATCCCAAAAAACAAGATATTGAAGAATGACCGTAACAGTCAGAGTAATTTAATCAAGAAATATTCTTATTCAAATTACTGTAAACGTATTACAGTCGGCAGTGTATTGTATTATAATAGTGCCTTTCATGAAAAGCATCATCATCCGCTTAATGTACATAATCATGTACATCACAAAAAAATGTTTTGTTTTCACATTTCATATACAGTAAAGAACATTCAGAAAGCACTTACTCAAAGCTATACATCAATTTTAAAAAAATCGATTTCTGCCAAATATCACACACTCCAAATAAAAAACATTAATTTCACAGTACCTCTTTGTGTGAAGCTTGTCTTTTGGTTTTCTCCATTGCCAAAGTGATCCAGAGAGATTGAGCATGCTTGCACAAACAGGAAGATCTAGCCTAAAATAAGAAAGCAACAAAATTTTGTTTTAATATCCTTAGAAAATGATACCCTTCAAATTGATTCAGAAGTCAGTGTAATATAACCAAATCACAACATGCAGCACATCCTTCAAGTGACACATGCCAAAAACCAAAAACATAATATTCATGAAAATTAATAATTAAAACCAACTTTTTGACTGGGGAATGGATTTTCCATTTTAAGAGTCTGGGTCATGAACTTCTCCAAGGACATGTTCGCATCACCCCCTACAGATTTCAGGAAGCTGATGGTAATGTCAAGCTTATCAAGAGTCTGACAGAGGTCAGGGTAAGCTCTGATCTCTTCACTGATCTGATTGGCTACTGCTGGGGTCAAAGGTTCCTGTGAATAAAACCAAAAGTAAGAATCCAAAAAGTAAGAACAAGAAAAAATATCAAATGAAACTGAACAACTGTATTAAGCATTAAATATATCTATAAACAGATGTAGCTAAACAATTATAATTTTCAGATGTGAGAAAAGAGTGTTTTAGAAGATCATTATTCCTCAATTTTGATAAAAGTTTTTGATTAACCTGTTTGATTTTCTGCCTGAGGTGTCTAAACACCACTGCATTGGTTGTCTCTGATCTGTAGGTCATCATCTCAAACTGAAAGATACATAAAGCATTGCTCAAGATTAATACATGTACAGTAAAACTCGGTTATAACAAAGTCACTGGGACCTTTGAAATAATTTTGCAAGATATCTGTAATTCGTTATATCTGTATCAGGAATCTGTTAAATTTATTTAGCTGGGGATCCAAGATAACTTTGCTTTATCCATGAATTCGCAATATCCATGTTTGTACTAAACGAGTTTTACTGTATATTGATTACATTGTAATTCAAAAAGCTTAAAAATTGTATGCATGGAGTATCTACAAGATCGTCAACTGTTTCTCAACTTTACAACAGCATCCCCTGCATATATAAATACCTCATAAACAGGCATGTCTATGACCGACTTGGAGAACAGGAATCTGTCCATCAGCTGGCGCTCCAGGTCCCCAAAGTTGTAATCTATCTTGGTTCCCTTGCCAACCTGGAAGGTGTAGTGACAGTTGGCCAGGACCATGGGGAGGATGTCCCGGTCAGGGTGGTAGCTGATCAGGTGGGGGGACGTCACGTCATTTACTGGGACCTTGGGCAGCTGTGTGTACCTACGAAAATGTGTTTTATTAATTATATATACTTAATAGAAGCATCAATTACAATGTACATGTATCATATCAAAAACAGTGAAACCAACTGAGCAATCAAAACAATAAATTTTACAGTTTTTAAAAATATGGCAAAGTTATATACTTACTGCATTTTTTTCTTCTTGCAGTACTCCTGGAGGAAGTTATTTTGTTTCTTCAGTAAGAAGTAGAGGAGGCCATAGGAGCAGAGTCCAGCATCCCTGAAGGTGGGTAACAATACAGATACAGGGTGACTCTCAGTTATTGACTTATGACAATACTCCTTGGGTATCCTTGCCAATCCTTCCAGGGTGGGAAAAGCTGTCAAGATTCATACTTTTAATTACTTTTTCCCACTTCTGGTAGTAACTTTACACTAAAAATACAGATTGGATTAAAATTGCATTGGTTACTTACCGAATGTCAAAATTTGTTCACGTACACACTGCCATGCTTCAATGAAGTCCCTTACTAATCTCTTGATCTCTTCTGCTCTGCCCTCTAAAATAGTTAATGGTTCAGTGATTCTAATTATGGATAATTAATAGTCTTTTTTGTTACTAAAATTAATTTCAAATCATTTCAATATTTTCATTCTACATCACCATAATCCACATTTATTAATCTAGCTTATACCAAATTAGGGCATCACTTCTCAAACTTTAAGAAATATTACCATGATCTTTGTAATATTACTACAGTGTATGATCTTTGTATACTCAGTCTAGTTTTCTTAGACTTTTTGAAAAGTACTAGCTGTGTTCTTGAAGATGTCAGACTCCACCAATTTCTTTTTTCAATACCTTATGGGGACTTCATTTTTATGCCAGAGTACACTTATACATGTATACAAGTATGATAAAACAGACGGATTACCATTTTCATACGACTCTATCATATCTTCAATTGAAATTCTAGAAGCCTCAACTCTGTCCAGCTTTCTCTGGTATCGCTGTACCAACATCCTTTGAAGCTTTAGGATGTTTGGTACCAGGCGGATAGCTCTCAGATGGTGCTCCTAAGCAAGCAGAAAGAGGTAAAATAAAACCTAGCATGTCATGGCAAAATGCATGTTTTTCAAAGAGTTCAGGCAGCATTTGCCTCCATTTCGACAAAATTCAAAAACAAACTGAAGACACAAGGGTATTTTTTTCACAAAAATACTCAAAACAAACACTAGGCATGAAAGAATTTTTTTTTAAGACTAACAGTGACTATAGTTTACCTCTTGTAAGAACATGGTGAGAACTTGATGAGCCCTGCCCTGTACTTGTAAGGTGTGCAGTAGGTGGTCCATGGTTATCTGAGAGCGGTAGCGCCACACGGCGGGAACGTTGTGAAGAGTGCTCGGTGAGGAATGCTCAGAGGGAATGTCTATCTCAAACAGCAGGCACAGCAAAGGGTCAGAACCTACAGAAAAGAAAATATTCTTAATTTATAATACAATGCACTGAAATAAAGCAGACATTTCATGCTGCATTAGAAAAAAGTTTAAGTCTACAGTATAGTTTCAAGTCAAAAGAAGTACATGTATTGCACTCTTTTTGATGTGTGACTTACCAAGTCTCTGATCATTAGCAAGTTGTTTATTCAAAGATTTCAAAAAGCTGTTCATATCCTGAAAAAGCAGAGAATTTGAAAGTATTTAGTTCTAAAAACATGATGGACTTCTATAATGATCTTACAATATACTGATCCAAACAGTATAAAGCACTAAAAAGTAATCATTTTTGAGCAAGTTGAACACTTTTCAAGTTAGAAAAATTCTTTCAACTTTATGCAATTACTTGAAGAACTGGCGATACATAAGTTTGGGTAAAGTCCTCTTCCCATTTCTTTCTGCTATTTTTATTGGCCAAGAAGCATATTTCCTGATTCACCGGCGTACCTAACAAATATACAAAAAAATATAAAATATAAAGCTCAGAGCACAATAGAAATAGCCACACCTAGTATTACCAGGTAGTTTTCCTATCTCTGATATTAGCACAAAACACTAACATACATGTACATGATGTATACCCTTCACATTCGTTACACCCCCTCCCCACATGGTATAACAGTTGCATAATTTGGTTTTTATCCCACAGAGTAACAAAGCATGGTCATGAACAAGACTAACAATAGTGATGCTAAATAATGTACAGTGAAATACATGTACTTTGAATCTTGAAGAGGTCAGAGGCTTAATTTAAGCACTCAAGAAATACAATCAAATGAAGAGAAATATGGCAGACAAGAATAAATTTAATCCATTTACAGTACAATAAAAAAAACTGCTAAGAGAGAAAAAGGAATTTGTGCGTATAATGAGCTAATGTAACATTTATAAAATAATACAAGAAAATTATGAAATATGAACTCAATAATTATAGTAGATTACAGATACATTCCCTTTATTTTTTCGAATTACTGTGTTTTCACGAATTCTTAACTTTCTCAAAACAAGTAAAATACCTAGTAATAAAACTAAGAAGTCCTGTCTTCCCTTTTTGATTTTTTAAACCTGCCAATAAAGACCTACCTCTATGTTTCTCCATGATGTCATTACAGATTCTATGTATCAGGATATAGACATCGTCCACACTTTTCCCTATGGCTCTCTGGATGGTCAGGAGATCTTTCTCTATGTGAGCCCACAGGAATGGCAGGACTATTGCAGGATCTAGGTCTGGCTTTATTATGCTGTGTATAGCCTATGCAAATGTAAATAGTTAAACAATAAAATGCTTTCTTTGTTTGTTACATGTACTACTGGAATTAACGGAAGCAGCTGTTGCAGAAAAAAATTAAATTTTTTTCTGCAATAGCTGCGACCGCTAATTCCAGTAATAACAAACAAAGGAAGACATTTTATTGTTTATATTTATATCTGTTTAAATAATCATTTAAAGTAGGATTAAAAACATTGATTATTGTATTAATGATGCGAACATCTTTATACGATTCATTGATGGAACAGCCACTGAACAAGAAATTTGTACAGCCGACATGCCCACTGTAGTTCATGCAGTGATTAACGCAATGGGTTTTCTTAAGAAATAAAGGAGAACATATTCAGTGGATGTAAATATAGAAAAATGAAAAGACATGATGCTCTGATTCATCAGCTTGATTGCTTCAGTTCCTAAGGAAAAATGCCGCAAACATAATAATGTACATGTTTGATGCATTTGACGGACAATTTTTTTCCGTTGACCTCACTGTTGAACAGAGCACAAAATCTGACCTGAAGGTTAATACTGGCTCCTAGGTACATTGCCATGTGGGTGAAGAGTCTGACTATAGCACACTCAATAGGGGACAGACTTCTCTCAGGGCTGGCTACAGGTTGTCTCCCTTCTGCTCGACCCAAAATGTGACCCGTGGCCGTCTGATCTAACCTGTCAACATCAAATAATGATATAGGATAATCTGTGTAATATGGAAACGAAAAGCTTTGAAAAGTCTATTCAAATAAAATTTTTAAGTTCCACATTTTTCTATATATAAATTGCAGGAATCTGTGTGAAGGAAGGAAATAAAAGACAGCATTTTCCAACAAACCCTTGGTCAAGGATGTTGCCAGCTATTAATTGGTGACCTTGACCTCCAATTTCTTGACCACAGTCTTTACACCTGCCAACAATGGCTGGTCTGCCACACTATATCCAAAATAAAATTACTCATTATACTGCACATGCTTTTATCAAATTTAAAGTTAAATTAATGTTAAACATGAAAATATCTTACAATGCATAGATAGTTCAAATTTTAACAGTGAGGTTTGATCCAAAACATTAGACAAGAGGCCCATGGGCCTTATAGGTCACCTGAGCATTATGCAACAACTATCCAGTTATTGAATTTGATTCATGTTTTAAGCAAGATGCTATGGCATTCATAATTTTGAAAGACACACCATTGATAATCATAACAATACACTTAGCAGTTGCTTAGCTTGGTTACTTAATACCCATAGGCAGGGTAGGGGAACAAAAAATGCATTTCAACTTATCAGTAATATTCAGCAATAATTAGTAATGCCCTTACCACACATGAACCCCTGATCCTTAGGCCAAGATCCACACACTGCACAATTTTTGAAAAGGCATCCTTGCTTTTAAAAAATATTTGATAAATACCAAAGAGCAAATTTCAAACAATTCATTCATTTTCAGTACATAAGTACAGCCCCCCTCCCTCTATGGTACCCCTGACCCTAAAGCCTTGAAATTCACAATTCTGGAAGATTAGGGCCCTTACTCATCATAACCATATAGGTAATTCATCTGCTTCATACCCAGAGACAGAGACAATTTTTTTTCAAATATTTAATGTAATTTTTCACTGCATAATCATTATAGAGCCCCGCCCTAAAACCAGAACCCCTGACCCTGGGGCCATAAAATTCACAATTTTGGAGGCATTCTTGCTTATCAAAACTATGTACTTAGTTAGTTTATTTAATACCCAGGAGCAGAGAAAAACATTTTCAAAGAATTCATATATTTTCACTATATAATCAATAGAGCCCCGCCCTAACACCAGAACCCCTGACCCTGGGGCCATAAAATTCACAATTTTGGTAGAAGCACTCTTGCTCATCATAACTATGCACTTAGTTAGTTTATTTAATACCCATGAGCAGAGAAGATTCTCAAAGAATTCATGTATTTTCACTATATAATCTATAGAGCCCCGCCCTAACACCAGAATCCCTGACCCTGGGGCCATAAAATTCACAATTTTGGTAGAGACACTCTTGCTCATCATAACTATGCACTAAGTTAGTTTATTTAATACCCAGGAGCAGAGAAGAAGATTTTCAAAGAATTCATGTATTTTCACTATATAATCTATAGAGCCCTGCCCTAACACCAGAACCCCTGACCTTGGGGCCATAAAATTCACAATTTTGGCAGAGGCAATCTTGCTCATCCTAACTATGCACTTAATTAGTTTATTTAATACCAAGAAGCAGAGAAGAAGATTTTCAAAGAAATAATGCATTTTCACTATATAATTATTTTGCCCCGCCCTAGCACTAGAACCCCTGACCCTGGGGCCATGAATTTCACATTTTTGGTAGAGGACTCAATGCTGATTACAATCATGCAAACAGTTTGACTGCTTAATGTCCAGGTGTAAAGAAGAAGATTTTTAAAGATTGTAATAATTTTGGTGGTTTTGGCCCCACCCCTCAGGCCCCAGGGGGGCAGGGATCATGAAATTCACAATTTTTGTTCCCCTTCACCCATAGATGCTATGTGCTAAATTTGGTTGAAATTGGTTCAGTGGTTGCAGAGAAGAAGCTGAAAATGTTCAAATGTTAACGCACGACGGACGATGGACGATGCACGACGACGGACGCAAACAGACAGCAATAGGTCACCTGAGTTTACTCAGGTGACTTAAAAATGAAATACTCACATTTCCAATTACATATGGATGACCATTTGGGCAACCTTAAAAATATATTTCAATGTCTATAAATGAATTCCTTGATAATGAATATTTATCAAATATATCATCAAATTTTTTACTCTCACAATTAGATGAAAATGAATGTGGGCTAATTTTCCCCTCAAAATTAGTTACACATACCCTTTAGCCATAAATATTAGTGCAAGAGGATTCAATTTTAAAGCAAGGTACTGTATAGGGGAAAATAACTCGCGGTGTAAATATTCGCTATATTCACGGCATTAATAAATCTGTGAATTCAAGAAACAGTGAATAAGTCTTTATTAACCAGAAGTCTCTGTCGAGACTGTAGCTCTACTGGTTTGTAATTATCATAAACCAATGCACTATTATATGTAAGTTAGTGTAGTCTACTTGTCTTATGTGCCAAGTAATACTGAAATCAGACTAAAACTGTAGAAGGAGTAGCATTTTAAAGGTATTTCTTAGAAAATTCTATTTTTAGTATCCATGGTAACACCGTTCATTGAAATCAAAAACCGATGCACAATTTTATGTATCTTAGTGTAGTCTACATGTGTGCCAAGTAATATTGAAATCAGATCTAAAACTGTAGAAGGAGTAGCATTTTAAAGGAATTTCACAGAAAATTCTATTTTTAGTAACCATGGCAACACCGTTCATCGAAATAAAAAACCGATGCACTATTTTATGTATCTTAGTGTAGTCTACTTGTGTGCCAAGTAATATTGAAATCAGATCAAAATTGTAGAAGGAGATGCACTATTTTATGTATCTTAGAGTAGTCTACTTGTGTACTAAGTTACATTGAAATCAGACTAAAATTGTAGGAGGAGTAGCGTTTTGAAAAGTTGTTTACAGACAGACAGACAGACAGACGGACGGACGCCGGACGCATTACTATTGCATAAGCTCTTCTGGTCTCTGACCAGTAGAGCTAAAAATGAGTTTTTTTTCAATATGAGTCCAGCTAGCGGTAGATACTAATATACAAATGTAAACATGTAAATTACATACTCGTTTCGTAATTAAGATGGAACTTGATGTTTAATTATTTAATTTCTTTTCATTGAGATCGCCAGATAATAACCCACATTTATCGTTAAAATACCTGTTACAAATAGCCAATTACCTGTTTGATCAATAAAAACATGTTGTCAGTCAAGATTACCCGTGCGTCACAAAAATGACCTTGGGCGCTTTTCGCATAACGGCAATGTAATTGAAGATTCATTCAAATTTTTTATTTCTGTTTTATTTATTGAATAAGGTTGATATTTGAAAATGTACACGTTACAGATGTTACATAATAAATGCAATCGAAATTTACTTCGTCACTGAACCAGGCTAACAAATTCCATTCACTTAAACCACTAAACCAGCACTTTTAAACGACTGAATGATCACATCCTTTTGATCGGCTAGTTTGTTGATGGAATTCACAATCCACTATGCATGTTTTTCTTTAATGTAGGACAGTTTCAGATTCACTTCTAAATCCTCAAGACCGACTTTTTCCAGTGATTTTTCAATTTCTGCAGCGTAGTATTTTTGAAATTCGTTTAGTAAATGCTGTTTAAATAAGTTGTTGGGAATCAAATCTAGCGGTTGTAATTTATCCGTCCATGCAGCAGGTACAAAAAGGACTCGGATTCTTTTTCTTACAAGATAATCCAGAAATTCGTCACTACGATGAGCTGCGAAAACGTTAAATATACACAGACCTTTCTGTCCCAAAGGATAGTCATTTTCTTCTCGGATTTTCTGTAGATACGGAATAATTATTTGGTCAATGTAGCGATTCATTGTAAAAGTGTTTAACAAGTGGTTTTACTGTGATAGATGTCATATCCCTTCGGAAATGGAAACCTTGGGTGGCATGTGTCTGTTTTACCTTGATAGAGCAATTGTGGAGGTAGGACTGCACCACTTCTCGAAATGGCTAGCAGGGCTGTCATTTGACGTTTGTCGTCAAAGCCCTTTAAGGGGACTTGTTTCGATCCTACAACAAAAATTTATTTTAATGCACATTTCCTTCATTTCATTTTCAAACAATATTCATTTATCAAATAATCATAAATAATTTAAAATTGAAAAATAAATTTACCTGTTTCGGCCAAGGTCCATTTTCCGCATGGAACAAAATTTACTCCCATTTGATCCCAGTTGATGATCATTTCATCCGGAATAAAATCCTCCTTTACGACGTCCTGGAAGCATTTAATAAAAGAGTTTTTAACGTCATCAAAGTTACTTGGAAGAAATTTTACTCCTTTGGTGGCACGGCGCTTCGATAATCCCATTCGTTTCATAAATGATTTAGCCCATTCTGCTTTCAGTTCAATGTGACCTCCGTTTTCAGCCAAAATAGATTTGTTATGGTGTGAAATAATTCCTCTTGCAGCCCGATCACGACACATGAATTTACAGCTGAGCCTTTTAATCTAAGTTGACGTATGTATGCCTGTATCATCTTTTCATAAAATCCAACTTTTAATGGGCGGCCTCTTGGTGAACAGGGTAATGATGGAGGGGTATTTTTGTTTTCCGAGTTCGGTGTTTTAACAGCCTTTAAGTAAGCTTCCTTTATGCTGCGAACTGTACTCTCATTTATTGTAAGCCCTAGCTGTTTGGAGAAATAACGGGCTGTTTTTGCTGGCCCTGAATCGATACAGTATCGGGCCATTTTTCCCTCTAATTTCTGGCGAATACTCTCCGTAATCTTCTCTTTTTCGTTTTTTGGACGAGCACTGACCATTCTGACTTTCAGGCCCAGAGTCCAATGCCGAGTCAGCAGAAAGCTGAATTTCATTTACTAATTCATTTGCTGAAGAAAATGCGCAAGCTTTCTCATTGTCAGAACACTCTCACGATCGGGAAGTAAATCTGATGGAGGGGGTTTAAAGTTAATTTTTCCGTATTTCAGCCAGTTTCGCATGGTTACTAAGGAGTGAATAAATCTATACTGAACACTTTATTTAAACCACCCTTGAGTATAGCTCATATAGTAAAATACATCTCACTGACGTACTCTGGTTTTCAACATAACAATAGGAATTGTCGTTCATGCTAATACGATGCAATATTATATACAAAGGGAGAACTTTTAGAAACAAAAAATCCGCGAATTCAAGAAACTGCGATCGTGTCAGATGAGAGAAAACCGTGAAAATTACAACCCGTGAAATTAATCCCCTATACAGTATTGAAATTGCTAAAACTGAATATTGCTAACAATTCATTGCACACTTGAGATTATCTTTCTAGGCATAATAAAATTGCTAAAAATTACTTCTTGCTGTTTTTAGCTACTTACGATAGAATACTGGATTTGCATCGTTCACTCCTCTGGCAGCCAGCAGAGCCTCCCTCATCTCTGCAACATTATCTTGTGGCATTGTGGGAAGGAAAGCACCCTAAGAAAAAAATCACAAACTGAGATGGTTTTATTTTGCTATCAAAACTCTAATATTTAATAAAAATTCTTAGTTACAATGGATCATCTTTAATCCAGGCCTCAATAATCTAGACACATACTTTACCTTCCAGATAACATTTATGAGAAACAATGAATAAGAAATGTAATATTTACATATTCTGCATGTTTGGCTGTAAAGATTTGTATGCAATACACACCATCACAAAGAAGATAAAAAGCTTTTAAAATCTATATTCTCTTGTAAAATATCATCATCTTTTCATATAGAAAATCTTCCTTAGCTTTGCCCTAACCCTCCCCACCTGCATGTCCTGTGGCAGTTGAGCCAGTTTATTGAGGGGTTCTATGAGTGTCCTCTCCTCGGGGATCTGTAACAGTGTGATAAAGAAGTGGTTCAACAGACACACGGTACTCTGATGTCCCAGGTCCATCCCCTCCTCTACGGTCAGCTCAGGGCTCCTCCTCCACAGCTCATTCTTACACAGGGCCCCAGGAAAATCAACCTGAAAAAAAATAATTTACTCAATAACAAGAGGCCCATGGGTCATATTCCCTGAGAAATCGCTCAATACATCATTAAATAAGTCTTTCCACCTTTCTGTGGAAAGACTTATTGCTTTTCTTCTGTAAAATCCTATTATTTTTCTTCCGCTGATTTTTTGGTTCGACATTTATCGAAGGGACTTTTTGTTCATCGTAAAGGTCATAAAAAGTTAGGAACAGATTTGACCCAACGCATATGAACTATGACCCCTTTCGAAGTTATTGCCCCTTTCGCAAGAAATGCTCGTTATCGCTACTCCTCCGAAACCGTAAACCATAGAGGTATGCGTGCTTCACCAATGTCTTCGACTAATTTAGTCGGTTCTCCAAACTGGGAAGTGCGAAAGAATTCCTAAACTCCGAGTAGTTATTGCCCCTGAAAGTTTCAAAGCTTAAAATTTTTTTTAAAAACTTTTAAACGACAAGCGGTAAAGATTTGGGACCAACTGCATGAGATCTTATGTCCTTTGACCTTGAAAAGTAGGTCAAGGTCAAAGGTCAAGGTCATTCAAAATATGAAAAAATTAAGTTTTTTTTCTGTAGCTCCTTTGTTCTTCAACAAATTTTAAACATGTTTGCATCTTTAATATGTACTCTTAAAACCATTTCAGAGATTTCATGCTTGTCCCCTAAGATTGACCCCTCTAAAAGTTAATGCCCCTTTTAGTGTAAACCCTTGTTATCGCTACTCCTCCGAAACCGTAAACCGCAGATGTTCGAAACCTTCAACAATGTCTACAACTAATTTAGTAGACTCTTGAATCTATTCATTGCGAAAGGATTCGTCAACCATTTTTAGTAGTTATTGCTCCTTACAGTTTCTGATGTTTGCGAAGAACTAAAAACTTTTTAACGACAAGTTGTAAAGACATGGGGACAATGCATGAGATCTTTCTACCTTTGACCTTGAAGATAAGGTCAAGGTCAAGGTCATTGGAAAAGTATTAAAATTCTTATATATGGGTTTTTGTTAAAATGACCCTGACCTTTGACCTTGACATTTGACCTTTGACCTTGACCCTCGCTCAAAAGTAATAAAGAAATATTCATTACCTTTACCTAGATTCAGCTTCAAGTGTTAATCTCATGTCTATCAGCGTTGTGTGTGTGGGTTTTTTTTTTTTTGGATAACCTTGACCTTGATAAATGACCTTGACCTTTGACCCAAACGTCACATTCAAGCTTCAGTATGTGGAGGTATTTGTAACTCTCACGTTTACAAACGCTTATATAATATACCCTCCCCCCCATCTCTCTGAAACAAAAAAAAAAAAAAAATCAATAGCGACATAGAAAATTTTTGTACAACCCAAAGGACATCACAGATCAAATTAAAATCAGTTTAGCATGTAGAAGACACCTCAAAGAAAGTGCCCTGAGAGTTTTACGGTGAGTCTCTTAAGTACGATTAAATTCTAGTGAATATCGGCAAAATCTACATTTTTTTTCCGTCTGAAATTTAATTGTTGCTGAGCTATTTTTTCGATTGTTCTTAATGTCATCCGATTCTCCTGCTCTAATACAACATTTTAATACCAAATATTCTTGCTTTCTTTAGTATGTGGAATTTATTTCAATTTTATTTAGATTTAATATTAATTTGAATGAATCTCGAAAATAGCGATTTTTCCTGTCAAATAAATTTCCACGTTCTCAATGACACCGTTTTCTTCCTGAGATGCATATTTCAAGTTTAATTTATGCTGGTAACTATTAATTAAATTCAATTAGAAATGATTATTTAATCTGACTTATGAGTTCAACAAATCTGTCAAAACGCACGTGGCCTTTTTCAAATAAATAAATTGCTACTCAACCTCAAATGCATGTTTTCCCGTTAATAGCAATATCATACTTGTAATCAGACAATATCCCTTACATTTTAACTCGAAAACAATCTCATTCAAACTCACATATACACCTAGGAGCTTGTCAGAAGTTTATTTTCTGGAACTCCTTGACTGGTCAATGAAACCCCGGTAACTTTAACTCGACAATAATACTAGTGATTTTCAACGGAACCCGTGGTCTAGTGGTTAGAGTGCTCGACTGCTGATCCGAAGGTCCTTGGATCGAATCCTCCTGGAAGCATTTTTTTTTTTTTTTTTTTTGTTGAATTTTTGATTTTTTGGCGTTTTTCTGGTGTTTTTCTTCATTTTTTCAACCCAAATGACATGGAAAGACTTAAAAAGGTGGAAAGACGTCTTATTGTTCTCTGAACAATTAGTTTACTAGTTTTGTTTATTAATTTTATTTATTGGAAATTAGAAAAGGTGGCCCTTCCTTTGAAAAAATTGATTTTACTTTATCCAAGGACACTTTGTAGCTAGTTTGGTTGGAACTGGCCTAGCAAGTGGTTCTTGAGAAGAAATCGAAAATGTGAAAAGTTAACAGGCTAACAGATGGATGCCAGACAAAATAGATCAGAAAAGCTCACTTGTGCTTTGGCTCATGCGAGGAAACGAGTATGATAAATTCAGAGAAGATTTTGTCCTCATACAAATCATTTATTATAGGATGAAAGAAATAAAATGTACTTGTCATTCATTTATTAAAGTGGAAGGATAAATACATGTATGCTAGCCCCTGTTCTTACATGTACATATTACTGTAGATCACTAAATTTTCGCGACACCTTATTTTCGAGAGATTGTCATTGACTCTTGGTCAGCGAGACAAAATTTTCACGAATTCTGGTTATTGTTCTATATAACCTTAAGGAATACTATTATACGTTAGAATTTTATTTTTGCGAGGACACTGTCTCGCGTTATTACGCGAAAATAAAGTTCTCGTGAATAAAAAGTGATTTACAGTATTTACTTACCTGATTTGCAAACAGGGGATGTTGTGCCATAAACTGATGTAATAGTTCAACAGCCTGTCAGGAAGAAATGTTAATTGAATTTAGTTCCATGCTTGTGATTTCAGTTTAAATTTCCATATAGCATGAAATATTTGGAAACAGCCGAATTTAATTATCTGAACAAAGTTAATTTCATGATTTAGAAATTTCAGCTTAAATAACCATAGGAATACAATCACTGAATAAGTACTCAATAAGAACTTACAGCAGCAGTAACTCTCCTCTTGTTTTCTGGGTATAAATAGGACATAGTTATTTCCCTAAACACAGCCAGGAGTGCTAGTGTTCTTTTCTGGAAATCAGGAACCCTGGTACTCTGAAAAACAGTACATTTATATGTACTATAAACTCCATATAAAGTATAACACACTTTCCAAAAGTTTAAAGTTTTAACTAACATAATTCATGAAACAAACACCAATGAAATCCTGTTTCCTGTCAAACTGATGATAAATTATCAGATTAACCAAATTATTTGATTAAACAGTTATCAGATTATATGATATCATTATTATTATATAATCTTTACTGCACACCATATTATGTAAAGCTAAATTTTCAATCTAATTAACACTGAGTTACAAACATATTTAACACCTTCCTGTGCATTTTTCAGTGAGTATAATCTACCTCTATAGCTGTGTTGAGTAGCTCCATATTCTGTCCCAGGGCTGCCTGGGTTAACTTCTCTCTCAGTGTTTTGTACTGGTCTCCACACACAATAAACCTGTCACTGCACTCAGCAATCTGTGTTAAATATCAAACATTGTTCTTATTCCATGTAGAACAGTCTAATATGCAAATATTTAGCAATTTGCATTGGTGTAGCTTGATCTTTTTATGATTTATGACTTGATTCTTTTACAACTACTGTTTTTCATACAAATTGTAGAAAAATTCTATTCTTTCAATTATTTTAAAACATTAAATAATCTCTGTTTTGATGGATTACTGTGCCTCATGCTTTTAACAATTAGATACCTCATTTTTCTGGAGTTCTGGTACACTTAACCAGCGAACTGTGGCAGTATCACTTGACTTGCAGACTTTTTGATAGGTCTCCAACCCAAAGCATCGGCAGAGATGTTTGATCAGGAACAACCTACAAGAGCCAAAAAATTTTTTAAGACATTTGTCTAAAAAATATTCTCATTAATATGTTACTAAATGAATTTTTTTTTAAAATGATATCTTACTTTGGCTGCTTTGACCCGCATTCGTCACACAGCCTACCAGCAGCTTCTAGAAGTCTTCTGACACCCTGTCCCATCTTTATAGACTTCTCCACCAGTAACTTGTGGAGGATCTCAGCCACAACAATCAGACCAAACCTGGTCTCAGCCATACAGTACAGCTTCTCTACATCTAACCCCTCCTTCATCACCAGATGGACATTGTGCTGAAGCATCTGGGTAGCCATCTTGATTTTAGATTTTTCCGGGTCATCACCTTTTGTTGCTTCTTGATCATAGGAATCCTGTAGAAATAAGATAAAATTTTTGGGACCATATTGCAAAATCCAAATGATCTAGCATTGTTTGAAAACAATAGGCCAAGTGTATATCAAAAATATCAAATTATAAACCTTAAGCTAAGAAGGAATGATAAAAAGTATGCAAAGTATGCAAGCCTTTGGATACATGGTTATTGGTTTTTGAGTACAAGATAATGTATCTTTTTCTTATATGAAGGTCAAAGACAAAGAATCAAAATTTTGGTATATTCAATAAGGTCTTGACAGATCTAGAGGGAATGTTAAAAGCATAATGTCTGTGTTCAAATATGAAATTGATATGAAAGCCCTAGTCTCAACCAATCAAAACAAGTGGCCAATGTTAAAGTTTTTAAAGAGTAGATCAAACTCAAAGGTCAAAAGGTAAATAAAGAAAAGGCTAATCATAGGGAATAATAAGAGTACAAAGCCCCATCTTTTAAAAAGATATGGCAAGGGTAAAAGTTATGGGATCAAGCTTCAAAATCAATGTCAAGAGGTAAGATATGTTGGTTTTCAAAGAAAGGTACAATGTACTGTACTGTCCCAAAGAATATACACGAATTATGAAGTCATAGCTCCAACCAATCAAATGTTATATGCAAGGTTCCAGTTTATGCAAACAGATAGACAGACAGAGCAAAATCTGTATGCCACTGAATCTTCTATTATGGGAAGTTGGGAACATTGATTAATGGTCAGAAAACACTGTTGTTTACTTAAGTTTATAATAGGCAAAATTCTGTTAGCTAGTACACATTATGGAATATGCCAGCAGAGCATTTGCTATTCAAAATGCAATGTTCACTGAATAATGTATTTCTTAGATATCTCTTTGACTCATGATGTTACACATTATTATATACATGTCACTATACGCTACCTCTAGGCACTGAATGACCAACAGAGACAGTTCTATCATTTTCTCTTCATTTTCTGTGAGGGACATCATTTTCTCCACTTGATCCAAATATACCCCCAGGCATTGTCTTACTTCATCAGAGCTTCAAGTTAAATAATAACAAGTTTAAAAGGAACATTTCATTGCAAATTATGTTAACTACAAGCCACAAGTTTCACACAAAATCTTTTAAATTCCATTAGGCCTAATCCCTGGCCTGTGAATTTGTGCAAAATAACATTAATATTGGTTTTATCAAACTCTCTGTTACAACGAAAAAAAAAATGAATTTCCTTCCACTGATGGGTGAAGCGTTGACAGAACATACTTAGTTCTCAGCAGGTGTTGTAGAAGGAAGGATCGTAGGACTGGTGTAGGATCAATGCCTTCCTCAAACACTGACAGTTCCTTGCTGGCCATTTTGCCACCTTTAGCTGTAGCTGTGATGTGAGACATGAGCTTCTCAACTACTTGTCTGGATGGTGGTTCATCATCAGAGAAGCAAAGCTGAGATACCAGATCCATGAAAAAGCTGTTGCAACGTCTTTGGAATTCTTGTAGCTTTTTGAACTTTATTCTTTAGAAAATATGCATTTTTCATTTATTTTTGCTGTTCATAATAACAAGATAAACAGTATTTTTAACAGACTACTAGACCATTTTTAGTCCATTTTTTCAAGGGCACATAAAATTAAGGTTAAGATTCTTCCTCTCAAAGTGTCTTGCCCCATCATTAAAAAAAATTGTTTAAAAATACATGGATTTAAAATTGAAATTAAATGCATATTTTTTAAAAGCTGCTTTTGAAGAATGAAATTGTAAACAACCGTATCAATTAAATTGTGGCCATGCGAGGAAATGTCTCTATATCCACTGATACATAAACTTGATTCAAAAAGCATGTATCATGAAAACATTTGTAAATGTAAATTGACAGTTATACTGACCTTTGTGTATTGTCTTCTTGAGGATCAAAATCCCCAGAAATCTCACTATGACAAGCAGGACACTCAGTAGCTCTCAGAATCTTCATCTCGTTATAACATTTAATACAGATGACATCCTTACAGGGGAGTTGTATAGGTCTCTCTGTGATCTCACTCTCACAGGCTGTGCAGTTTGTCTGACCCCTAGAAAATGAATATCAAAGTTCAAATTAGTTGACATGTTTCATGTTTAATTTCAAATTTCCACTGGTGACAATTTCTTGAAAATTTCCATTCCTTGTTTTATAATTAATACAAGTGGAAGCATACAGAATACACCTGCTTCAAAACCTTTTACTGAGGACACATGCAGAGAGAGAGAGAGAGAGAGAGAGAGAGAGAGAGAGAGAGAGAGAGAGAGGTAAACAATTAAAATTAGTCCAACAAGCCAAAAATTTCATATTATTAATAGTTCTCTTATAATCAAGAAAGAAATACAATATTTAGTAATGTATCTATACCCATACCCAATTGCTGTTTTCACAACTTTTTTCATGCAGATCTTTAAGAATTTTTCCACCTTTTCCAAAGATTCTATTTTCTTAAAGTCAACATTATCCTTCAGCATCTGGCAAAACCAATTTAACTTTGAAATCAATGCATAAAAATGACAGTTTGAATTTTTATTTTATATTCATTTTGCCATGATTCTATGTACTGTTCCAAGTTTTTTTGTCAATTTTTTACTAGTAGCAGGAAATATATAATTCTTACCATCCAGAGCATCATGCATCTCTCTGTTGGCTGTGTATCGTCAGAACAAACATGCTGAAGGAACAGCTTCATCACGGTGATCCTAGTCCACATACACCTAGAAATGAAATATACACAGGATAATGCTCTGCCCTTCAGTTTACTGAAAGTCTGCTAAAATGCCATTCAGTGAATGTTTCACACCTTTCAAACATCATTCAATTAACTGATTGGTTTAGGTTTATATCCAATGAGAATTTCAAAAAATAAGTGGTAAGTATGGATGAATATAATTAAGCTTAAACCCTTAATTCTCACAAAAATCTTAACTTTAAATTCAAAATAATTCTATATATGTGCATAAATCAATCATCTACTTAGGTCAAAGCCAACTTCTAGCCCCTACATTTATAAATGCTATTCACTCCCACCCCCAAATGATTATTTTTCCTCTGCACTACCGGTAAATAGAAAGTTGAAACATCTTGATTTTTTCAAAAGAAAAATCTGACCTACATGTATATAATTATGTTACACCAAACTAACCTAGCCTCCTTACTGCCCTCCCAACATCTTCTCCCAAACTCTGCCGCTCCTGATGGATCCACCTCCTGTACAAACTGTCCCAGAATCCTCTCCACCACAGGTCGGTACTTGAGCACCTGTTTCTGCCAGTGTTGTCTGCCCCTGTTGTCATTGAGTGAGTCCTTCCCAGGCTCCAAGGATTGTAGCAGCAGGTAGAGGCCAAGTATATCTAGAGTCTGAAAAGTGAAGAAATGTATCACTTTGAGTTTTCATTTAAAGTTAATTGATACAACCATGCAAAACATGAGACATGATACAGTAAAAAAACATTGAATATTTCATAAGTGGTAAATTTTTCAAAATATTACCAGTTCTTCATTTGTGACAAGGTAAAATTGAGTACTTTTGTGCTGAAACTCAATGATTTTGTCACTGCATTCAGGCCACACTCGTGTAATGCTGGCAAAATTCCTCAGTCTTGGAACATATTTATTGTGTACAGCATGAATTGCTACTAAGTTCATCACAATACTCTGTAGTCCTTCTCTGAAGTCCATATTCATTCCATTCAGTAAATTTTCACACACAAGCTACAATAAATTTTACATTTAAAAGAATTTCATAAACATAGAAATATTCAACTACTCAACTATAAAACTGAAGAAATTAAGAAACACTTCATACATAAATAAACCTTTTAAACTCAACTTAAAGATAATTTTTTTTCAAACTTTTGAGACTGACCCCATGCTCCTCAACACTGGTCACATGATATACCATGTTAACAAAATCACAGAGATATGGCTTGACAAAGTCAGGAACCTTGATCCCACCAAGACATTTCTGAAGCACTTTCCCAAGTGCTGTGTTCTCTATAATACCTGTTACCCTAATGACTAATTCTGGTGTTGTTTCTGCAAAATAAAAACATTTCAACCTAATAGATAAAATTCTCTGTTTGCATCTGAAAACTGTAGGAACTTAAACTATTTTGAATTCCATTTTCTTTATATAAAAAAGAGATGTTTGTAAAACACTTATGCCCCCTTCCTTTAAATACTTTGAATTTTTCTAAGTTAAAGGGGCATAAATCTGTCAAAAATTGCTTGATCGTACTCAAAACAAATTTTGAAAAAAATATTCACTTGAAAAATCTGTATACCGAATTTCCTTTCAATACTTCGAACCTTTGTGAAGAAAATGAACAGAAACTGCAATTAATTACTGTAAATCACTTTTTATTCGCGAGAACTTTATTTTCGCGTAATTACGCGAGACAGTGAGCTCGCGAAAATTTGATTCTCGCGTATAATATTATTCCTTAAGATTACATAGAGCAATAACCACAATTCGCGAAAATTTTGTCTCGCTAATCAAGAGTCAATGACTATCTCGCGAAAATAAGGTGTCGCGAAAAATTAGTGATCTACAGTAGATTTTTTCTAAGTCCAGTATGACCTTGATTGTACCAAAAATAAAACTTGACCTAGATATTCTTATGATAAATCTGTATACCACATTTCTTTTCAATATGTGCAATCTCTGCAAAGAAAATGAACGAAAACTGATGGTGAACCACCTGACCGACAGACAGCAGCAAAGTCATCATCATGTGCTCTCCCTTCTTCGAAAGGGGGCATACAAAAAGCAAATCTAAGAAACAGCAGTCAATTATAAATTCTTGAGCAAAGTTAATTTACTGCTTAAAAGAAAACCAAAAATTACATATTAAGAAACCACAAATCAACACACCAATATTCTCTACATTCTGTGAGGTTCTCAAGATCCGGTCAATCAGTTTGTAGATGAGCCAGGAGAAAGGCATCTGAGCTGTAAATTTCTGTCCATCACACCCCGTCCCCCTCACCATCACCTCAGGAAGTTCCTGGTGTCTTTTGGGGGACACAATCATGGAATACTCTATCTGTGTGGCTGAGGGGTCATTGATGATCTCAAGCCAGAGTTTGTGCTCCCATGTATCGGGGTCAGTCTTAATCAAAAGGTCAAGGTTACTGTTGGTGTCCACTTGTGCAATGATGCCAGCCAAGATGGGGGATAATTTCTCAATGATGCACTGGTTTCTAGCTTTTCTGAAAGAACATACACGAAACAATTATTTAGGTTAAGGTTCAATATTTCAAATACCAGGGATATATGTTGAAGGAAACTGTCAGTCCCTAATACATTTTCATATAAAGTGTATTTAAAACTTCTTTATCTTGATTTCTCAGATATCTAAAAACAAAGTCTTGGTCCCATCAAATTCAAGATCCTATTTAATAAAGTTTCAATTCTATATAAAATCATTTTACAAATATGTCTTTTAATTTCCATCTGACACTTAGTATATTTAAGAAATTAAGTCGGTGTTTTTGTGAATGTTGCTTCCGAGGTCGAGAAATGCTGTTTGAAATAATAAAACCTCAGCTAACAACTCAGCTTTTATATTTCAATCAACATTTGGAGAGCGAGGAGGTTATTCTGCATCATTTACAACAAAGACTTTATATCTATTATTATACTACTACTTGTACTTGCAGCTCTTTTAAATATGACTGATCATTTCTCCATAGAGAAGCGAATTGGGCCAATATGATGCGATAACACTGTTCCATGTAACACCAGTGTAAATTTGTTTGTTTACCTATGAAATGAATGCTAGGATTTGTGCTTTTGCCGTATTAAAATTAGCCCTTTATTAATTATAAATCTGTTTGTAGCTTATACAGATTAATCTTTTTGAATATGTAATTACAAAATCAGTTTCCTATTTTAGGCCATAATAAATAAATAGCTAGATTCTCATCCGAATTTTTTTAAAAATCGAGGCGGGCGGGCGGCTTTTATTTTATATTTTTTATTTTTTCAATTTTGCAGATTTTTCATTGACCTGGTCAATCGGTGAAATTTTATCTACAATACCCAAATAAAAGTCATAGTAAAGGTTCAATTATCTCTTACTTCACTTCATCACCAATCTTTTTCAACCAATTACCCGTGTTTAAAATATATATACGCATGTATAATAGCAATTACTATCTATCATGTTGACTTTCGCGGGATTTAAAACGAAAGTAGAATGGTAGATGAATACCGATCCCGATCAGAATTAAAACGAAGAAAAACAGAAATAAAAAAAATCGAGGCGGGGGTATAAAATCGGGGCGGGCGGGGATGAGAATCTAGGAATATTTTTATTATGGCCTTACCACTTTATCACTTAATCAGAGTTTAAATATGGCGTTGGGGTCCGTGAAACAGCCCCACTTGGCTTTCCAATATACATTGTTAAAAATTGCAAAAACGACACATAGATGTGGTCTAAATTAAATAAGTCTTTCATTCTTAAGTCAAATGTACATTTCAACTGCTCATGTTTGATACATGTTTCTGATTTGATAATTTTTTGATGACGTTTGTGATTTATTGGATAATAATGTCCGCAACATTTTTTTTTATCTCCACAATAATCATAGTAGAATTAATGTTAATCAACACAAAATTCTTCTTAAATCTTGTAATGGTGAGTACAGTTAGTTTTTATTACCTGAATGTCCCCACTCTGTCAATACAGTCCCTGTTGGTGGCCTCTGAATACAACCAACTCTCAGCAGACTGCCCCATGGTCTCCTCTTTCTCCTTCATCAAGGCCGCTAGGTGGCGCCCCACTCCTTGCATGAATGTCACTTTTTCTGTAAAAATAAAATTTAACATTAATCATTATCAGACATCACTATCTAAAGCAGACAAACTTCATACAAACAGAAATCTGATTGTCTTACCTTTTGCTTCTTGATGTAGAAGCTCTAACAGAATTTTCACTCTCTCTGTTGTTCTGGCGGAGTCCTCAGCTGGATCTTTCACCATGGCCAGAGCTGGATGTGCTGTCAGTTTGATGAAGAACGGAATATCCACTTTCTTCTCCTTATGGACTTGTCCTGTGCGCTCCATCATGCTGCCAAAGTCATGTGGATAAATATCCTGATCCTCCATTTCTATGTCCTCAGTTTCCTGTTTATCCTGATCTGGCCTCCCCTCCCACTCCATTTCTTCAGTGTCTCTGGGTTTAGAGGAGCCAGCTGCTTTTTCTAGTAAAGTGCCAACACTCTTATTCTTCAGATCCCTAAAACCAGGCATTTTTTCATCATCTGGTCTAAGGTCATCAAGATGAACTGAGTGCCACAGACCACACTTAGTAAAACAAAGAAATCAATTAGAAATAACATCAATAATTTTAATATACATTTTTAAATTGCCTCTTTAAAGCACACATATACTTTGTCATAAAAACAATTTTTTATTTCTTCCATTTTCACTTTTAATTATATTATATATGATAATTATGATTTGTACCTGGAATCCCGTAAATCCTCCACCCGCCACCCTTGGGAGATGGATGATGAAGACAATGTGTGTTTTCCCTGTCTTCTCATCTTCCAGTTGTTGTAGCTGATCTAGCACAGAATACTGGGCACAGGCCACAAGGCTGGCATTCTCATTTCCACTGTCACACTGTACAATCAACAGGGACTCAGATTCCAAGTCTCTCTCAAAACTTTGTCTACAACAGACATTCCATTTTCATTGATGAAAGGAAGTTAGATGCAGAAACTTTATATTCTTTAACAAGAGGCCCAGGGGCCACAGCGCTCACCTGAGCACATCAGGTTTGAATTTACTCCCCTCCCCCCCCAGGCGTTCATCATTTGAACAAACTAGAATCTACACTACCTGAGGATGATTCCATATAAATATCACTAATCATAGCTTTGAAGTACTTGTAAAGAAGATTTTAAAAGGTTTCCCTATATATCCCTATGTAAAACTTGGGTTGGCCATTTTGGCCCCACCCTAGCCCCGGGGGTCATGAATTGAACAAACTTGAATCTGCACTACCTGAGGATGATTCCACATGAGTTTCATCTTTCCTGGCCCAGTGGTTCTGGAGAAGAAGATTTTTAAAGATTTTTCCTATATATTCCTATGTAAAACTTGGGTCGGCCATTTTGGCCCCACCCTTGCCCCGGGGGTCATGATTTGAACAAACTTAAATCTGCTCTACCTGAGGATGATTCCACATGAGTTTCATCTTTCCTGGCCCAGTGGTACTGGAGAAGAAGATTTTTAAAGATTTTTCCTATATATTCCTATGTAAAACTTGGGTCGGCCATTTTGGCCCCATCCTTGCCCCGGGGGTCATGATTTGAACAAACTTGAATCTACACTACCTGAGGTTGCTTCCACATGAGTTTCATCTTTCCTGGCCCAGCGGTTCTGGAGAAGAAGATTTTTTTAAAATGCCATTAATTTTTAACAAATTCATGATTATCTCCCCTTGGAAAAGGGCGCGGCCCTTCATTTGAACAAACTTGAATCCCCTTCACCCAAGGATACTTTGTGCCAAGTTTGGCTGAAATTGGCCCAGTTGTTCTTGAGAAGAAGATGAAAATGTGAAAAGTTTACGACGACAACGACGACAACGAAGACAGACAACGGACAAATTTTGATCAGAAAAGCTCACTTGAGCCTTCGGCTCAGGTGAGCTAAAAATATGATTATTAGTCAAGTCAATGTTGTCTACTGATCTTATGAGTTACTTTACATGTCTACAGAACTGCTGACTGACTTGACCTGTCTACAGATTTAAAGAATTTCCCTTTTTTACCTTTCTTGTCTACAGATCTTATGACTTACTTGACTTTTCTAAAAACTGCTGACTTACCACTCTGTATCAAATGACTTTTTCATCAACTGCTGACATTCTTGACTAGCCTAGAGAACTGCTGACTTCCCTATAGAATTCCTGATTAACTACTGACTTACTTGATTTGTCTTCAAATCCAATGACTTTTTGGACTTGTCTACAGAATTCCTGACTTACTGAACTTGCCTACAGATTTGCTGAGTTACTTGACTTGTATATGTATCAATTGACTTATTGACTTACTAGACTTGTATACAAAACTGCTTACTTGACTTGTCTACAGAACTGCTGTTCTGTGTCAAATGACTGAAGATTGAGTAGTGTGATCTGTGTGTGAGGAATGTGGAGGTACTGGGACAGCTCTGCTTTATCAACTGTGGTGATCAGCTTGGAGTTGGTAGTCACCTAAAACAATATAAGAATTGAGTAGTTTTACAACACACACTCAATTTGATACATGTGAAGAATGACAGATGAACATGGTAAACAGAGTGTAATCCACTATGCTTGTTGCAAGTACTGCCTATTATATTCTTGAAAGTTAAAACCATGTTAAAATTTGGATTTGTCTCCTTACAAAAGGCAATTCTGCTTAATGGATGGAGGATAGAAAAAAGTGAATGTTTCTACAGGATTTATCAGAAGCTCTGTATTATTATAACAGAAATTTCCTTATATAAGTGAATTCTTCATAACCAAATTTTACTAGATATTGAATATTCATGAAAATATCTTTATCTTAAAATTAACCTGAGCATACAGTCCATTACTATTTTCCATCCCAATCTTCTGGTCAAGGTAGAACAACAAATTATCATGTTTTTGCTGTTCATAGTAAATGTTCTCCACAAATGCAAATTCTCGAGGAGGAAGTTTCTGTTTGGCCCTCAATACACCATCAGGAGTGGCACACCACAGTAAGACTTCTTTGGCAGCTTGCATCACCTGAATTGAAACATGATTAACTTTTTTTCATTTTCTGCTTTTAATTTCATTTCTGTCCATAATTATATCTAAAGAATTTAACTGTTTAAGAATTCAACATGTTTGCATTTCTAAAACGTTTTTACAAAGTATCAAAATCTTGCCAGGAACAGAAAATCCCACTTTTCTTACCTTTGAATGTGAATATGAAATAATTTTTTTTTTATTAAAAATAATATAAGATTTCATTTTTAAATCAATAAATGATTTTTAAATTACAGTATATTTTGAATATTTTAAAGTGGTTGTATGTAAAACCCTAAATCAATGGGTAAACCCAATCAAGCACTTTTTTTTAAGACAATGCCATCATAGTTTAACCCAAAATACAGTATTACAAACATAGTCAAGTCCTTGAAAAGAAATCAAATACCAAATTTTCATTATCAGAACAAGTCACACCATTTGATGCAACATGCAGTCTTAGCCTAGATAAGATGACCAACTTATGCTGCTTACAAGTCCTACACAAAGACTTGATCACAGGTTTTTACACAGAAGTCATAATATATAACTTCATTTACATTGATGGCTAGAATTCAATTCTGAAGATACCCTGTCTTCTCTGATTGCAATATTTTCTGTACCTCTTGTTCAATGGTTTCCAAGTCATCATCGCTGTATTTCTGGCAGACATGGAGGATTATTGAGGCACATGTATCAGCATGGAAGCCCATGAAGACATCTCCTGTCTTATACCCTGCTTTCTTCTCCCTGGTGAAAAATTAATGCAAGAAATAATGGCTCTATCTTCTTTGAATTCTTTCAATGCTAAAATTCACTAGAACTGTCCAAACACGACAAAATACTCCCTGCTGGCTTTATCAGAAGTAAGTTTTTCCATAATAAAGATATGTAGCACACATGAATTATGAAATTTTTCTTCCAGTGACCTTGAACTTCCCCAAATGACCTTGGGTCAAGGTCATGACACACCCTTAGGTCATGGGGCAATCTTTGTTGAAATGAGAACCTACCAAGTTTATGCATAAGAAAGATATGGAATGGACACCAATTATGAAATTTTTCTTCCAGTGACCTTGAAGTTCCCCAAATGACCTTGGGTCAAGGTCATGACACACCCTTAGGTCATGGGCAATCTTTGTGTGAAATGAGAACCTACCAAGTTTATGCCTAAGAAAGATATGGACTGGACACCAATTATGAAATTTTTCTTCCAGTGACCTTGAAGTTCCCCAAATGACCTTGGGTCAAGGTCATGACACACCCTTAGGTCATGCAATCTTTGTGTGAAATGAGAACCTACCAAGTTTATCCATAAGAAAGATATGGACCGGACACCAATTATGAAATTTTTCTTCCAGTGACCTTGAAGTTCCCCAAATGATCTTGGGTCAAGGTCATGAAAGCCATAGATGCTGTTTACCAAATTTGATTGAAATTGGTTCAGTAGTTGCAGAGAAGAAGTTAAAAATGTTCAAAAGTTTACGAACGACGAATGATGTCGGACGAAATCGGAGAGCAATAAGTCACCTGAGTTTACTCAGGTGACCTAAAAATGTGAAAAGTCTACAATGATGACGACAGTTGACGGACAAATTTTGATCCAAAAAGCTCAATTGAGCCTTTATATAGGTGAGCTAGAAAACTGCAAGCAAGATAAGTTGACCTTGGGTTTCTTGAGTATGGTAGAGTTGTCTTGACAAAGTCCTCTGCCCAAATTTGCAACTTGTGAGCCAGGCTGACTTGGACTGGAGACAACATGGTGGAGATGTTGAGGAAGTGTTTCTCCAGTCGGTTGATCAGAGGAATGGGGAACTGTCTGTATACAACCTCCTTCTCTGCTACCACTATCAACCTGTAAACCAATTATAAAGCATGAAAGTCTTCTGTTGCCTGTTTTGAAAATTTTCCTTTTTATTCACTCTGAGGAAAGTTTATTTACCTGAAATTCTTGTGCACTCTACACTTGACACGATGAGTTCCCAATCCAAGATCTACATATCTTTCACCTCCAAAGTAGACATAATACTGAAAACAAAAAGGAAAAAACCCAGTCAGAGCTGCATGATTTAAAACAATTATTGCATGTCATCTTACAATTATCAGGCACACCATAGAACTATGCATGAAATTTGTTTCAATTTCCATTACTGTACAGGGGATTAATTTCACGGGTTGTAATTTTCACGTTTTTCTTTTTGTAATTTTCACGTTTTTCTTTTCTCTGACCCCTTCGCGGTTTCTTGAATTCGCGGAATTGGTATGTAAGAAAAGTTCCCTCCCTTATCTATATATATTGAAAACTTATTCACTGTTTCTTGAATTCACGGATTCATCAACACCGTGAATATAGCGAATATTAACATCGCGAGTTATTTTCCCCCTATACAGTAACTCTTTACAACTTACTGAACTGCGACGCATCATACACTTCATGTTCATGTCATAGAAATATGACGTTACCTTTTCCCTGCAAGCACTTTATAGCACAAACGGTACAAGTTTCTCTTAAGTTTAGCACAAAAAATATTGTGACGTAATACATAAGAAAGAAGGAAATTGGCACTAAATTGAAGATTAAATGAACTTTTAAAAGTGCATGGAAATGCGTCATTGCAGGGAAATGGTATATGCATGATTTTTCGTTAGAAATAGGAAATGGTATATATGCGTTAAAAAGAGTGAATGCAGGGAATGGGGTTAATGACAAAACTACAAAACGGATAAATTGGGGAAAAATTTCTTACTTTCATACAGGACAAATCAAACCCAAAAGAAATACCTGATTAAGGGCATCATAGAGACTCTCATACAGATTCTCCAAGTTCAGAAGAACCACAGTTTTTCCTGTTTCCATGCAGATCTTGATACGATTAATATTTCGGCAAACCTAAATAAAAACAGGAAAAAAAATCCTTTCTCATATTTCAACCAGGTTTAATCTAAACATTGTTAATCTCATAAAGTTAAAAACCTTTAATCATATAAGTTGTACTGTAACAAACAGTCATGTGCGATTATCAAATGATGTTACCAAATATACAAAACCCTTGCATTTTGACGCTGAAGACCTGAATTTAAGGTTAAAAATTGCTTTCACAAATCATATACATGTCATTTTGTTCAAGAAGCTCGAATCCTTTTACCTGTGTATAATCTTGATGTTACCTGTGTGTACTCTTGATCACTTGGAAAACTGCTACCAAATATTGTAATAGCGTTCTTCATTGTCAGAATCTTCTGTTGTAAAACGGTCAAAGCTCCGTAGTTTTCTGTCAGCAGTAGCAGGTATCGTGTATCACTTACAAAAAAAGAATGGTACATTATTATGACTAAAAAAACTAGCAAAATCATACAGGGATTTTAATAAGTTTTTTAATAACCTGACCTTTTGCAATTCACTTTGTGAAGCGGTCAATTAAACATATAACCTATATATTGTATTGTAATCCCTTCCTTCTTTCCAATGGCATGAAATAAACAAAATTACAATTAACTTCCTTTGTTAAGCTAAAGATAATTCTGTACCCACCTGTCCACTCCGTCACCTTGGAGACAGGCTTCAATGAGACCAGCAGGTGTACAGTCAGGATCTCCTGGGGAAGGCTGGAAGGAATATCAGAAGTATGGATAAATCTTATGACAGTCACTGACAAATTTTCAGAAGTGTAACATCCCTCCCCCTATCAGTTGAAAATAATACATAAAATACCTGTCTTTTGATGAAAATTTACTTGGCTAATGAATAGAGACTCCATCTTAACATTCAGCATAAAATTTTCTACACCAATTAATCCATTAACAATTTTGCCAGATACCTTACCTGACTCTTTTTTTAGCGAGCTTGAAAAAGTACACATTTTTTTTTTACAAATTTTTTTTTTCAATATTTCTTAATGATATATAGAGCTAGATGTGTAATTGTGACAATAGCCAGTGAGTTTATAAAATCATTCTTAAAGAGTAAATATAATTATAAACAAGTATTATCAGTATGAATCTTCACCAAAATATTGCTGCTATGAATATTTCTTATTGTTACCGTTAGAATTTTTTCCACTGTTTTGAGTTTCTCTGAGAACACGGCTAAAGGATCTTGCTCTGCTGAGTGTTCAAATCCTCCAAAGTTTCTCTTGATGCAGTGTTGTAACATCAACCAGGTGGGCTTCTTGTTGTTCTTCTCAGCAAAACTGTACACCATCTTTATCAAACTGTAAATAAAACAAGCATATATTCATCTCAACTTGCACATGGCTTATATAAACAAAAGAATAAATATCGAGTGCATCTTTTCAATGACAGCAAATCGCAGAAGGAATTAAATAACATGATTTTTTTCAATCTTTTTGACAACATACTTTAACATCTCTGAAGAGTTATCATAACAACACAAAGCAGGAAGGATGTGTATTGAATTTTTTCATGATCTATTTCACTCATTATAAATAACATTTTTACCTGTAGAAATCCCTTAATCCAAAGAACTCCCTCTTTGTAATGACAGATTTAAACACTTGTAGGTAGGACTCTGCCAGGGGTTTGATCAGCGGCTTTATCATCTTACTTATCCTTCTGTTACTTGAGCATATTCCTCTGCAATATTCATAATATAAATACAATGTACAATAACTCTCTTTATTATTTTTTTAAAACTTTTTTTTGAAAGTTTTGAAAATGCTGCTATTTGTTTTCAACCTTATACAACAATGGCTTCAGAAAATGATTTAAGTGTTTAAACAATTACGTAAATTGATTCACAGTCAATAATTTGAGTTTCAGTGAAATTTCAGCAAATTCCGGGGGAAAATTCTTTCCACATTTAATAATTTTCATGTTATTTTACACTTACTCTGCACTCTCTATGAGTTCTCCAGGTCAGGGAATTTCTCTCTGTTAGAAGGTTTCAATGTATTTATTTAACCAGGATCCAGAGCCCAGTTTAGAAATCCCTATTTCTACCGAAAATCACGAATATTGTGGATTCCCGCAATCACGAATTTTCACGCACTTTACAAATTTCATTTAATCTTCAATCTATTACCGAATTCCTTCCTTTATATTTGCTTAAATTTCATAAAATTAGAAAACTTAAGTTATTTTCTTATTGAAAATTACGTCATAATATAATTTACGCTAAATTTAAAAGGAACATGTAGCATGCTATAAAATGCTTGCGGTGAAATGGTAACGTCATATTTCTATGACGTGATCAAAGTGTATGTTGCATAACAATGTAGTAAGTTGTAAAGAGTTAAGCAAATGCAATTCATATATTACTTGAATGTGACTAAAGGTTTGAATTACTCTGCACTCTGTAGATTTTATATGTCAATCTCTATATCAAGGATTCCACGATTCCTTTTGGCAGGATCCAGAGCCCAGTTAGAAATCCCTATAAAGGCTACCTAAGAATGAGCAGGTGGATTGTAATCAGTGATTATGAAGACCATATAAATGTACATGTAAAGTAAACCAATTGTTTACACAGACATACCAATGGGCAAAATTACACCATTAATAATTACTCACTTTTTCTTCACAACCCAATCAGTTCAAAATTAAAACAGGGATCATGATGTATCTATATGGTGAATGAATGAAAACATCACAATGAACCTACTTTTTTATGTTCCTACGAGATCACCCTGATATATGTTCATATCAATGATCAATGATCAAAGAGATACAAAAATTTAAAAAAAAACCATTGATTTAAATCAAAAGATGGTAACATATACAACATTGCTCCCATTAATTTTTTACATGTTCAGTTAGTTGTTTCATACTGTAGATTCAACCATCTTCAATCGCAATGGATGCATTCATGAATCTTAAATTTGAGAATAATAATTTGCGAATTGACGGTCAATTTTCATCATTTCAAATAAAAAAGGTGCAGTTAAAAACATTTCTCATTTCAAAAATAATTAATTTCACGTGTATATTTAGGAATTTATAGTTATAATCATGAATACTGCTAAGTCTTCCCATTTGGAATTCGCTTTAAATCATCTCAGTAGTTATGTCATTTAAAACATGAACTTCAATTTGAATAAATGAATTTTACATGTAACTACACAAACAATGTCAACAATCAGAAATGTTTGTCTTAAATCTGACCTTGAGGGGCATTCTGGGAGAATCCTCGGCCAGTCCCACTTCGTCCAGAACAACAACAGACACAAATCTGTTGAGATCTTTGTCTTTCTGGTACATGGCACACTGACGGAAAGTACCCACAATTCCCTCTGGTACAGACAAAGGACTGCATTGGAAGGACACCATCTGGACCTATATAGACAAAACCCTTTAAACAAATCTCTATAACTACTAGAGACATATCTCTATAACTACTTTAAAATCACATACTTTCGAGTATCAAATTTTCATGGTTTGAGGAAAACATATTGGTTACTAGGACTTGATTTCATGGTGGAAGAATTGGTCAGTACGTACATGTAGTTATATGTGTAAAAAATTGCATTTTGTGGTGGTCTCAAATTAATGGATCTTTTCATGCCTTGAAAACAACAAAAATTAACCCCCACGAAAATTAGTGATTTCACAGTATTATGATTAATAAAACTCTAAAGTCGAGAAAAACCTAAGGCTTTTAGTAATTATACTGTATCTCAAACATAAGTATCTGGAATACCATCAGAATTGGGAGTCCTTACCACTTTAATTTTCCTTTAAGTATTTTTAAACCTCAAAATCTCAAATCCATTGTATATCATTTCTTTTTCATCGCTCCATTAAGCTCTAGATACATGTATCAGGACTTTACTGTATCTAGTTACTATATTCATTCATGGAGATTTTCTATAATTAAAATGTCACCTGTTTGTAGTTCCTGTAAATCTCTGTGTGAGCAGCATTTCCCTGCATGGCATCACCTACAATGGTTTTAGCCAGGGACTTAGAACTGCCAGGTTTTCCCACCAAGAAAAGAGGAATTCTGAGCTCTATACAGACCACCATCATAAACACATTCTCTCTCAGAGCCTGGTTCTTAGCAATGTTGGCTCCCAAGTTATCAATCTCCAAGAAAACATTCTGGCATCTGGAATATTCAATCATCATTTATAAATTTACAATAAACTGGCAATAAAAACATACACACTATTTGTTTATCAATAATGTTTGGCAAAAACAAATGTCTAACAACTTGAAGACAGTATACATGTACATTTTTGAATTCATAAAATTATTAGCTGGCTGTTTACTGCCACAACAAAATTATAGGATGTCATCAAATTCACACTTTAAGTACCTGGTGATAATGTCCAACATCTGTTCAGCCCCTCTTTGCCCACCACCTATAGGAAGGATACATGGAGGTCTAAACTCATCAACCATTTCTCTTCTGAACTTCTCTCGGTTTTTCAGACATGCATGGTAGCACACTCCAAGAGCCAGAACGAGTGACTTTGTCAAATTACTGACAGCCTGCAATGATTTCATTGGTCATTTTTACAGCATGCTGTTTGGGCAAAAAGTACTGATTTTCATCTCAATTTATTTGTATAAAACTAATTTCTCGAGGATTTTGATTTTGAGCAGATCCATGAAATATCAATGTTCATTGACTTAGGAAACAAGTGAAGTTTTATAAAAAACGTATCCTGGAAAATGTCTGTTTTACAAAATACATGAAAAATGGAGGAAATCACATGTAGTAGTCTACTTTGAGATTTTTTCTACCTACTTCCTTAAAATTATAAAACTTAAGAAAATATCCGCCCCTCCCTGACCTGAGGCTGAGGCACACTGATCTTAGGCTGAGACACACTGACCTGAGGCTGATACACACTGAACTGAGGCTGAAAATAGACACAGTCACGTGAGGCAAAACACACTCACCTATAAAATAGACAAAACTACTGACCTAGATATACATAAACTCTCTCCTACAGGATTAATTAAACTACACTCTCCTGAGGCACACTGACCTACAGAATGACAAAACTACACTCATCCTACACAATAGGCACACTGACCTGAGGCTGAGACACACTGACCTGAGGCTGAGGCACACTGACCTGAGGCTGAGACACACTGACCTGAGGCTGATACACACTGAACTGAGGCTGAGACACAGTGACGTGAGGCTAAGGCACACTGACCTGAAAAGACAAATCACACTGACCTGAGGCACAGCCAAAACTACACTCAGTCACTCCAAAACTACTTCTATAAAAAGACAAATCTACACTCGTCCTAGAGAAAAGACTCTACTCTTCTTCTAGAGAAAAGACCTCCTCCTCCTCCATCAGATCAAACAGGTTTGTCTCCCCCTGACTTTGTCTGTAGAACCAGCTCATCACCTCCAGGACTCTCTCCACATCTCTCAGGCTCACAAAGCTACATTCATCCTGTAAAAATAAACAAGTTTACAGTAAAGACTCTCACCACATCTCTCAGGCTCACTAAGCTACACTCATCCTGTAGAAATAAAAACAATCACTGTAAACTATAAAGAGAGTAAGTTTGACAATTATGCTTAAAAAATTCCTGAAACATATTCCAATTTGTAAATAAGAATTCTCCACATAAAAAATTCCTTTTATCTCAGTGTTGATTTGTACATTTTTTAAAAACTTTTTTATCTTCAATCACATTTAATCATAAACCCAGATTAATTTATATAAATCTTTCTTGCCTGTTGTCTCCTCATGAATTCCTGAGCTGATGTAAGAATATGACTGACTGTTGTGTCTAAATTTGGTTCATTTGGAAGTTTTCCTCCTCCAATCTAAAAAAAGTAAGAAAAATATCAAAAACATAAGAAAGTCAATGAAGAAATATTCCAATAGATGAATTGTGTAATATATATCTGAGTTCTACCTTCCTTAAATTTATTCTGAATACATTTTCTGTGACATACATATCTGAGGACCATCTGTTTGATGTACATTTTCTGTGACATACATATCTGAGGACCATCTGTTTGATGTACATTTCTGTGACTTATATATCTGAGGACCATCTGTTTGATGTACATTTTCTGTGACTTACATATCTGAGGACCATCTGTTTGATGTACATTTTCTGTGACATACATATCTGAGGACCATCTGTTTGATGTACATTTTCTGTGACTTACGTATCTGAGGACCATCTGTTTGATGTACATTTCTGTGACATATATATCTGAGGACCATCTGTTTGATGTACATTTTCTGTGACTTACGTATCTGAGGACCATCTGTTTGATGTACATTTCCGTGACTTATGTATCTGACAACCATCTGTTTGATGTACATTTCTGTGACTTACATATCTGCGGACCATCTGTTCGATGTTCATTTCTGTGACTTACATATCTGAGGACCATCTATTTGATGTACATTTTCTGTGACTAACGTATCTTAGGACCATCTGTTTGATGTACATTTTCTGTGACTTATGTATATGAGGACCATCTATTTGATGTACATTTCTGTGACTTACATATCTGAGGACCATCTGTTTGATGTACATTTCTGTAACTTACATATCTAAGGACCATCTGTTTGATGTACATTTCTGTGACATACATAGTCAATCAATGTCTTTGATGTACATTTCTGTGACTTACGTATCTGAGGACCATCTGTTTGATGTACATTTCCTCCACATTAGTGTCCAGTTGTCCAAAGTCATTTTCTGGGGAAGCATACTCTGGGGAGGGGCTTTTGATAGACATTTCTCCTCATTGGAACTCGGACCTAAAATACATTTCAGAACTTATATATCCAAACATGTAAGTAATTTTCTGAAGAATGAGAATATAAATTAACCAGAGATGAAGCACGTCTTTGATGAAAGTAAAAGTACCCATTCTGTCTGTGGTTTTGTCAGCATCCACGTGGTACCCCAGTCCAGCTTGTTCTAGTCTCTTGATCAGGTCCTCAGAATGTCTGTGTAATTATAACACAAATTTACAATATCCAATTTTTATCAAGATCTTAGAGACTATACAGCAATATTTTGTCAAAGAGAGAGAGAATTACCAGACTGCATGTCTTTCTTATATAAGAGATGTTTGTAAAAATATTTCAAATATTTACAAACCCTTATCCCTCTAAATTGAAATTTTTCAAAGCCCAAGGGGCATAAATCTGTTGAAATGGTGAGGTTGTACCCAAAACATAATTTGACCTAGGTTTTCATCTGATAAATCTGTATACCAAATTTCATTTCCAAATGTGCAATGGTTGTGAAGAAAATGAATTGGTGTGTAAGAGAGAGAGAGAGAGAGAGAGAGAGAGAGAGAGAGAGAGAGAGAAGGGGGGCATAAATATTTAAGATGTTTTAATCAAATGGAAGCAGAAACCACATACTTTCTGTAGGGGTTACAAGCAGCCACGATTTTCAGGGTCTGACAGAGTTTGAGTGGTTCCCCCTCCATTGATCGGTCACACATGATCTCCTTGATTAGACCTATAGCCTCTGTAGTGTTGGCCTCATCAAAGAACAACACAGTATACAGTCTCTGACCATAATTAGCTGTGTTCTCCTGAGCTATTCTCTCAGCCTCCAGCACTTTCCTGAGGATGTCACTTCTACGTGTGTCTCTATGAATCTAAGTAGCATAAAATGTACTGCATAACACAAAATAGGGGGAAACGTCATAATTCAGCCGAAAAATAGCGTTTATAGTTAAATCGCACATTTAATGCCAATCTGTATTTTTTATACCTTCATAAGGATCATATTCTGGACCTCCACCCCAATAGGACACTGAAGCTGACACATGAATTTGACCAGACGGGTCTTTCCACAGCCTGTTTCTCCCATAATAATCACAGGGATGTCACATCTAAATCAACAAGAAATTCAGCATTTAATTTTCCAACAATTCATACACGGCAAAATATGCAATCTTAAGATGCTAAGAGATATCTTTATATGAAGCACTTTCATAAAATGTTTACCTGAAGCGCATGTAGATGGCCAGTATCTTCTTGACATTGTCTGTTGTAAGTTCATAAGTCGGGTCAGGGTCAAATACATCTTCTACCCCCATCACACTACACAGTTTGATGAGTTTTTGAATTCTGAAAAATACACTCATTTTTTTTTTTTTGTGGTCTTTTTCAAAAAAAAGAGGACTCCCTACTTTTCCAACATTTACCTAACTACAAGTATAACAATGTCTTTGATGATATCTCATTGAATAAATATACAGTCATGTACATTTAACAAAACTTAATGCAGCAATTAACTAGATACACATGTCAGGAATTGAAATTGGCTACTGAACTAAGCTAAAGTTCATTAATTTAGCATCTAATTGACAAGCCACCTTGACCATTGAATGCTCTAAGTCCAGGTGGTGCAAAATGTATAGGATATGTGCAACAAGGTATTTCTACAAATCATTAATTGAAGTGTTATTTCTGATTCAATGCATTATACAAGTTAATTAAGTGGCCAGAAAAAGTTGATTTCATATCCTATCCTAGCTTTTCTTCATTCTGAAAAATCACAAATTATTTATACATATTAATTATATATGTAGCTTACCTTGGTAGACTGTCAAAGTTTTCATTGATAGGGACCCTGTTTCTGGTGAGGGCATCCTGCAGATTTCTCTGCATGATCCCCTGTTCTAGAACGGTCGCTGTTTGTACATCTATCAGGTTACCAGACTGTCTCTCTATGTTAAATCCCAGGAACGTCATAGAGTTGTGGTCAGGGTTAAAGAACAAGTAGGGATGGGGGCTAAAATATTTAAACATTAAAAATGTCTTCTTTCCCAACACATGTATAAATCAAAAAATTTGAGAAAGTCCATTGAAAGGTACTGTGGTGTCATTAATATTTGTTGAGTGCCAATTTTCAAGGATTTCGTTTATTGAGCAGATCCACAAATTTAGATATGTATTGAATTAAGAAATATACTATTCATTTGTTTAGGCAATGCTTTTGTCCATGAAAATTATGTATCCTCAGAAACGTCCTTTTTGTAAAATCCACGATAATTGATGCAAACAAAAATTGATGAAACCACAGTATTCCATATATAAAGCAGCTGAAAAATTTATTTGTCTATGCACTCATTGGGTAATTATCTATTACAACAACTGTAATGTTCAGACCAGCAGACAAGGCCACTTTACACAATTTATGTTCAAGACTTAGTCCAGAAGTATAATCAGAAATTTCACACAGAGAAACATTAAATATCCTTGATCATCACCTTTCAACCAAAAAGGTAACCTGATGACTTTACCTGCTCTCCCATGTCCTCCTGAGCTGAAACTGACGGAGCACGACCTCCTCATTCTCCTCCTCCTCCTCAGACTCCATCCTCTGTAACATCTGTATGGGGGACTCCTCACTCATGTTCAGCGACCGTGTAGCAAAGTCCTGTCAAAGTCACTAAGTACAATTACACAAATCAAATGGCTATAAATCTATAAATTAATGAGCTTCCCTTCTCAATGAACAATCCACAAACAAGGTGTGTGCATGAAACATTGCAATATGTACAGAAAATAAATGGTTTTATTTGCAAATACATTCATTATTCCTTGGGGAAAAGGTACTATAATTTTGTAATGTACCCATTACAATGAAATGGCAAAAGGAGGTAAAAATGACCTAAATTTTTATCATGACATACTTTCTCTGAGTATGCATAATTTGATCAACTGACAAAGATTCATGATTCTACATCCAACATTCTGCAAGATAACTGATTTGGATACAATTTGACTAAATCTATGTTTATATACCTCTGTGTATAGAACTTCAGAATAAGGTCAATGTGACCTCTTTTATGTCACCCCCACCTCCAATCTCCAAAATGCATCAATTGACATTGTCTGATAATTCTACATCCCACATTCTGCATAATATGGTCTAAACACGATCTTTCCATGTATAGCAATAACATTTCAAAATAAGGTCACTGTGACCTACTTTTAATTAGTAGCACTAAATAACCTTTTCCTAATAAACCAACTAGATCCAAACTCAGGCTCTCAGCTGATGGACAGACTGTCAGTGAATCAAAATGGGAGTAAGATACAGGTGACTCTTGATCTCTCAAAGTTCAAGGGACCGCGAGAAAAATTCGAGAGATCGAAGGGTTCGAGAGATTAGAAAGTCAATAAAATCCAGAATTTTCAGTTCCGACCTTCGATGTTTTATTTTTATAGATTCCAGGAGTATATGTAAATAAAGAAATTGCACGTTTTCAATTGTATTTTACAGTCAGGTAATTTACTTGATATTAATAACAATGGTTGTATTTCGAATAAATAAAACAAATTCCTAAAGTTTCAATATTTATTTGTTCTTCTTTCATGATTACATGAAACTCAAATAGCAATTATCAGTTTTGCTATTCCGTGTCTTGATCAGGTCCTTCACCAGTGTTCACAAGATTTTTCTTAATCAGTATTCAGTCCTTGAGAAAAGAATGTCTTGTACAATATTTGCCATACTGTGATTATGTAGACTCTAATTAAAGTTCATAGTCTATGGACACTTATATATAACGAACATCTATAAATTATTTTCTAAAAATTATCATCTCGGTTTCAATTTTAAAAAGTTGTTAATTGGTTTATAATATACAATGTACCAATAATAAACAATAAATTATATCAACACATGGACGACCCACAGGTGTAGTGTCATCTAAGTAAACACCCAATTAACACCTCCATGCCAGCCCCAGGCGTTCACTGTTTTCCAGGTAAGTTCAGGCTGCATCAATTTTACGGTTGATTCCTGAGTATACATGCGCAATCAAAACTTCGAGAGATAGAGAGTAAAATTCAATGAAATATGTCTATCGGGACCCAGGTTTTGGTTCTTGAGATAGAATACTTCGAAAGATAGAAGTTCGAGAGATCAGGAGTAAATTTGCTTAGTTATAGAAAGGAAAAAAACGGGACCGGTTCATTTTGAGTGATCTGAGTTCGAGCCATCTCGAGTCACCTGTATGTGTAAAACACTACAAATCCCCACTCCCACAGACAATTCCCCAAAATATATATAGTTCTTACTCTTGACATCTGGATGAGAAATCTTAGGACAAATTGTGAAAATCCTGGGAGATCTTGTGCAGCTGCAAGTCCAAGGAAAGCCGAGTTCTCAAAGTCCACCAGTTGTGTGTTCAGGAACCAGACAAAATGTCTTAGCTCAGCCCAGGAAGGGTCTCTGATTCCACAATGTCTGTTAGATAAAAATATGTTCTTTTTTATACAGAGTGATCCCTTTTCTAAACCACATGAATGTTCATGGCAGTTGATATGTATTCACTATTTATAACAGGGTTTCAAAACTGTGTTCATAGATTGGTGCAAATAGTCCCTTGATGAACTAATCTTATATACTTTTTATAGTTACGTTTGAGATTTAAGTTACACTAGAGAATTACTTGAGCAGTGTCTGTAGACAGGTTTGGGGGTTTCCCTCTGTCCTCCTCATATCTACATCCCCCAGGCCTCGACCCATGTCCAATCTGTACAGGTATTGGAATGGTCTCTGGAAAACGTTGCTCTGGAACTCCTTCTCGTCAAATAGTAAGTCATTCTGTCCAATATCTACAATAATGAATGGATTTAAAGTATCTAATGCATAACTAAGCAGATATGAAACTGAACCCCACTTTTCTTAGTTTTCAGGCTTATTATGATATGGCAAAAAACCCCTAATTACCTGGAGCATTTCCTTGGTATTTCTTAAGACTTTCATGAGGAGAGCGACAAGTCACATCAGGCAGAATATCCAGACATCTGTGCATGCATTTTATAAAGCCTCTCTAAATATATCATATACAAATAAATTATAATTCTAAAATAATTCCCATTTTTAAAATGACATAAAATGAAAAGCTCATATATCAAAGAAACTCTGGCATAGAGAAATTCCAACAACAGTATATAAAGTATATAGAAGAAATTAGAATAATTTTCCAGCTGACCTGCTCCTGGAAGTCCCTGGCCAGTAGAGGCATGGTCTCCACAATGTAGAGGTCGTAGGGCAGCTTCCTCCACACGTGTCCAGTACTATTGGTCAGACAGCCCAGGATCAGTAGCTGGAACAGCAGGTAGTCCACCCCCTCCTGGACCTGATCAACCAATCAGAACACAGAATTTATAGACAATTCTTCAAGATTAGACAGCATGCAGTTAAGGATTCAGATGGAAATACAGTGTTCTCTGGATGCCTTTTTCAGATCTGATTTAAGATGCAGTAAAACACACTTCATGAGCAAGCTTATAATAGTAAACATGCTATAAAATAAATTGACACTATCAGTGAAATAGTTTTCTTTTCCTCTTTCTGGCTTATAAAATATAATGTGAACTAAATGTTATCATGACAAATTTCTTTTACTTCACAGCAAAATCGTGTGACTCTGGCAATTTGTTATAAACTTGTTTTACTGTATATCTAGTTGTTCAGATGTTTCTTTTATAAAATAATATTAAATCATCCTTACCTCATGAGAAAGATCAATGTGAAACAGTCGTGGTTCTATTTTCCCAGGATGCAACATGTTCTTCAGGAGTTCACCCATGATGTCATCAATGGAGATTTCCCTCTCGTGTAAAGGTATAGATACCACTGCCTTCTTGCTTCTAATGACACCACTGTGTAGACCTTGTAGTTTTTCTGCCAATCTTTTCTTGTGTAAACTCTTGCCAACTCCTGCTCTCCATGATTTCACCACTCTCACTGTGCAGCTATTAATAAAGAAATCCACACTTACTATAATACAATACATACAAAACTACATTCTGCATGTTTTGATGTGAATCATTTGTTATTTGCAACATTGATAATTTACCAAAGCTTGACAGAAATAAAACATTTCCCACCAATGACTTCTAAATTAAATTTCTTTTGCCTATACACACAAAATTATCAATGACAGGCTTAAAAACAAAATATATTAATATCTAGCAAAAGTTCAATCATGTTTCTTTGCAACATGCAATTATTTAAACTTACATTCTGCAATTAAGTACTGCAAATTCACATCTTAAAATCATTGTACAAGTTTAAATAAACACACTATCAATACATGTACAATAATTACATACTGTTCAAAGTCGGCTTCAGCAGCAGGGGTTGCACCAGGTCTCCTGATGTCAAAGGTCAGCTTATCCTTGATGTATTTGGTCATGTTGTCATGTGTCATCAGAGGGAGAGGGGGGCGTCTGTACTTGTCCAGGGCCGCCACAATTCTGGAGTGGTATTCCCTCTCTGTACTACACACCACCACCAGTTTGTAGGGAATATCTGTAGAAATGTTCAGATACAATGATAACAAAATCAAAGCATGATGAACCTGAACTACTATCATTTCTAATATGGCTTCAGTTGGTATTTCAATAATTACCAAGTTCCACAGCTTTCTGCATGTGATGTTCCAGCCTTCTCTCCCCTTTATCACTGACTTCATAATCCAGCAGGTCCCCACTGACCAAACAATGGATTCTGTCTGTTGTGTCAAGTACAGCTCTCCTCCAAAATATCTCCACCTAAGAAAATCATCAGATACTAACTTAGTAAACTGTATTTTATGAAATAAAGATAAAATTTTTCATGTAGTCCAAAGACCTTTTGAACCTGATAATAATGCATTCAGTTGATCGATTGATTGTATGTTGTTCAATGTCCCTCTTGAGAATTTTCACTCATATGGAGACACCACATGTTGCTGGTAGAGAGTTGCAAATTTCCTATACTTGGCACTCATAACCATTGAGCAGTGAGGGATCTTTTTCGTGTCAGCACTTACTGCGACACAGAACCTCGGTTTATAGGGTCTCATCCGAAGGACCGGTCTCCACATCCAACAGTAGATTCGAACCCAAGACATAAGAATTAACTCCTTACTTTGCAACTCTAGAGCAGTCACTCTAATACCTTCGTAATGCGGGCGACTAACATACTTGCCAACCTCCAGCATATAAAAATCTGGTCATGACCAGATTTGGAAAGTAAAAAATCTGGTCATAACGCGTAGTCGCGTAACGACATTCACGACATATTTACCATGATTAAATTTTATACATATATATATTAAGTATTTGTGTATTGAGAATTCTTTAATTGAAAAAGGATTTATTTACTATGACAAAAAATTCATACATAATTTGATTTAAATTTACATGTTAAAAATGAAAATTGAAGGTTTCATATTTCAGTATTGACCGGAAGTAAGTGTGCATTTTTTTTTAAAAGCCTTTTCAGTTTCTGCTAAACTTGAAAGTATACCAATTTCAGCTTTGAAGTTATTTTTCCTCTCTCTTAATTAATTAACTACTGCAATATGTTTTAAATGTGAAGTTAGGCCTACACTGCCTTCGGTCACTTTATTTTATCTAGAATGAAAGTTTTTTTTTCCAAGATTCCTTGATATGTACATAAATATTGTTTCTTTTTTCTTGGTTCAATCAGAGACATTCGTTTGGTTCAATTTGTTCCTGTTGGCCCTTATAACGATCTAGTTCTATTGGAAGCCATTTTAATTGACTTCAAACATTGATTTGTCAAAACAACACCCAGTTAATTGTTTACACCTGCACTGATAATTAATCCATCGGCATTGTTTACGTAGATCTAAGCTTGGGTTATAACTGGAAGTTAAAAGTGCAACCTAATTTACGAACCAAATCCGGAAAATTGGGAGATTTTCGGGTTGTTCGGCAAAAATCAGGTGATAAGCATGACCCGCCAGGTCATAAAAAATAATCGGGTTATGGGTTGAAAAATCGGGTGTGACCCGACGAAATCGTGTGAGTTGGCATCTATGGCGACTAATGTTGTCACTCAACAGAATTTTCATATCTTCCCCCAGACAAAATTTTACTTATCTATTTTATAAGTAGTATGAATAAAAGAAATATGCTTTTGTGTACAATAAAATTTTAACAAATTAAAATAAAATAAGATTCTTCCCCCCCATAAACAGACCTCATCCAGAGATGTGTGTGGAGTACACATGAGGATCTCGTCCGACTGAGGCAGAGGCTGATCTGGATCATGGCTGTAGATTGTCAGAACAGTGTTCAATATCTCATCTGAAAACATTCCATACTTTTAAATTATTTTCATCTCTAAACTTTTGAACTAGAAAGGTCTGCCACACATTATCTATTAAAAAAGTCTTTAATGTAAATAAGATTTTTTTTTCTTTAATTTATGTAAATTTTGTTAATGAAACAATATACCATGGCTGGCTAGTATATTAAGTACCTTGTGGACAAAGTAACAAATTTGGTTCTCCTCTTTTAAAACAACTGAGAAAAGGTCGGTTCACTGTAAATGTTTCTAAAAATAATAAAAACATTAGTCACATTCTATTTATGGTTTACATGGTACCTGAAATCTGCTGATATAAAATTTATGATTATATATATACATGATTGTATAGCATGACTGCATAGTATACAGACCAGTTTCTGCGAGTCTCCTGAGAATGATCCCCAGATGTTCCACACTGAGATAATCTGAGACACTGGAGGAAATAGAGGACAGGAATTCCTCCCACAACTGTTCTAGGTCTGGGATCAGGGTGTCTGCTGCTGTGGTGCTACAATTAAAATGCAATGTTACTGATGATAATACCATGTAATTACCTGACATACAGTCTCATCAATGATCACGGAGAATTGGCAAATTAAAAGTCTAAGAGGTAAAAAATCTGTCAGACATACCATATAGCAGGCGGGTGTAAAACTTGGCGTTTTGGCTGTGCTAAGGTATTTAATTTTTTTTAATTTATTTTAGCGGACACAGGGTTTAAGCTCTTTGCAGATGGACGCTTACAAGAGTACTGACTATTTTAGCAATTAAAACTTTAGCGGACTATCAAACCGCCAAAATTAGCACCCCGCTAAAATAACCCGCTGTACAGTAGTGTTCTGTAGATTGTCAAAAAAAAGATTGCCAGACCAAATGTTCAAAACAAAAAAATGTAAAATTGAGTTTATATCATGGTTTCTTAACTTGGCAGAACACATTTCAGTGGAGGTAGAAAATGTCTGTTGGATGGGGACAATGATGTGCTAGCGCTATTGATTACTACGCAAAATCAATAGTTGTGGAGTTTATAATGACAAGTAAATATATATATAGGACTCTAAAGTGCGATGTAGAGTTGGCAAAAGACACCGGCCCACCAGCAATCTCTGGTAAATTTCGTCCGAGTCCAATAGTTTCTTTATCCCGCTTCAGAAAAATTTGTCAATTAATGATCAATATGATAAAAGCTAATCACATGACGCCCTGAAATTTCCGCATTACGTCTCCGTTTCCATATTACGTCATATCTCCTTCAAGGCGTAATATGAAAATCGCGATTCTGTTCGAAGCATTGTAATTGTAAACCAGAAGTCTCTGTCGAGACTGTAGCTCTACTGGTTTGTGCTTATAACATAGGATAAGAAAAGAAGCCACTGCAATCAGACCAAAACTGTAGAAGGAGTGACGTTTTAAAGGAATTTCACAGACATTTCTATTTTTAGTACTAATGGCAACACCTTTCACCGAAATCAAAAACTGATGCACTATTTTATGTACCTTAGTGTAGTCTACTTGTGTGCCAAGTTATATTGAAATCAGACCAAAACTGTACAAGGAGTAGTGTTTTAAAGGAATTTCATAGCAAATTCTATTTTTAGTAACTATGGCAACACAGTTCATCAAAATCAAAAACCGATGCACTATTTTAAGTATCTTAGTGTAGTCTACTTGTGTGCCAAGTGATATTGAAATCAGATCATAACTGTAAGAGGAGTAGTATTTTAAAAGAATTTCACAAAAAAATTCTATTTTTAGTAACCACGGCAACACCGTTCAACGAAATCAAAAACCGATGCACTATTTTAAGTATCTTAGTGTAGTCTACTTGTGTGCCAAGTTATATTGAAATCAGACCAAAACTGTAGAAGGAGTAGTGTTTTAAAGGAATTTCACAGAAAATTCTACGTTTAGTAACCATGGCAACACCGTTCATCGAAATCAAAAACCGATGCACTATTTTATGTATCTTAGTGTAGTCTACTTGTGTGCCAAGTTATATTGATATCAGATCATAACTGTAGGAGGAGTAGCATTTTAAAAGAATTTAAAAAAAAATTCTATTTTTAGTAACCATAGCAACACAGTTCAACGAAATCAAAAACCGATGCACTATATTAAGTATCTTAGTGTAGTCTACTTGTGTGCCAAGTTATATTGAAATCAGATCATAACTGTAGAAGGAGTAGTGTTTTAAAGGAATTTCACAGAAAATTCTATTTTTAGTAACCATGGAAACACCGTTCATCGAAATCAAAAACCGATGCACTGTTTTATGTACCTTAGTGTAGTCTACTTGTGTGCCAAGTTATATTGATATCAGATCATAACTGTAGGAGGAGTTGCATTTTAAAAGAATTTCAAAAAAAAATTCTATTTTTAGTAACCATGGCAACACAGTTCAACGAAATAAAAAACCGATGCACTATATTATGTATCTTAATGTAGTCTACTTATGCGCAAAGTTATATTAAAATAGACCAAAACTGTAGGAGGAGTAGCGTTTTGAAAAATTGTTTACAGACAGACGGACAGCTAGACAGACGGACAGCTAGACAGACGGACGGACAACGGACACCTTACTATCGCATAAGCTCCTCTGGTCTCTGACCAGTAGAGCTAATAAAAATGGTGTTGGATTAAAAGTAATATTTTCATAATATGCGCAAATATCTTTTTTATATTGAAAAAGGTCTTCAGCGGGATAAATTCGTTACACAGTCAGTTAGTGACCTAATACGGATTCATACAGCCTGAGGGTGTAAAATGGAAATCCCTATTGGGCAACGTGAAGCCTGTGTAACAATAATTATCCCTCCTCCCTTTTCCTCTATGGATAAATTATTTTGCCAGGCTGTTCTATGATATCTAGTTTTCTTCATCAGAAATCTGAGCATAAACTCAGGAAATTCAATACAATACTCTACAGACAGTGTCATAATCATAAAATGCAACCCCTAAATCACAAAACAGTAATGATTTTTCAATAGATGACTTTCACATTTACAAAATTTATTCCACTTTGTGGGGTCAATCCGGGGTCAACAGAGTTAAGGCACTGTTTTCCCTCTATAACCTTACCAACTTTATGGGTCAGTATGTTACTTAATAAATAAAATCTGTATGAATATATTGATTATGTTTTTCATGTTGCCCCTCACTCTAACAATACATGTACAGATCGATATAGACCCTTTCACAATAACTGCGGTACTGCTCTTTTGCAGGGCAAAATGATATATTTTGGTGAAATATGACGTAAAAGCAATTGTTTAAATAACGTCATTTAATTATCTATCAACAAAAACTCCGCCAAACATTATTAATTTGCCCTGCAGAAGAGCAGTACCGCAGTTACCGTGAAGGGGCTTATTGTCTGACAACATTTCAAAATCTTAAAAAATATTAACATTCAGTAACTTACAAAGGACAAAGTGGGAAAATTGAGCATTAATTGTGCCTACATAATCTGAGTTTTGTCTATTTTACATATATCTTTAATATTTTGAATCACTTCAAATAGTTGCTAAATTAATAAATTGTCAAACTTTTTGTTAAAAGAATTTTGTGTGAGGGAAAGTCATCATGATGACAACTGATGATATTAGGAAAAGGTAATTGATTAATATTTAAAGTCCAATATGATTTAAAAGAGTAAAAATTAACTTTTTAAATTAACTAATTAGTATCAACTTAATACATATAATGGAAAAAATTGATGAATTTGAGTTGAGTAAATTTGAAAAAAATGCAATGTTCATAAAATATTAATTAAAAGCTTTTAGTAGTTATAGTATGTCTAAGCAAAGATACAATTGTATTTAGCTTACCCTCATATTTTAAAGTTCTAGTCTATTCACAAACATGATCAATCATGTATCCCAATAATTATTATCTTTCAATCAATATTCCCTGATGTCGTCTGTTCTTCAAAAGCAAAACAGGAAGTGGAAATGAAAGGGAAATAACTCTGTAGAGCTGATCTGAGTACTGGTTAATTCCCTTTCAACAATTGATTGTGAACATGTTGTGAGAGCTTACAAGATTATACTTTTTATAATATTTTGATTGTTTTTTAAGTATAAACTCATAACAAATATAAACATTAGTGTAAATAAATTATAAGGAATGACTTAGTTGGTATCCCACACACCCCCCCCCCCCCATTTTATGTCAGGTAAAATATATTCCCGATCATATCCTATTAAGGAATACAGAGATGGAAGATGGACTTGACAAGCCATATGAGTTTAAAATTCAAGTAATTCAGGTAAAAATTTATGGCAAGAATTTCAGTTATGTAGAGCTTAGAGTAAATGTATATTCTTTACATTTATAATCAACAAGGTCTTGAGTATTTTAAAATCAGTAAATTTACAATAACCCCCAAAATTTTGACTTTGCATGGGCTAATTATACAATATCTTAATCTCTTACTTTTTCTGAAGATCAGACAGAATGTTTTGAGTCATGATGGAGATGGACATCTCAGATTTTGTCCAGCCTTGGTATTCCTCAACTACCACCTCCACCTGCTCTTCACTTAATATTTCTAATTCTGAATCGGCTTTTGATTCCTCTTCATGATCCACACACCACACTAAACCTGTCAAGATATGTAAAATATGATACTGTAGATCACTTTATTTTCGCAACACCTTATTTTCGCGAGATAGTCATTGCCTCTTGATTAGCGAGACAAAATTTCCGCGATTTGTGGTAATTGCTCTATATAATCTTAAGGAATATAATACGCGAGAATTAAATTTTCTCGAGCACACTGTCTCGTGTAATTACGCGAAAATAAAGTTCTCGCGAATAAAAAGTGATCTACAGTATAGTGTCTGAGCTTTGAACTACACAGAATAAAAGCAAAAGAGAACTCACTTTTCATACTACCTAAAAGTCTCTGTCAAGACTGTAGCTCTACTGATTCACACTGAAGGAGTGGCATTTTAAAAGTATTTCAAAGAAATTTCTATTTTTAGTCACCAATGTAACACTGTTCAATGAAATAAAACAAGCAAATTCAAAGAATTGTGGTCCCCCTCTTTCGGTGTCTTTGTGGGCGAAATATTATTTTTTAGGGTCAAGGTCAAAAGGTCAAAGTTATTAGTATCACATGTAAGGTCTTGCCACAAAGAATATAAATATTTAAAATATGATAGTCCTAGTTTCTACCGTTCAAAAGTTGTGACCAAGGTTAAAGTTTTTAAAAAGTAGTTAAAACTCCAAGGTCAAGGTCAAAGGGTCAAAGTTCTTGGTATGCAATGAAAGGTCTTTTCACAAGAATAACCTATATGTGAAGTATAAAAGCCATAGCCCTTACTGATTATGGTCAAGGTTATAGGTTTTCATAAGTTTGTAAATTTCCAAGGTCAAGGTCAAAAGGTCAATGTTGTTGGTATCCTATAAAAGGTCTTGTCCCAAAGAATAAATATTTGAAATATGAAAGTCCTAGTACCTACCATTCAAAAGTTATGGCCAAAGTAAAAGTTTGGAATTTTTGAGTAAAAGTTGGTCAAACTCCAAGGTCAAGGTCAAAAGGTCAAATTTGGTGGTACTCAAAGAAAGGTCTTATCACAAGGAATACATATGAAATATGAAAATCATAGCTCCACTAAATCAAAAGTTATGGGCAAGGTTAAAGTTTTTGTGATGGACGGACAGACTGACGGACAGACGAATGAGATTTATTGTCCCCTCACTTTCGCGAAAGCGGGGGACAAAAAAACAATATATATATAACTATCTATCTTAGTGTAGTCTACTTGTTTGCTAAGTTATATTGAAATCAGACCAAAACTGTAAATTTCTCCTGTTCTCAAAAGGCTAATTTTGCCTCTATTTATCCAATTTTTCTCAGAGGAGTCCCCGAAACCCCTTGCAGGAAGGGGTTCTCTCTCCCTACAGTCCTAACCCCTTTCTGTGCTTCCAGCCTCAGTGCAGCCTTTGGCTTCATTTTCTTGTGCCTACACAAATTTTGGGTGCACACTTATTCACTGAACTTTCAGGATAATTATTAATATAGTAGAAACCTACAAGATTTATCATCTTGTAAAAGATTATGACAGCTTTGCCAGGAATTTAAAATAGTCAATTATAACACTTTATAACTTTGCAATATTAACATACCTTCATCAATCTCGTCAGGTTCAATCATGCCTTTGCTCAAAGCGTCTCTTGCTAGTTTCTCTGAGAATCCTGATTCTGTGATGGTGGCAATGAATTTTGCAATCGCGGTGGCCTTTGTCTGACCTTCATCATCTGAATCAACATTCTTTTCCTCCTCTTCTTCATTTGTCAGAACTTCCTGCTCAGCCTCTTTTTGGAAAACATCACCTTTGGCCTTTTTCAGGGCACCAATCAAATCCATCTTTGAACAGTCATGTTTGATAACTGATAAAAGTGGGTAAATAAAATCAGATGGCTCTACCTCGCCTCCCATTAAAACCAGCTCCTTCTGTAAAATCACCATCTGATCAATAGTGAAGAAATTTAAGTGGTGATATTCATCTCTTTTCTGGTCAATATACTTTAGCCACTCTTCTAGACATCCTTCCATGGATTTGGCCAGGTTTGGTATTATGGTGCTAACATCCTCTTCCTCACTTTTCCTGCCCTTCAACTGAGTGCAGCCCTCTCCAGTTCCAAATTTAACAAATGCACACACTTTTCTATCAGGATCACACAGAAATCTTGCTTGCCAGTTAGTAAACAGTACACAGCCAGAGGACACAAGTTTGATGTACACATTGCAAAGTCTTACTATTGCATCGAAAACCTACGGAATTGGAACATAAGTTTAATTAATTATATCATTAGTAAATGAACATGATGAATATAATTCTCTTAAATTCAAGTTTTACATTAATTTAATTTTTTTTTCAAATCAAAATTTGCTTATTTACAGTGTTATTTTGTAAAGTTAAGTTTTAGCAAATAAAGTGAGTTTCTCACAATGGTGAATCTTTCCACATCATATCTACCAAGTTCTGCCTTGCCAGCCACCAGCATAAGTTTGCTCTGGAGTTCTTGGAGCTCTTTAAACTGGTATTTCCTTTGAAGACGAGACCCTTTTTCATCTCTCTGTACATGTAGTTGCAATACATCATCTAGTGTCTGCAAAACACAGATAAGCAGATGAAAAAAATCCATGAATAATACTCAGAAGATGTGAATGCAAATTCTAAAACTTTTTAAATGACAACTACTTGTCTTTATAAAACATACAAATTTGAATACTGTGTTATTCAATATTCATTATTAATTTTAAGGAGGGGGCAGTGAACATCTCTAGAAGAAAATTAAATTCACTTTTCAAACAACTAGGCATGTACATTGTATTAGGCAAGATTTTGGATTACACAATCCAGATTTATAGACAAGTTTTACTGCACATTATCATAGTTACTAGATACACTTTTGTAAACAGTTTACTGTTCTAAAAAGCTCACAGGTTTTTCTTTCTGTAGATTTGGATCAATCTTCCCCACCATGTATATCCCTACAGAGTTGATGGCCTCTGCTTGTCTCATGGACGTCACCTCTACTGAGCCCTGGGCAGACTTTACACTGTTCAGCCACTCCAACTGTCTATTTGTGTCTTTCTATAAAATGAACCCAAACATGCCTCAAAACACTGGCTAAGTATCACCCAACAGTGTTCTGATTTTTTCCCATTGGCAAGTTTATTAAATTGCATAAAAAAGTATTTTGTTGAAGAAAATTTCATCAAATTATTGTGAAACAGATAAAGAAATAAAAATTAAATGAGTATTTCGTGCCCCGGCCTCCTCATTCTCCCCTTAGTCCAACACCCTCCAAATGGACTTAAAGCCCATTCCAATATTAAATTAATGAAAAAAGATAATTCTATTTGCAAGATATCCAAAGACTTTGAAGAACCAAACTGCACATTTTCTTCAATTTGCAAAAACCATCCTTGTCACATCTTTTATGTTATTCAATTTTGGTTGTAACGCATCATTTTATTGGATAAAATAATAATACTTAATCATATATTAACCTGGGTTTCCTACATGACTTCCCTAAAAAATGTTTTTAATCTGCTTGTCGTTACTTTTAAAATAATAAAGAAAATTTAGTACAGATTTTGATTCAATAATTAAAAATAAACTTCTAAATAAGATATCATGTAAATGATTTGTAGAGAAAAAATTAAATGAAGAGGGAGCTTTTAAAAGCTAAATTTTCTTCTGGCTCATGCAGCAGACATACATGTACACCATTGCCAGCCTTCCACAGAAAAAGACCTCATCAGGAAATGAAACTTTAATTTACCTGCAGTAACTGTGTTGAATAGTTCTAGACTTAAACCATAAGTTTAAATTATAAATTAATATACAATTTATATGACCTTATTAAATATCTCAATTCAGATAAAAACAATGTAAAAACAAGAAATATTTGTAGAACACTTATGTCTCCCACCCCCAAAGAATTGGAATTTTTCTAAGTCCAAAGGGCATAACTCTGTCTCAAATTGCTCAATTGTACCCAAAACAGAACTTAATTGCCCATGATAAATCTGTATGTGCAATCTCTGCAAATTAAGAAAATGAATTGATACTGCAAATAAAAGTCCAAGGGGCATAACTCTGGCAAAAATTGCTTGATCGTACCCAAAACAAATCTTGACTTAGATATTCTTATGATAAAACTGTATACCAAATTTCATTTCAGCATGTGCAATGGTTGTTATTGAACAGCAACCTAGTGGATCAAAATATAAACCGACAGACAGCAACAAAGCAATACGCCCTCCCTTCTTCGAAGGGAGGTATAACTATATAAACCTAGGTCATAATTTTGTTTGCGGGAAAATTCGACAAAATTGAAAGTATATTTTTTCACCAGTTTTGTTGGTAGATGTGGATCAGCCTTGAGCTCTTTCCAGACGACTTGGCATTTCTCTAAAAACTTGGAGTAATCACACTGGTCATCCAAGTTGAAAATCAGTGGAGCATATCCAGTCGTGGCAGCATGCAGGAATTTGACCTTTGCGACCTCCATGTCACCTTCACCAGCAGAAATACTTGCAAGTTCAACAAACACTTTTAACTCCTTCAAACCTTGCAAAGAGAATTAACATTCATTTTGAATTTCAAATCAAACATGGTTCCTTTGTATAATATGTCCAATAGGCAATGATGACTTGGCCCTGAGTGCCAAGTAAAAGTTAAATTTGAAGCATTTTACCAGTATATGTTGACGTCTCCATTACTCCATTATTATGAGCAAAAAAAAACCCTTTATGGGACAAATAACAAAATACAACTAGATGCGTTCTTGTTGCTAATGCAACAATTAAGCAGGTCTTCCAACCAGCTTTTCTCTAGAGTTCTATGCTGTGTCATCCCATGAAATAGATTTTAGAATGTATTTGTTCGTTTACATTCATTTACTGTAGTCTCTCAACATAGATCTTAATTATTAAAGTTATTTCTCAAAATATAGCTTTTAAAAATCGGCAAAACCTTCCATACATGTTATAAAAGAGAAAGAAGTTATTTGCCTCTGAAAAAAGACAAAAACAAAGAAAAAATTTTTGGGAACGCCCCAAGCGGGATTTGAACCTACGTCAGTGGGACAAAGTTTGGTTCGGTCATATCTTTGCAATAGATACACGCATGAAGAAAATGAAAACATATTTAGATATCTTTGAAAACACTCTATAAAGCCTGTAAATCTGAAAGAAAAATATTGAAGGAAGTCAGAAGACCTAAATAAATCAATTAATCCCTCTATGTGCTGAACACCCTTAAGTTTAATCCTTATACTTTTAAAGAAAACTTTCTCATTAGTTTTGTCTCTTATGCTTCATAGATTAAAAAAAAATATTCTTCAATAATTCCCTCCTACTTAATTTTTAATATCATATTTCACAATTATCTCTCTTGGTTTCTCTAGGGCAAGTTTGGATAAAATTTGTCCATTAATCATGGTAATTTTGAGGAGTAAAAATATGATTTAGGCTTTATATCAAGAATTTGGGCAACTAAGGTTCTAATTAATTATACATTTATCAAATTGTACTTCGAATTCATTTAAAGAATCAAAATACTTTGCACATCTCCTCTTTCATCTTACATTAAATTAAGATTTCAATAAATCTTACTTTCCATTGATGTTCTTAACCATTCAATAAGCTGTTTACAGTTGATAAATTCCTCTAGGCACTTTGCTTCCTCTTCTCCGATTCCCTTTAGAACATTACATGCCTCTATCAACGATGTATTAAATTCACTCATTCTGGCATCTAAGTCTGTTCCCTGCACCTACAAAACTTAGTCATAAGTTATGGCTGCAGAAAAAGTCACACATAATAAGCAACTAGTATATAAGGTATTAGTGATAACTGTACAATAGATTAGCTTAAGGTTCATAAACCCTCTGCTCACTCATATAAAATGTTGTTTGGACCTTAATCAATTATGATTTTCCAAAAGAAAAGTATTTTTTAAGTAAAATACAAACAATTATAGCAAAGCTTGCGGGGCAAAATTGGACTAAAGAGACACTTCAACTTGGAAAATCTATAAAGGAATAATAGGCACATATGTCATCTTAATGACTCATTAAGAGTTATCTCTCTTATCAGAGTATCGATGTACCTTAATTTGATATTTTTCTTGTTTGAATGACATCAATTCAAAACAAGAGACCCAGGGGCCACTTTGCTCACCTGAATACTTGTAATAAAAAGTTTATGTAGTATAATTCACAACATCAACACGACAATGACAGACAACAGACAAATTTCAATCAGAAAAGATCTTTAGAGCCTTGCGGTTAAGTGTGCTAAAAATTCTTATATGACATCATTTTACATTTGTTATATGTTTTGTAAGTATTAATTTACAATCTAATAAAATTATTTTCAAAATAATAAAAGAAAAATTTTTTTAAAATAAGTAATTACCATTTCCACAATCATCTTGATGGGTTCAAAGTTACCCTTCAAATTGTACTCTCTGACAACCCTAAGTATAACATTGGCTCCCGTGACACACTGCTCAAGTTCTCTGTTTTGCTGTACTTGCTGTAGGCGTTCCTTTATCCAGCCTTTTTTGCCCTCAGGTAAATGTGATAACTGCTGTTCTAAATTATCAATGGACACATTTCTAAAATGGTCTTGAAATTCCTTGAAAGTAATGTCCCCAGTGGCAATACGCTTGCTGAGCTTTAACCAAGCTGGGTACACGACCTGCCAAACATTTTCCATGACTTCATCAACTGTCAGAGGGCTTCCCTTTCTTTTCTCTGTCTGCCTCCCTTGCTCAGCCCACATATTCAAAAAGAGAGATCCTTGGGATAACCTGAAAAAAATCCATGCAATTCCAAATAGTAATAAGAGGAACCCTTGACCCTGGGGCTACAAATTTTAAATTTTTGGAAGAGGCACCCCTGATCATCATTAATTACTGGTACTTTGTTTTTTTTAATACCAAGAAGCAGAGGAGAAGACATCAAAATCGTTACTGCATTTCTGCATAAAATTTAAAGAGCCTCATTACTGAACCACTGACCTTGGGGTACCTTATATTCACAATTCTGGAAGAGGCACCCTTGCTCCTCATAACCATGCACTTGTCTAATACATTTCCACATCTTGATGACGTACCTTTTAAGATCTGCCAACACTGCCTGCATGTCCGGGGACAAGTTGAAGGCTATTACCACTGGATCGTAAGCTTCTTTATCTGCCACCTTCTCTATAAAGGCGGGTTTGCAAACTTCACACAACTTTCTGTCATCTAGCTGTAAAAATTCTTCCATCTTTCTATCAATGTCTGTCAAATCCACTGCAAAGTAAAATTACATATCTTTATTTTAGAGTTCTCTGGTTGTATTGATTAATGAAGTCAACTACATGTAGTATTCCTTTTTTAAATTGGAACTACATTGCACTTGGAACTTGAAAATTAATACTTAGTCAATTGAAAATTTATGAATCTCTCAGTCTAAATCTACATTTGCAATATTTTACCTTGCTAGCTTAAACAAATTTCTATGAGGAATAACATTTAGAGAAAGAAATATTCTCTGAGAAATGAAAAGACAAAACACTTTCCTCACACATCACCTGATTTCTCTTTAAATAATAGGTAGTTAATAATCAAATACACGAGTTGGCATTACAGTCAAATATTGTAATAATTACCATTGAAGTGTTGACACATTTGGACCAGGATACCAACATTTGTTTTCACTTCTTCAAATTTCCTGACTTCTTTACACCTCAGAACCAAAGAATCTCTCACCAAAGACTGATCTAAATCTTCATTTCTTTCACACTTCCAAATGATGGAGTTAGCTCGCAAAAAAGTCTCCACAGACTCATTGATCAATTCAATGTCTCCTACACAAATCGTTCCTGTTAGCAGTTTGTTCAGCAAATCTTTTAGCAGGGTAGCAGCTTGAGTGAAATGAGTTTGACAATCACCAGTCAAAACGTCTGACTTCTCTCTTTGATCTGTAAATAAGATTTGATACTTGAAACATTGAAAAGTGACATGCACTTAAGCAAAACTGAGTTTTGGAGACTTGATTTCATCCTAATTTTAAGTTGATTGTACATTTGTTTGTTTGATAACGACTCTCTCTCAAGAATTTTTTCACTCATATGGAGACACCACCATGCACATGCTGGTGGAGAGCTGCAAGTTTTGTCCTATACTTGGCACTTACAGCCATTGAGCTGTGAGATATCTTTTTCATGCTAGCACCTACATGTATTTCGACAAGGGAAATCAGTTTATATGGTCTCATCCAAAGGACCAGTTACCACTACCCACAGTGGGATTCGAACACGCAACATAAGGATTAAGTCCTTACTCTGCAACTCTAGAGCAGATGCTTTAACCACTGGGCCAAGCGGGAAACTGATTGTACATTTTGTATATAATTTGCCTTAAATTTCCATAAAGATGCTTAATTTTTTGAACATTGAGAAAAAGACTACTTTCTTATCAATTAACATAGCTTAAAATTTGTTTTAATTACTTACAAAACATTTCTAAGAAATGTACAAAAGGTTTCCATGACAATGTGAATTTCAGAATAGCTCTTGGTTTGGTCTCACACAACTGGTTCTTCTCCCAAGATCTCTCAAACAGTCTTGATAACATACTGCCATATTTTGTTGCTCCTGGACCACTCATTATCCTGTCCTCACATATATATCCTTTATCTAGTGCCTGTATACAAAGATCAGAATTTTTTTCAAGTCTTAAAGTTAAAAATGTCATATTTTTAAGTCCATTATACTGTAGACATACTTTTTTCTACGGGGTTCTAATTCCACAGAATCTAAATTTCTGTTTAATCTGCAGGTAGAAAATTACGCGGATTTTCTAGACTGTCGCTATATGCCTTACATTTACATTTAGTACGCTTGGACAAATTTCCGCGGATTATTTGTGACCGCGTACATAGCGTAAATTAAAACCACGCAGATAAAAGTACTTCTACAGTATTTCAAATAACCATTGGTCATGTTGGTATACCATGTTCCCTTTGTTACTTTAATGCATATAATCTTAAAAATGTAACTTAATTACCATAGAAAAAATGTGTCCAATTTCTGCTGCAGAGTCTTATAATTCCCATATCAAAAAGTTTTAAAATGTGTTTGGGAATTGGCTTTAGATGAAATAGTTTTTTTTCAAAAAAAAAAAAATAATGATTACATAAAAATTTCTTTTGTCATAGCCTCATGCAAAAGGAATATTTCTACTGATAGCTTGGATTTACATACCTGTGTTACTGACAAACAAAGAGATGATATAAGCTAAATATAACTTTACTATGCATGATCATAGGAAACAATGTTTGCACCAACTCCACTCCATGAAATCTACTGGGTTTTCCTTTGCTTAGTTAACACCTGCTGTGGATTAACACCCTTCCCCGCAGTCACGCATTTTAACGCATATACCATTTCCTATTTCTAACGCAAAATCATGCATTTACCGTTTCCCCGCAATCATGCATTTTCACCCACTTTAAAAAGTTCATTTAATCTCTAATTTATTGCCAAATTCCAACTATTTAATACTTTCTTGAATCTCATAAAATAAGAATGGTTATTTTCTAATTAAAATATTTTTTCAGAATATTATTTACGCTAAACTTTAGAGAAATTTGTACCCCGCTATAAAATGCTTGTGGGGAAATGGTAAAGTAATATTTCTATGATGCCAGGATTCATTGTATATTGCATAGCAATTCTGTAAGTTGTACAGTCCAGTCCAATACGAAAATTCGTAATATTACAAGTTATCGTAATATAAAACTTATATTACAATTTTTCGTAATGTAGTAAAATTACGAATACGCGTAATATACAGTGGCTGGAACGTTATTGTTGACAAACCAATCGTGTAGAATCATTCGTGTATCGTGAGTAATCTTAAAAAGTTTCTTTAAACGTGCAAGATCGTTCGTGTATCAGACTCAATCGTGTGCGTTTTTAATCGTGCGAGATCGTGCGTTTAGAATCGTGTAAATTTCGTTTTGTAAGTTTTTATCGGAATGTTATTTGTAAAATAAGCATTTCCCTTGTTTGTTTTTCTTAATTTATTAATTAAAATCCAAATAAAATGAAAAAGCGCAATTTACATGATAGAATGCAGAACGAACTAATTATGGCCCGTAAACAAGCAATATAGTAATTCATACAATATTAAGTTCTCGTCAAATACGGCAATCGATATTGTGATAAACCGTACTTAGATCTTTAACGCCTTTTTGAAAAATCTGATTTTAATTATTATTTACTTATTATTGTGGTCAAGATAATCTTGAAATCAATTCATTGAAAATAAATATATTTTTTTACAAAGAAATAAACATTTCTCAATGCTTACAGAACTAGTTAATGGACAATTATACATGGACACGGCATGATTTTCGGGAGTTTTGATTATCTGTGTTCATCTCTTGAGCCTATTTGTGATTAATTAATTTTAAATTTCTGCAAATAAAAAAGTTTAATAATTGGCAAGTTTATCAGACATTGAATCAGTGGAAACATAAGGATAAAATTTGTAATTATGATTTAAGCCATTCCATGCTGCCATTTTTATTCAATCGTATCCCCCTTTCTGCATATCATGATATCCAATTCAATCAAATATACGACCCACATACATGTACATCATCTAATAGAACGAACAAAACCCGTGTTTTTTGATCAGAGAATTACCTTAGAAATAATTATTTTTAATCTAAAATATTAAGTCACGGCTACTGATAGCACGCGGTCAGTTTGGTCAGATACGCCTATCAGAAAGCATGGAAATTCAAGAAGAAAGTACCGCCAGCGATAGGTGAGTGAACAATTTCATTTATTATTCTTTTATAGGAATTTTCCCAAAGATAAGACCAATTTTCCAGTAAATTTCAATATTCGGTGAAGCATGTCGCATTGGTCTATATCACCCGAACTTCCTACTTTTCTTGCGAAGTGTACCCTAAAAATTACATCCTCGTCTCATAACTTAACTGTTCGTGCAATTCTTATTGAAATACACAGACATTGAAATCTCAGTAGGAGTGGTACAAGTTATCGCCCGTGACATCTCGTATTAAACGTCATACTTTGCTACCCGCCACTCAATTTCTTGCAATGCTTGAATTTGTCTTGGATTACGAAAACTCGTAATATAGTCTCTAACATCTGCTATATTACACGTATTCGTAATTTAACTACATTACGAAAAATTGTAATATAAGTTTTAAATTACGATAACTTGTAATATTACGCTTTCTCGTAATATTACGTTTTTTTCATAATATTACGAATTTTCGTATTGGACTGGACTGTTGCAAAGAGTAAACAGTCTGGGTCAATTTATGACTGTTTCCAGTGATGTAAATATATTTGTCACCACCTACTGAAAGTTCACAGTTCATGAAAATAAATTGAAATATATTGTACCTGGAATGCATAGGCACCAAGAATTTCCTGCACGACTGCACAAAACTCTTCTGTACCACTGCAGTATATTTCCACCAAGTCTTCTCTGGTTGATGGTGTCTGGAGATAAAAAGAAGATATAACTGCTTAACCTCTAATAACAGAATCACAATACATCAATACATCAATTTTTAAAAGATACTTTTATTAATTATTATCTTTAACATAAAATTGACCTTTCTGTCAAGAGTGGCTTGCAAGTTGTTCTTCAGCTCATTCATAAGGGCATTCTTCACTGCAGTTCCGTCAGGGAGTTCAATTGACAACACTCGATTCCATACCTTTAACAATTTGAGAAATACAAACTATTCATTTTGCTGAAAAACCAAGTAGTTCTACTGCAAATATTTTTTTTAATGACCCCTCCCAACCTTCCCCAACCTGAATATTTCATGTAAACAGTTATATTTCAAAAAGTCACTATCCTGCATTATAAGGAGAAATTGACAGTTAACTACACATTCTTCACTTAGAACATTAGATGCACACACTGAATCAACACTATATGCAGAGTATTTAATGCAGAAAAGAATGGATTCCTAAGATCATTTGCATTGAGTTTGTAATCTGTCAAACAGCCAAACAGTTTACAATTAATCTGCCAAATTTCATTCAGTATCCCTTTTTACAAATTTCACAGAAGATATATTTTAGGTCATAAACAATTATAAATAATATTGCTTTTGAGGTATGCAGGCTCATTGCAGAAAGAACAAGATGCATTTGTGATACACTATGCACCAAGCGGCAACAAAGTTTGAAAAAAGCTATTTTTAGCATATGGGTCACAGTCAAGGTCACAAGGTAATTGATCCTGGTGTCACATTTGAAAGAAATGAGTATGCATTCTAAACATGAAGTCTTCATCTCTTGTGATTCAAAAGTTATGCAAAGGCTTTTAAAAAGCTATTTTTAGCATATAGGTCACAGTCATTGACCTTGGTGTCATTTGAAAACAAGAGGCCCATGGGCCACATCGCTCACCTGAGATGCTTTGACCATTCTGTTCTTTACCAGATTTCCCCCTTGTTATACATAATGCATCCCCACCCTACCCCACTGATCATAATTTAGACATTTTGAAATCTACACTACCCCATGATCCTTCCATGGGCACATATGTTTCAGCTTTTTTGGCCCAGTGGTTCCTGAGAAGAAGATTTTCAAAGATTTTTCCTATATATTTCTATGTAAAACTTTAATTCCCTATAATGGCCCCACCCTTCCCCCGGGGGTCATGATTCCTACAATTTAGAATTTACACTATACCAAAATGCTTCCACATAAGCTTCACTTTTTCCGGCCCAGTGGTTCTTGATTTTCAAAGATTTTTCCTATATATTTTTAGAACTATATAAAACTTTGATTCCCCATTGTGGCCCCGCCCTACCCCTAGGGGTCATAATTTGAACAAACTTGAATCTACACTACCTGAGGATGTTTCCCCATAAGTTTCATCTTTCCTGGCACAGTGGTTCTTGAGAAGAAGATTTTTAAAATATGCCACCAAATTTTCATTAATTCACAATTATCTCCCCTTGAATGAGGGCGTGGCCCTTCATTTGAACAAACTTGAATCCCCTTTACCCAAGGATGCTTTGTGGCAAGTTTGGTTGAAATTGGCCCAGGGGTTCTTGAGAAGTCGAAAATGTGAAAAGTTTACAGCTAGACAGACGGATGCCGGACAAAATGTGATCAGAAAAGCTCACTTTAGCTTTCAGCTCAGGTGAGCTAAAAATGGTGCAATCGTATCCAAAACAGAACTTGACCTAGATATTCATCTGATATATCTGCATATAAATTTTTTCAGTATGGGCAACAGTTGTGAAGAAAATGAATGGAAACTATGTGAACCGACAGGCCGACAAACCGAACGAAGCAATATGCCCTCTCTTCTACGAAGGGGGGCATAAAAAGTGAATTTTATTGAAAGCTCCCAGCAGTATGTATCAGCAAATGGAGATTGATAAAAATATTCAAAAATGATTAAGAAACTATGAAAAAAGGAGGTCAAAGAAAAGGTCAATGTAAAAAATGCTGCTGCGGTTAAAAAGCTTACATCAGTATGTATCAGCATATGAAGTTTGATTACAGTAACTAAATGAATGGTTTCTTTAAAACCAAGCTATACACCAATTCAAAGAAAATAGAAGTCAAGGTCAAAGGAACAGCCAAGATCAAAAATATTGATGCAGTTGAATAGTTTTCATCAGTATGCATCAACATATGAAGTTTGGTTACACTGTCTTGAATGGCATCATTAAAACTGAGCTAAACACTAGTTTAAGAAAAGTGATGTCAAGGTCAAAGGAAAGTCAAGGTCAATAAATGTTCATGTAATTGCATACCTTTTTCAATATCTGTCAGCATATGAAGTTTGATAAAAATATCTTTGAACAGTTTCTTTGAAACTGATCTAGAATGAAATTTGAAATGTGCTAAAAATGACAAACACTAGATGCCCCAGCCATATTCATGAGCATGTCTCCCACCATTGAAGGGGAGATACATGTAGAACAATGCTGGGATCAATTTAGTATTTAGGAGCAGAATTTAATGCTGATATTCTATACTAGCTTACCTTCAGATCCTCTTGCACAGTGTACAAAAAATTGAAGCTGTCAAGCCAAACAGTTATCCATGTTCTCTTATCATCCATGGAAGTTAAATGGACATCTTTATCTTTCTTTGAAAAGTTCTTCAATTCTTCACAGTCCTGTGTTACCAATTTCTCAAATGCTGCTAGTGACACCATGTAAGCCTCAACTGTTCTGGCCATGAGACCAGTCAGCCTGCGATGCTTAGAGTAAGCTACAGTGACTAAATCTCCACCAATTCTTACACACAAGTAAGCACTGCTTAACATGTTATGAGTGCTGTAAAATAATTTTAATCAAAAGTGAAACTTTGACTTAATTTTAAACAATGTACATGTATAAACCTATACATGTAATAATCAGAACATCTTTTCCTTTTTATAAATCCCCTCCCCCCTACATTACATGTACCACTACACTGCAAGAATCACAAGTCATTTTCAGTGCACTGTTTAAGCATAACATGTACAGAACATGAGATTTATTTGAATTTAAACAATCACAAAGTAGTTAACTTGATTAATATGTATTAAAGTAAATTCTCATACAGCCTGAGGTTGAGGTACATGTAATGACTGTATATTAAACTACCAGGTTTGTAAAAGAAAGGCTTAGGATGAACATAGGGCATAATACAGACACAAAAAAAAACCAACATAAATAAAAGCACTACAGAAAACTCATTTTTCATATAAAAAGAATGAATTGATACAAACATTTCTTGAGCATCTTTCTCCCAGTATTCTCTAATCTGTGCGGTAACAACTTCTAGACACTCATATACAGTCTGAAAAAAGAACAAAAAATCCCTGAGAGATACAACCTTTGTATGTAGTAAAAAGATTAAAATAATGAACAATAATTATTCTGTTTATTTCTAGAATGTAAAGTTTTTTTTTTTTTACTAATTTTCTGCTTTAATTAACCAACAGACAACTGTTCTTATTAATTTCCTGAGCCTGGAAAAAATGGATCTCATTTTCAAGTTGAATTCTTTATCTTGCAAGCCTTTTTTTTTAAATATTTTGTAGTTATATATTATTTAAAAAGGCTTGCAGGATAAGAACTGTATTTGGCTATTATGCTGTACTTGGCTATTATGTTGACTATTAACAGGCAAGCATAAACTCTCATTTTAATTTTACTTGAAAAGCTTGATTAAAATTGTCACATCCAAGAAAAGAAATTAATATACAATGATTAGCAATTTCTTACTGGAGAAAATATATTTATTAAATCATAAATCATGATTTTACATGATATATTGGGATATTTTATTAGTTTATAATTATAATAATTAAATACCTTTCGCTTTGAATCACCATCAAAATGCTCTATATAAGTATTAAAGAAGTAATAGAGCCCAGCCAAGGTCACTTCTGGTGGTAAAACTTTGGTTTTGACTACGTCAAGCTTGTCAAATTGTAAAACGGCCATAAAAGACCTTGGTAGATAAAAGTCTATCTCAAACATAGGTTCCAGCTTCCTCATTATAACACCTGGTTCTCTGTAAAATAGTTTTTTAAAATAAATAAATCTTTAAGTTACATGCATCTTAATTAAAAGAGATTTGACTTTAGACTTCATTCATATTCATAAGGAAATGTGATAAGGTTCATGATATGAATAACAAATACTCAGATTCCATTTATTGGTGATTATGTTTGTATTGTTGGTTCGCATATTAATGCATGCAAGGCCATTTCTCACGAGTGACTCGGACAGCGATCCTGAAATATCTCAGAGAATGCTTGAAAATTCCAAAATTAGGGTGAATTCACCATGGATCGGACACCCTTGTACTTCAACAAGTTCTAGCAATATCGCTACTGACGGAAAGTTATCAAAATGGAGATTAAGATTTAGTGTGTGATCGAAATATAAATTTGGGACACAATTATTTATTTTTTATTGAGGAAATATTATCAAAAATCAAGTTTTTAAAAATTGCCTAGAATTCACCATGTACCTGACATTATTTACTATGCATCGGAAAGTCAGTATTTGGACAGCGAAAATATCATACCTTTATCATAGTGCTTTATAAATATAATCCTTAATATGGATATACTTTTATATTTTACCTAAGAAATAACCCTCAGATTAAATTTATTTGACGATATCGTTGCACAAATATGGAAAGATTAAAGATGCCTTACTCTGCTTTGGAAAGGCTCTAAATGCTTGTAATGCGATAATTCGCGCCTTTTTCTCATGCGTTAAAATGCTCTAGTTTGTAAAAATTAATTGAGTCAGAAATAATATATATCAATAACTTGTATTTTGACTGTAAATTAAGAAATATTTATTTTCAATTTCCGCAAAAAACAACTGTCAGTTGGGTTCTGTATGAAAATGGTAGTGATTAACTTTGCATGAAAAAGTGTACGATGCCTGGTTAATTTGTGTCCAATGTACGGTAAAATTAGTATACTTAGACTAGTAAAAACCAGCTCTAATAAGAATTAAACAAACACTGAAGTGAAATTTCTTTATAATTTATGTAAAATTACCCATCCCTGACAAAATTAACCCAAGTCCGACTCGTTCCGTGGAAGTCGAATTTAAAGAACGATAACCCTAAAAATGACAAAATCCTAATTATTAGGTCATTCCCCTTTGATGATGTAAAATATGACGTAACTTCAAGGCCATTCTCGGGGTATTTATTTCAAAACATAATATTGATAATTGGTATTATCAAAAAATTTAAATCCTCAGCTTCATTTCAGAAACAAAAAAATACATGGAACTCTGAAGTTGAAAGAGATTTTATTGCCTAAAGTTGTCCGAAGCAAGGTATGTGTCCGATGCTTGGTTATCTTACCCTACTACTTATCTCTCAAAAGACTTATTCATAGATTCTTCTAGAAAACATCTCTTATCAATTATCAAAAGCCTGAAAGGCTTCAATGGCGTCGAACAAGAAAAACAATTTCAAAAGATCTACAGATAGGTCAAGTGAGTGACTCCGGTAACATAATAATGAAATTTGAAAAATAATCTTAAAACAAATACAGTATAGGGTCTAATAGCCGAATGAGCCAGGGTTCGAATTGACCAGACATAGTCAGAAATGTCCATCCTCTATATCAATCTAATTTCTTTTCAGTCAATCAAAGACATATGAAGGGTTTCATTAATTATTTTAATTAATTGCCATTTTCAGAGCGTTGTTCCGTTGTATAGTGATTGCATCTTAACTACAACCATGACTCTAATGTTACAAGTACGATCGACTTACGATAGGGCGCTGTAAACAAATGGAGGAAATGGATAAATACAGTAATACTGGCATTACTGGTCAATATCGTCGGTTGTTCGGATAAAATTGAATTGAGGATCGTAAAAGTAAAGCTAAGATTAAGAAATTCAATCTTTATAGTCTTGTTGTATTCGTGTTTATTTTGTAATTATTTTACCGTATTTAAGATTGTTTGTAAAACATTAATCGGTCCCAAAATGTGATTCATGTCATTCGACGCACCCTCACTGTAGAAATTCATCCGCAACAACCATAACGTTTTTCTTGCGTAAAAATTAAACATAATATCGTTGTTTTGTAGTAGTATTAATTGAAGATACAATTGATTTAATTTTATATTCACGCTATTATTCATTGTGAACGTTTTAAAAGAAATTGGTTTACAGCTGTTGCTATTTTCTATTGCAGATGCATTCACTGACACGTGCGGTCGCGTAAACCTGACTGATCGCTAGATGACGATCGGGCAAGCCCGACGCCATAAAAATGTCAAAACTTGATGCTGCTGATGCTGTTCCCGACTTTCCCAAATTGTCAGAAAACTACTTAAGATCATTAGCATTCGGAATATATCAAATAAAGCAAGCATCTTCATATTCTCGCAAACATTTGGGTGAGAAGTGGGGCTATGAAATATTTGTTTACAGATGAGGTGTTTAAAAAAGTTCAGTTGAAGACCTTTTGGTGTTTTGAGTGATCTATTAAATCTATTATCATTCAACAGTCCATCTTTGCTCCAAGGGTTTGGCTAGCAAAGATGTCAACAGTCCTGTATACCATATATCAGTTTTTTTTTCCGCATCAGGTTTTTTCCGCAAATCAAAACCTAAATCAGTATATTAAATTTACACGAATCAAATTTTCACTATTTCAAAGTCCCAGTGATTATACTGCCAATTGTTTAAGCCTGTGAAGGAATTGGATGTAAAATGTAAAGCTTGGGTTACTTCATACGATTGAGAAATAGATTGGTTGACCTTCACCTCGTCAATTTCGGAAGACCCGCTCAGCTGATTATACACCTGTGTTGCTTACTAACTCTCAAATCCACAGATATTATCTTTTAAGATTTAAACAACGATATGTCATTTACTCTTCCAAACTGACTAGCAGCTCAGGTATAATTAGTTTAATAGCTTCTCGTAAGGAACGTGACCCATATAATTAGCTAGTTGTCAATTAGAAAACAAACAATAAGGCTTATACCTATTACCGGTATCTTGCGCTTATCCTCTGATCCCGCTATTTCTACCCTCTACGATATAAGCATTAAGAAATAATTTTACTAAAAGAAGAAAACTTTGTATTAAATTTACACTGTTTTATTTTCTGTGATTCAGAACTCATCACGAACAACGCGGAAATTGAACACATGCGGAAAAATCCTCATTTTTATAAGCATGATGCTTAAACGTTTATATAATAACTTAAATCTAAACTGGAAATGATTGCACTTTTTTCTAAAAGAGCTTACTTGCTCCATTTTGTTTTTCCCTTTAAATATGCCATCTCTTCATAGACTTCTTCCTTTCCCCACCAAACTGGTCTTCGTGCATTATGGGTATCATTGAGAGTGACTTCATCAAAAGGTCTCAGCTTTCCACACAAAAAATGAAATAGAGGAAGACAACACAGCCATGTTGGATCCTCTTCACTTTTCACAGACTTGATCAATTTTCTCATTGCTTCCTGCACTTTTCTGAAATAAAATAAACATTGATATTTAGATAAACAAAGGAGTCAGAGCAAAATTGTTACTTTCAAAACTGAAAAGTACTATATTAATTTTTGAATCCAGAAGTAAAGTAGAGACACTGTGAGCAAGCTCATAAAATAATACCCCTGTTGCAATTTTTCAAGTGCCAATTCAAGGGTTTTTTTTAAATGTGACCTTGAACTTGCAAATAAACCTTGGCCCTGCTGTTCTTTCACTAGATCTTCCTCTTGTAATTCCTATTGTGGCCCCGCTCTATACCCAAGAGGTCATGATTGATCAATTCAGAATCTACTCTTCCAAAGGATGCTTCATTGCAAGTTTCTGCTTTTCTGGCCAAGTCAGGTTCTTGAGAAGAAGTTTTTGAAAGATTTTTTTATATATACCGTATTTCAATGTAAAATTGATTTCTTATTGTGGACCTGCCCTACCCCTTAGCGTCATGACTTGAACAATTTAGAATCTTAAGATTCTACCCAAATCTAAAATTGACATACAAAATCTTATGATAAATCTGTATACAGAATTTCCCATTTCATTACATATGCAACCTCTGCAAAGAAAATGAATGGAAACTGATGGTTGACCAACATACAGACAGATAAGCAGACTGACAACAAGAGTCCAATGGGCCACATCGCTCACCTGAGCACTGTGGCTAGGAAAAAAGTAGAATAGAAGTTTAATAGTTTAAATCCAAAAGTAGTCACAAGACCAATCCTGCCTTTGCTATTCTTGATATTAAGATGATTTTTAAAGAATTTTCATATATATGTCTACGTAAAACTTTGGTCGGCCATTGTGGCCCCGCCCTACCCCAGGGGGTCATGATTTGAACAAACTTGAATCTACACTACCTGAGGATGCTTCCATATAAATATGATCAATTATGGCTTTGTTATTCTTGAGAAGAAGATTTATAAAGAATTCTCCTATATATTTCTATGTTAAACTTTGGTCGGCCATTGTGGGTCCCCCCCCTACCTCTGGGGGTCATGATTTAAACAAATTTGAATCTACACTACCTGAGGATGCTTCCATATAAATATGATCAATTATGGCTTTGTTAATCTTGAGAAGAAGATTTTTAAAGAATTTTCCTATATATTTCTATGTTAAACTTTGGTCGGCCATTGTGGCCCCGCCCTACCTTCGGGGGTCATGATTTGAACAAACTTGAATCTATACTACCTGAGGATGCTTCCATATAAATATGATCAATTATGGCTTTGTCATTCTTGAGAAGAAGATTTTTAAAGAATTTTCCTATATATTTCTATGTAAAACTTTGGTTGGCCATTGTGGCCCCGCCCTACCCCCGGTGGTCATGATTTGAACAAACTTGAATCTACACTACCTGAGGATGCTTCCATATAAATATGATCAATTATGGCTTTGTTATTCTTGGGAAGAAGATTTTTAAAGAATTTTCCTATATATTTCTATGTAAAACTTTGGTCGGCCATTGTGGCCCCGCCCTACCCCCGGGGGTCATGATTTGAACAAACTTGAATCTACACTACCTGAGGATGCTTCCATATAAATATGATCAATTATGGCTTTGTTATTCTTGAGAAGAAGATTTTTAAAGAATTTACCTATATATTTCTATGTAAAACTTTGGTCGGCCATTGTGGCCCCGCCCTACCCCAGGGGGTCATGATTTGAACAAATTTAAATCTACACTACCTGAGGATGTTTCCCCATAAGTTTCATCTTTCCTGGCACAGTGATTCTTGAGAAGAAGATTTTTAAAACATACCACCAAATTTTCATTAATTCCCAATTATCTCCCCTTGAATGAGGGCCTGGCCCCCTTGACTTGAATCCCCTTTACCCAAGGATACTTTGTGGCAAGTTTGGTTGAAATTGGCCCAGCGGTTCTTGAGAAGAAGTCGAAAATGTGAAAAGTTTACAACGACAATGATGACGACGACGACAAAGACGACGACGACAGACAGCGGACAAATTGTGATCAGAAAAGCTCACTTGAGCCTTTGGCTCAGGTGAGCTAAAAAAAGATAGCAGCAAAGCAATATGCCCTCCTTCATCAAAGGGCATTAATATGAACATGCAATGATTCTCCTTCAAAAATGTTGAGACCTGTCATGAATTTTTAGCTTCTTTTACCTTTGTTCTTGAACCTATCAGAATGACCTTAGGTCAAGGTAATGACATAGATGTGATGTCAAGTCATTGATAAATAACTTTTCTACCAAATACAAGCTTCCAGTAATTCTACACGATAAAGTTATAGACTATAGACAAAAATTTTATACATTTTTCTGAAAGTGACATTCAATGTGCCAGAATGACTTTGGATCAAATTCATGACACACCCTCTGGTCATAAACAATCTCTCTACCAAGACTTAGCTTACAATGAATCTTCAATACAAGGCTATATAGGCTGATAAGATTTTTATACTTTCTGAGGTTATAGTGACCTTAAACTTTCAAAGAAATGACCATGGGTCAAGATTACGACACACACTCAAGCTCTAAAACTGCAAATGTACAAGTTCATGCATTCTTTAAGTGCCTCTTTTTAAAACAAAGCTGTTACATTTTACTTAAAACACTCTTGTATATTAAAGTTATATTTCTTACGGAATCATTCCTCTGTAGTTCTCTTTCAAGGTATCGTACTCGGGGCATTTCTTATCTTTGTGATTTCCATTCAAGATGAAACTTTCAAACAAGATATTTTTCCCTATTTGATTCAAAGCAATTTCAAAGTCATCCAACACACACATCACGCCAATTGCTCCAACAATGTCTTTGTTGTTCTGCAGGTCTGCAAATTTTGGACGCACTACATCAAATATTGCCTGTAATGAATGATTTATATTTTCTATGCAATGTGCACATACAATTATAGATTTCCAAACTGTGCAACTGTACATGATTAAAATGTTATTAAAAATTAATTAATAAAAGCTAGATAATTCAATTTGCTTTAATAAATGTAGTTCTTAAATTGCCTTTGCTAATATCATGAATATAGAAGTTTTAAAAAAATCTACTTCTGAAAAATTTCCATAAAAGTAGATTTCCTCCAGAAAGGCCTTTTATTTGTTTCTTCTTTCAGTAAATTTTGTTCTCTATTTCATCATCATTATTATTACCCCACTTTCATTGTACTTTACAGTAGTAGGGCATGAAAACTTGACAATTTGTGACCAATTTTATCTGTAATTTTTTTCATGGAACTAACTTAAGCTTTCAGAATGGTCAGGTAAGCCAATAAACGCGTAATTTTGTAGGATTTAATTTGTATACGATAATAAAGACACTTAAATGTGCTTTTGTCTGTATACCTTTCCAACAGTTTGTTTGAAATCTGTCTCTACTTTCCACTTCTTCAAATTTTTGTAATAAGCCTTTTTTAACCCTTTGTACAGCATATCCAAAGTTTTCGTAATATCAGCAGGGGAACTATCAATTCCATCTGTGAAAAAATGTTTCCATCTTGGGAAGTACCCTTTTACAAACAAGAAAAGATCAGTCTCCATTTTCTTCTCATATCCATCAAAGCCCGCAGCTGTCTTAATTTTCTGCCAGATACCTTTCTCTGGAAACGGATTGAGCACACCATCATATTGCCACCATATATCTGTAAAATGAGACAAAATGGAACAAGAGACACATGGCCCACAACACTCATCCGAAAAACTTAGGCCAAATTGTTGACAAGATTAGCCCCCTTGTAATTCCTAAATTGCCCCACCCTACCCAACAGGTATCATGATTTTAACAGTTTAGAACATATACTACCCCCAGGATGCTTTCACTTATTAAGTTTCAACTTTTCTGGTAAAGTGGTTCTTAAGGAAAAGATTTTAGAAGATTTTTCCAAGATTATGTACAGTCAATTCTCGAATTATCGCCATTCGATTCATCGCCATTTTCGCAATACCGCCATGATTTCTCAGGAACTTTTTTCCTGCTATACAAAATTCTCTTTATAACGCCAAATTCGCATACCGCCATCCGCCACCCTGTTTTCATAACAAACATCCATTTTTAAGTGTCAATTATCTCAATATACCGCCACAGGTGCATGGGGTCAGTGAAGCGCATCTAATTGGTTGACTCTATCCCTATTGTAAAGCATGCAAAGGCGGACAAGATACATGCAATTAAGTAATTAAACAAGAATTAAAAAAACAATAATTTCAAGATGAACTGTTATAATAATTTTGTTTTCCGTTAAATAAAAATCATTTAGTCATTAGCCATGAAAGCGGTTGTTTTAAAGTATGCCGGTAACGATATTATTTTGATGATCTCCGCTTTAAACAATGCAAAGTTTGCTGAAAAAATACTAAAACGGTATAAATTGTGAACGTTTCATTAACAATGATGCCATAAACAATGAATTTATGCAAGAATTCATTTTACATTCTATCAGCAATATATCACGACGATTTTTCTGATATCAGACGTGCAGATTTACATGCATCTTTTTTATAACTGCACATTTTGTTTTAGCTTAATTGTACATTTCAAAAAATTACTTGAAGTGTTTTCAATCAGAAATATGTTTTTATATACATGTACATGTAATACTAATAATAGAAACGCTTAATGAAATTTCTAAGAACGGTAACTCTACTTCTGGTTTTCTATAAGATGGGAAATTCAATTCATCGCCAAATTCGTTATACCGCCATGATTTCTAAATTACAAAAGGTGGCGGTTTATCGAGAATTAACTGTATATATTTTCATGTAAAACTTGGATTCCCTCTAAATGTGGCCCCGCCCCATCCCGAGGGGCATGATTTAAAATTTTAGAATATACACTATCCCAGGATGCTTCCTCAGAAGTTTCAGCTCTTCTTGCCAGTGGTTTGTGAGAAAAAGATTTTTAAAAATTTTTCTTATATATTTCATTGTAACAGTAAAACCTGGCTTCCCTACAGTGGCCCTGCCCTATCGCCAGGGGTCATGATTTTGACAATTTAAGGACAGATGATACAAACAACAAGAGGCCCATGGGTCAAATCGCTCACCTGAGTAACTTGGGTGATGCAGCTCTTTACCAGATTTCCCCTCTTACTATATCTATCGTACCCCACTACCCTCTTCCTTTTTATGATTTTAATACTTTAGAATCTACACTACCTGAGGATGCTTCGACACAAGTTTCAGCTTTCCTGGCCAAGTGGTTCTTGAGAAGAAGATTCTAAAAAGATCTGTTCAATATATTTCTATGTAAAACTTGGATTCCCTATTGTAGCCCCGCCCTACCCCCGGGGGTCATGATTTGTAAAATTTAATATCTACACTACCCCAGGATGCTTTCACTTAAGTTTCAGCTTTCCTGGCCCAGTGGTTCTCAAGAAGAAGATTCTAAAAAGATCTGTTCAATATCTTTCTATGTAAAACTTGGATTCCCTATTGTAGCCCCGCCCTACCCCCGGGGGTCATGATTTGTAAAATTTAATATCTACACTACCCAAGGATGCTTCCACATAAGTTTCAGCTTTCCTGGCCCAGTGGTTCTTGAGAAGAAGATTTTTAAAAATTTGTTCTATATATTTCTATGTAAAACTTGGATTCCCTTTTGTGGCCCCGCCCTACCCCCTGGGGTCATGATTTGTAAAATTTAATATCTACACTACCCAAGAATGCTTCCACATAAGTTTCAGCTTTCCTGGCCCATTGGTTCTTGAGAAGAAGATTTTTAAAGATTTGTTTTATATATTTCTATGTAAAACTTGGATTCCCTATTGTGGCCCCGCCCTACCCAGGGGGGTCATGATTTTAACAATTTAATATCTACACTATCCACAGATGCTTCCACATAAGTTTCAGCTTTCCTGGTCCAGTGGTTCTTGAGAAGAAGATTTTTTAATGACCCCACCCTATTTTTGTTATTTTTGTCTTTTCTTGATTATCTCCCCTTGTAAAGGGACTTGGCCCTTCATTTTGACAATTTAAACTCCCCTTTACCCAAGGATGCTTTGTACCAAATTTGGTTAAAATTGGCCCAGTGGTTCTTGAGAAGATGTCGTAAATGTCAAAAGTTTACAGACGGACGGACGGTCGACGGACAAAATGTGATCAGAAAAGCTCACTTGAGCCTTTGGCTCAGGTGAGCTAAAAAATGGATGCCTGGATTGGTATATATTTTTTGGTCAAATTTCATTGCATATGATGCAAATAATAAATTTCTAGAATATAAAGAAATTGTAAACCCTCTGTGGTGTTCAAAAGTCTGCCCTTCTGAAACCATTCTTATTAATCTATACAAATATTTTTCACTTCAAATTCCATTTTTGTGTAAATTTGAATAAAAATTTAAAAACTACGCGATGAAAGTTATTCATTTTACTTATTTATATTTTAAACATGAACCAAGTTGTTATTTTCGAATTCTTTGACAAAAGTTTTTTTGTATCATCTGTCCTTAAAATCTACAGGTACACTAACAAAGGATGCTAGCTTTTAATTCTGGCTATAAATAGTTCTTGAGAAGAAGATTTTAAAAGGTTTTCCTTATATATTTAAATGTTAAATTTGGATTCCCTATAGTGGCCCCTCCCTTCCCCTTAAGATAATGATTTGAACAATTTAGAATCTACATCAACCCAGGATACAGAAAATTTCAGCTACTGTATACAGGGAAATTTTTGCCCCCATTTTATTTTCGCCCCTTTCACCCTCTTCTCGAATGGGCGAATTTAAGACAGAGTGAATTGAAATTGCACAGCATAATTTCTTAAACAGAACTATGATGGGGCAAATTTAAAACGAGGCAAAACTGTTCCCAAGTGCAAAAGGGCGAAAATAACATGGGGCAAAAATAACCCTGTATACAGTATTCTGGCCCAGTGGTTCAAGGGAGAACGTAACATGATTTTGAAAATTTTAAATCTACACAACCCCAGGATGCTTCCAGATAAGTTTCAGCTTTTTGACCCAGTGATTCTTTTCCTATATTTTTAATGACCCTAATATAATTGTCTTTTCTTGATTATCTCCCCTTTTAAGTAGGCTTTGGCCTTCCATTTTAACTATTTAAACCGTGGTCTCTTCACCCAAGGACGCATTGTACCAATTTTGGTTGAAATTGGTCCAGTGATTCTTGAGAAGAAGTTGAAAATGTGAAAACTTTATAGATGGAAGAACATGATGGATGGACAAGAAACAACAGGTGGTTAGAAAAGCACACTTAAGCTTTCAACTCAGTTGAGCTTAAAATGAGTCAATCATCACAAAAGTACAGTCACTGCGAACCTTAAGGTAAATCTAGGTTTAAGTTGGCAAAATCGCTAGGACTTTTATATATATATATAACTATATAAACACTATATGTACTAATTCATACCTGATAAATTGTCTCTATGAGACAGTTCTCTTTTATTCCCTGCATCTGTTCTGATATAATTGTAGTAATACTCATCAACTGGATTATTATAGTCATTGTTAATTAGGACACAGTAGCAGTATGTTAATCCCAAGTCACGTAGAACACTTCTTGGAACTATCACCTTTGATGATATTGCATAATGTCCATCAACAGTACTGAAAAATATCAAAATAAGAAGTAATTTAATGTGCAGTAAATTCATTCAAATTAAACTAATTCGCATTAAACTCTTCTTGTGAATGCTATTCAGATTTAATTTGCAGTAACTTATGTTTAATTCGAATTAAACTCTCCATGTGAACAGGGCATTAAATTCTATCCATCTTCCCTAGGCAAGGGTTTCGGATAAGCTACTCTCCTCTTAAACCCTTGGCGTACGGTGAAGTCAAAAATCAGGATTGTTTTTTTCACATGATCTCTAATCAATCAGGTACGCACAGATTGTGTCATCGACAGAAATAAAGATGCCTGTTTAAAAAAATTAAATCAATTTTTTTTTTCAATAATATTTAAGAAGCAATAATTGAGTTATGTTTATTTATCAATTATAGTGCAAATTGGAAGCTTCAATATTCTCAAGATTCTCAATCACATATATAGAAGATAGTGTATGACACCATACCTATTCATAGAATCGCATGTTATCTTACTAATAGTTGTTTACTTGTGTTTTTCATTTCCGAGATTAAAGAGTCAAGAAATATCCAGAGCGCAAATATCGTCATTTACAAAAAAAATAATAGCTGATTGGTCGACAGATCGAGAGAAAAAACCCTAACTTCTATGAACACCTTATGCGAAGGGTTCATGAGGAGATCTAGAGTAGCATATCAGAAACCCTTGGCTAGCGAAAATGACTTCTATCATCTTTTTAAATTTTTCTATGCCGGCCGGACGTACCTGTACACATCGAAAGAGCTACATGTTCTTTGATAATGTGTATTTTCAAATTGATAGAATTAACCATTTAACAGGTCGAGGAAACTACCTTATATGGATATTGTTGCGATTGCGCACAGAGGTGCTCACAGCAAACAACAGTCCAATCCAGTGAATGAGCCGAAAAGCATGATGGTCTACTACCGTACATGTTTATTTTTACTACAAACACGTGGGTCAGGGAATTTAGGACGCGATTTCAAATGACTGCAGGAAAGTCAGCTAACATTTTTTTGAAATGTGTTTATGAAAAATACAAAGATTAGGTACTAATTAAGATTCTTCATGCTCACATTAACAAGCAAAGTCAGTTTTCCTTGTTAAATTGTACTTTGAAATACCGCTCACAAAGTCTTCACAGGTAAATAAGATTCGAGTTGTTTAACTCTATATTCGTTGATTTGCCATGACTGGTTAAATTAGTTGTTGCTCAATTATTTGTTACTAGAAATTAAAAGTATCAATTTATAAACAAAGAAAAAAACACACAAAAACACTTAAGTTGCACTTTTTTAATTTACCTGTCATATAAACCCATTTGCATATTGATCATAGAACGTAACTAGCATGTATTTCAAAGTTGTATACGTTGTAAACAATGTCAATACGTGAGCACACCTTAGAGTTTGTTTCAGAAATGAATTTAATTTTTGAAGATTCATGAGATATGAACTAAGACGCTTCACGCCGGCATATTTCATGAAGCGCGTTAGCGCTTCATGATAAATATGCCGGCGTGAAGCGTTGAAGTTCATATACCTCATGAATATTCAAAAAATTAAATTCATTTCTTATATTTACATTATTTTTTCTGATAAATTGCCATAAATTTACGCCGTTCAACTGTCATCTTTTAAAACAAAACAGTGTGCACTATATTTTTTTACTTTTTGACGGTGAGAGTGGTATTATGACGTAACAATGGAGATATTCATGCTTATTTGTGATATACCTAATGTAGTTCATGAAAAAATATACTGCATTTTATTTTGTAAAGAATCATAGTGGAAATTTATTGGAAATGTAAATATTTGTTTTTGAACCAAGGAATAGTCACGTGAAATTGACTTTTCACTGAAAGAAGAACAGCACGGGGGGAAACTGTCAACAAACGGATTTGTACAATGGAGTGGAGAAAACCCTAATTTTAATCATTGTAAATCATTTGTATATAAATGTGAGCATGGAATTAGTAGATAATGATGTTCATAGCATATAAAGTGTGTAAAATGCTTGGAAAAATGCATCACGTTTTTCCGAGAGTGATTTAAAATATTGGCTTTTTTAAAACACACGTGTGGTATTTTTGTAGTAGCCCATAATGCAACTCATTGAGCTGATTGGTCAATTTGTCAGTCACGTTGGTTCCCCACTTAACATGTAAATTTATTCCGACATCACAGAAAATAGTTTCCTCGACCTGTTTAATCTGTCGGAACTTCTTGCAGTTAACCAATTAGCAATTTTGCATTTGATTGCCATCCCTAGTAATTACACTAAAAATCTTACTGTGTCCATGATGTTGACCAAAAACTATTCATTCCTCCTAACTCAACTGCACTGAATCTCAAGCAAACTCGACTATTTGATAGATTGACAAGAAATTTAGGTGATGCAATGGCACAAAAATTTATTTCCACACTTTCAGTTTTGCTTCTTGTCATCATAACATTTCTACAAAATAATAGAGTTTAATTATAATTTAACAATATGAGATAACCATATAATATAATTATGATGCTAAGGATATTCTTGAACAACGTAACTGTGAGAAAATACACAAATACCCTGTTGTTGCAGCATCTGCATAAGATCTTCCACTGAATGCTGTAGACAAATTCTGGTTCTACAAAATATCAACAGGCTAATGAGTGTCATGAACTGCATTCCATGCACCCATATGTACCAGTATTAAGAATTCATATTATACTGTCATGTTAATTAGTTGAATCTGATTGGTCGAGAAACATTTGTTAAAAACACTATTACCCGCTATAATGAAGCCATGCCCTCCAGAGTAGCAACAGTCAACAATGCTTGACGACCGGTGATATTCCAAAAAATAGCGACTGCACAGAATTTATGCACGCACGGTTCACTGTTATATGTATTCGTATAAAACATTAAGTATAATATGATAAATATTGTATGTATAGTTGAGTGTAACATTGAAAATTTTCACCCCTCGAAAACCATTGTCAACCTCGGCTGCCCCTCGGTTGACAATGGTTTTCTTGGGGTGAAAATTTTCAATGTTACAATCAACTTCATGCAATACATATATATTTCTGTGTAAGTATAATTTTATAAATTCTTTTAAACAAGTAGTTTGTTCTTGGTGATAAGATTTTTTTATCTCTCATGTAAAACTAAATTAGGCCCTTGCAAGTTTTTTCAAAGTTTTACATCCGTGTGGGCTTTAGTTTCTGAGACCCTATACCAGGAGGAAAAAAAATCAGAAGTCCAGAGACTGATTTATTTAGTAAACATCTTACTTAGAATTTTGTTAATTTCAAAAAAAAATTTGTGTCAAACTTTTCAAGAAGATGTATTTTTAGCTTTCAGATATACAGATTTATGTCATTAAATCATTTGAATGGCATTATTTTTATGAATTAAGTCTGTTTATTTTTTGACTTGAATGTACAGTATGTTTTTGTGAATAGTTAGGTAGGTTTTTGAAAGATGAAACACAGAGAAAAATTGTGGAATGGCCTAATGTCTAAATCCTTTGCCAGGGGTACATACCTTGAATAAATAAAAACATATGCCAAAGGTATATTATCCTGATTATATACTAGACTTAATTACTTTGACTAAATGGGGCTCTGATGATTAGGAAAAGAATGCAATTTTCCTTTTTAACATAATTACGAGGGCCGTTCAAAAATTACGCGGACTGTGCTATTTTTTACTCTTACAGACGTCATATAGTTATAAAATTTCACAGAAATATGTATCTTAAAGATTCCAATAAATTTTGGGCAAAATTTCTGTATTTTAAAAAAATTATACTAAAATTATCGGAATGTTGATATCGTTGATGGAGAGGTACGGCGCACGACAAAAAAATCGAAGCACAAGCATGCAGATTCAAAAATTTAATTCATTGATTTCTAAAATTCGCGATATTTTTCAACCATTTTCTCAAACATACCTTTAAATTGTTATATTATTATGTATTTAGATTTTGGACGTAATATTTGAAGTACTAACAGAAATATAGTGATTTTTCTCTGATGCGATTCCCCTGAAAACGATTGTGAAAATGACGTCTCCTGAATTGACGGCGCACCACACTTTTGTTGAAATATGTGTAATGCTCGAGATATCGGCAACATAGATCCAAAATATGCATAATTAAACATGTAGTAAACTAGGCTGCTCGTGACATTCGCCCACAAATAGCAAATTGAAATTTTAGACAGTTAGACCTCTGTAAAAAGGCTATACGGGAGGACAGGAAGAAGATTATAGACGAAAAGTTAACTTTATCCGGACTGTTAAGAACGTGATTGAGAGTCACCAATATCACACTATATCTCATAAGTAGTTTTTGGTTTTAAAACAAAAAAGGAATATTCTTTACATGTATTTGTTTAATAGATTTTAAGCTTGACAAGAAATGGTGTTTTGATGTTGAGTAGATAAGGTAACTCAAACTATACAGGTATTCAAGGGAAAATGTTGAGAAATGAAAGCTCAATCACATATTTTGTATAATGCTTGTGACGTCGAAGAATTTGCTGCGCCGTGACTTAATGGTATGTCCTGAAAAATCACCCAAAATGAATACCAATTTACAACATTTTGATATGAAATTTTGAAGACCATATAAGTAAAGATTCTTTTATATTATTTGTGAAATTTTGCCCGATTATGTTGTCAAATATTTCTTCTGTGCAACAAGTCCGCGTAATTTTTGAATGACCCTCGTATATTTCCATTCTTTAGTGATCCAAAATGAGTCCTTAAAAAATGTTAAAGACATGATTTCGGGAAATAAATTCCCCTTTATTTTATAAACTTTTTAAGAAATTATTTATTTTATTTTTGTTTGCCCCATGATTTTTGAGATGATGATTTGTTTGCTGACTTAAACATACTTTTCCTTTAATTTATTATCCCCCCCCCACCCCCGATTTTCATATGGGGCATGACCCTCCTTTTAAGTTTTAATTTAAAAAGAATACCATCACCCATGGATGTTTTTTGCAAAGTTTGGAATACCATCACCCATGGATGTTTTTTGCAAAGTTTGGATCAAATTGGCTGAATGATTCCTGTGGTTCAAAAAGATGAAAATGTGAATGTTTTATCTACGGACAAACAAACAAGAGGTCTATGAGCCAATGCTTACTAGAAATGCCCCTTCTCTTATGTGAATGATACACTATCATGTTAATATACACAAGTTCAGTTACTGTTAGTTGCATGGATTTAAATATGAAGATGACATCAGGTTCATACAGAAATTATTCCCTTCATAGGGTATGCCTCGATCAGCAAAAATATACTTAAATTTCAAATATCTGCAATTAATAGTTGCTGAGAAAACTGTCAGTGACAAAAATTTATTATGTTTGGTGCAGAAAGACACACGGATGGACAGGAGATAACATCAGACTTCAACAAAAATCCATCCTATAATATGGTATGCCTAAGTATTAATGTGCTAAAATTTCAAGCTTATGTGATGGGTAGTTGCTGAGAAAACTGCAACCAAAAAGGAGTATATATGATAAGAGCCAATTTAGGCCCCCGAAAAATCAACATTTTAGAATGACATTCAAATATGTTTAATTGATATTTATTTTGTAAAAGAGATTATATTAGAAATATTTCCAATATATTTTCCACATTTATATGCACTCACTAGCTGTAAATGACATGAGAAATACTACTATTTTTGCAATCTAACAAAAAAGCCAAAAATATGCCTTTTTCTTGATGTTTTTTCTTATGGGAAACATAGAGCGCAGTGTAGAACATACGTAATTTTTCTGTCACTAATTAGTATTGGATAGATACATCTTTGGTAAAAATATAAATCTTGTTCTAAGCTGCGCTCCATATTTTCTGGAAGAAAAACTGCTTGAAAATAAGCAGTTTTATACAAAATATGCTAAAATGGCGGGAAAACGTTATTTTTATGATGTCACATTTCTAGAATAACGGCATTTTCATCAAAATGAAAATGACCAATAAAAGTCGCATATATAGCTGTTCAAATTAAAGCTATATATAAAGTACAATTAAGATATTCATTTTGAGGGGCCAATTGAGACACTTACCATATATCGCTCTTTGTTACAGACAGACACACGGATGGACGGACAGACAGACACACAAGGAAAAAACAGTATATCCCCCTTTTCTTCAGAGTGGGGGTATAATAAAGATCGAAACATAAACATACCTGAAAACCTTGATCAGAGGTCATTTGAGCCTCTAGTCAGTTTAACTAAAGGTTTTGTTTAAAAAAAAAAGCAATACAATATCATGAGAAGCTACCTGTACATTACTGTCTCCAATATTCATGGCAGGTGGATCAACACTTGTTCCATCTCCATACCCAGCTTGTCCCTGTGACAATGGGTCACATGATGATTCATTTTGTGAAGGAAAAGCCGTTGAGTTACTTCCAGTGGTTGTTGTGGACTGAGATACTGCTTTTGCAGGCTCTGATGATCCAGAAGAATCTCTTTTCCCAACATCTGAAGGTTTTTCTTGTGTAGGAATTTCATTGCTTTTTTCCATGGCCTCATTTACTTTTGGCGTCTTTTGAGTCAGACTGGAAGCTTCCTCTGGTACATAATCCTTTTCTTTGCTGCTTTTTGATTTTTCTTTCCTGGCCTTTTTCTTCATGTACTTCTCTCTACCTTTCTTTTTTGCTTTCTTCCTTCTCTTTGGCTGTGATCCCGCAACTTCTGATACGCTTTCTTTATCCGATACTCCTTCACTGCTGCTCTCTGTATCACTGTCTGATTCATCTTGACTTTCAGCCTCTTTTCTGTTTTCATTGTCTTGCTCAGTCTGCTGTTTGTTTTGCAAGCTATTCTGTTCATGGCTTTTGTTTTGAACACTGTCACTGAGCGTGCAGCCGTCCTTTAAATTTTTAGCATTTGCTGCACTTTCATCTATTTTTGCTTTGTCTTTGGGTGGACACCAAATATCAGATGATTTTTCCTCATCTCGGTCTTTCGCATTATCATCTGACTGTGATCTTGTGTGCGTTATATTTCCACTTTGGTTTGGTGTTGGAAATATTTGGCCGCCAGATGGAGGAGACTGTATATTTTTGTCCAACAGTTGATTCTTTTGACTTGCTTCACTGGATTCAAACTGAGAGTCATTCTTCAATTGCTGTGATTTATTCAAGTCAATTGTCACACAGTCTTCCATTCGGCCCCCTGATTCTATTATGTCTTTCTTTTCTAATTCTTCTGTCTTTCCAGGCTCAGTAAAAGGATTCTCTGTTTTGTCACTCAAATTTTCACTCTGTTGTGGATCATCAAGTTTTTCCTGGGATGTAACCATTTTCTTTTCAAGATTGTTATCACTCCATCCTGTGTGTTTGACAGTTGCATCTTTATTGGCATCCTTCAAAGAGAGATTTTTCATATCTTTATCCACGCTTTGAATAGCTGTTGAACTTCTTGAGACAGAACAGGATTTTTCTTCATCTTCAGTTCTCACTGGAAGAGTGTTTTTTGTCGGATCTTTATCAAGTGTAAGTAATGCATCACTTTGTGCCATTCCAGATTCAAGTAGATTCTGTTTGGTTGATGGCAAAGGATTTGAATTATTGGTATTTCTGTTAGAACCTGTGAAAAAATAATTATCATTAATAATTTAGAAAATTCATAACACAATGGCTAATGGTAATCGAATTGACAGAAAAACAAGCAGACAGACAGATAACATGGGTCTCCCCCACCTGGAATTTGCTGAATTGACACCCTATAAAATGCAGACCCCTCCTTGAAAAGGCAGACCTATGAAATAGGTATGAAAGTCGTAGGTCTGAAGCTAACACCAACCATCCCCACCCACCCCATCCCCCACTCCATCCATGCACCCCAAAATATATTTTTCATGTTTGGTTGAAAAGATGTTGTTTGATTGTTTTTTTAGTAGTTAAAAACTTTTCTCGGGTTTGCAAAAACTTTTTGGATTGGGGTGACCCCCTCCCCCCCCTCCCCCCCAGAAAAGCATTTCTGGATCCGGCCTGGATAAATAGAATTCAAATTCCCCAGGAATCTTTCATCTATTATTAAGTGGTTAAATGGGTAATAAAATTTTATGATATTTTAAAATCAACATTTGTATTTCTTACTATCTGTATTCTGTGTCCCAGAGCCTGGGGTTGTCCCGCACTCTGAGCAGAACATGATGTTGGGAGTCACAATGTTGTCACATGGTGCATTCCACTGCACATTTTTGCACCTGGTAGGAAACAAGCAGGATTTATCCTCCATCCACACTTATTGCAAAATCTCCTTCCTTCCTTGATTTCCTCCCCACAGGGTTCAGGGGTCCTGGCCCCATCCTGAATGGTACTGGGGCACGGGACTGACTTGGCTGTGGTATCCCTCGACACTTTCTGTCCACACTCGGGACAAAAATTGTCTTTGTCCTGAAGTGGATTATGGCACTTGACACAGTTCATGATGATTTCTTTTTCCCCTGCAAGTTAAGAAATTACTTTATAGAAAGAAAGGTTATTTAAGTGCCTCTTGTAAATTTTCTGTGTTAAGATGTAAGGGTGAAACGTTTACTGAATTTTGTAAACGTTTAAATGGATAGCAGTAAACGAAATGGTACCGTTTAAGGTAGGTCGCGGGTTTGCTTTCGTCATCAATTTTGGTACACAATTTCGACGATTCGAGCGGCTGTTTTGTGCACATTTGATTATGACGTTATTTACGTCACAAAGGCAACGTTGCGTTGTTTCCCGCTTAATTCTCTGCAAATGACTTTAAGTCTGTACGAATCAAGTAGATTAATACAACGTGCATGCTATTCTACGTAAACCTCGTACATGCTTTATATTAAATTTCAGTCTGAACTTTCATGTAATTACTAGTATATGTAATGCCCTAGGAAAAATTAAATACAATACTGAATGAAAGGAATAATTTATAATGTAAGTACTAGTATTACTAAACTGCTAAAAGTCAATCAGAATAAGTCAGCGTGAAAGTTATGGTTGCAGAAAGAGTTATCAAAACTTGAGGGGTTGTATAAATTTGCGCACGTTATTTGCAACTCGGGGAAACATGCGTATAGCATCATGACTGCTAATCAACGCTGGGGCGAAAATATACGTATAATTTTCAGGATGGAATCAATCTTCAACACTAAAAACGCATTAAATTTAATACATGCATTTTCCTCTTTTTTTCTTATCATCATCATCATTATTATTAAGTATTATTTGGTTATTATGTATCTAACTAATCTCATCTAGTCGCTTTGTTTTACTGGCTAATAAATTGTGAAATGCTTTCAAAATCCAAATTTATACAAACACCTGAACTGTAAGACCTATATGACACTGTGAACAATTTACAAGTATTTTTTTTCTATTATTAAAAGTTTTAAACAAAAGCTCTAGTCTAAGTGTAAAAGCTCAATTCAAGTATATGTATTTTACATTTTGTGCATGGAAATTTGATTTAGAGAATTCGAAATTAACAAATGTTCAAGAGTATGGCCCATATACTAGCTTGCGTCTAATATATATATAGAAAGGAAATTGCCCCCCCCCCCCGGCTAATTTCCCCAGTATCTGGAAGTTTTTTTTCTTTTACCGTTTTTTAATAAAGTTATCAAATTTAGGTGTTATGCCTGAAATCCTTTCCACCATGAATTTCCTAAAAATACAGGAACTTATATTTTATCACTCGCGGTATTGTCGATGCATGTTAATTCTCGTGCACGAGGAATGTTTATACCCTTCATTTCAACTCTGTGATTAGAATATGAATTTCACAATACTAGTGAAAATAAGTTGTTGGTCATCCTAATATATTTTCGAAATAAGTTAAATGAGGAATAAAATTAAATTTTGCGTTTATCAAAATATTTATATTCGTACGGTAAACATTACAACGTTCAACAAATGACGTTGTAGACATAAATAACGCTATAAACGTAACATTTCAGCAATATAAAAGGGAACTTTGAATTTTTTTAGCGAAAAATCTAGCGAGAAGACATATTGATTTTTTTATATCAATAGTTTTGATTTTACCTCATCTTCACATTTTGAAATTCCTGATTAATTCGTCTACGCCTTTAAAAAGTTGTCGAATCTTTTAAAAAGAAACTATTTTCACAAAATTGGCTTGAAAACGTCATTTTTCCATATATTTCAATAGTAAAGCGTAAAAAATGTACTAATGACAATACCGCGTTTATAGTAATATAGCATTAAAACTACGTAGGCAAATTTGATAAAAATTACAGATAATACGTAGTAAATTCTCAGGAACATTATATCAAATTTTCAGGATATGTTTTCTCGTAAGAATTTTTATGCAGTAAACCCGCGACCTACCTTAAACAGGAGATATTTTATGTTGGATTTTTATGACTACTTACTCATGAAACTCGAATTATTAATTCTTTCACTTTAATATAAATATGAGTTGTTATTACAATTTCATTGTTGGTCATTATAACGTAAGAACAATAAGTTCACTTTCTACATCGTCACCCAACTGCATTGGTTTGTTTGGCTACATACCAGACGTAGAAAAAGAATTGTAAAGATAGATCTTTTAATCTCGAAAAAAGTAAAACAAGACCTGCTGACTGTATTGAAACACTTTTCAAAGACTTGTGAAAAATGTTTTAATATTTATTTAATCAAAATATATATTTATATATTTCAAGTGTCATAAAACATCGCTAGTATTCGCAACTCGGAATAAAATATGTTAGACCGTATAGGGTTTTAGATATTTTTATTCAATATGTTTCCGGTATAGATTGTTGCTTATCATATGGTCAAAGACGATGTTTCTTTTGTAAATTATGAAATAAAACAATTTGTTTGTGTTAAAGTTTATTTCTGATAGACATTGATAATGACCTTCGTGTAAACGTTTACTCAATCTGTAAACATTTAGAGCATATAATCGAAACGTCCCTGTTTACACGTGTAATCGTTTCGCCCTTATTAAGATGGTTAAATTCAGTTTACATGGCTACAAGCAGTGTTACATCAGAGCTCCAGAAATCAAAAATTGGCAATGAACCAATCAAAAAAAGTTATATGTATACAGATTCAGTACAATCAGTTTATAAGAGCTACTTAGGTAGAATTACCTTCCATATCTTTATTTTATTTCCCTACCTCAAGGAGCTTTATTCAGCTATTTCAAATTCAAACTAATTAATGCGCTTAAACCGTATGTAACCATCCTACTAAACAGAGAATTCTAGAAAATCTATGAGAACTTTTGATTGGTAAATTCAAATGCATGCATGTTATATGTAATGTCTCAATAGAGTAATTTACTGTGTAATCACTAATTTTTGTGGGGGCCTAATTTTTGTGGTTTTCAAGTTTTGAAGAGACCCATGAATTTATGTCCACCATGAAATGCAATTTTTCACATATATTACTGCTGAACAATTCTTCAACCACGAAATCAAATTCCCATGAACCAATATATTTTCCTCAAACCACGAAAATTTGACCCCTCGAAAATATGTGATTTAATAGTATTTATTTTGTGACTGCTTGTATAATTACAGGAACTTTAAGGGATAATATAGAAATTACACATCAAGGTTCCTGTTATAATCAAAGAAGATGAGATACAAATTGGCTGAGGTGTGCCAAGTGATTATTTGAAGTACATTAAGTCTTTCTTTTTCTATATAAACAACCGAATTTTTTTCCTCTCTGGAAATGGACCCAGACCAACTTTAGCTTTCAGTTAGCTCTGTTCCGCCCGGCATGATTTTTTTGGGTCTCAGAAGCTGGGCTTGTAGCACAGGATTTGGAAAATCATAAGAATTAACTGTCATATTTTTGGGGTTAGTGACTATGATCAAGCGATTGACTTGCATGATAATATCGGCGTTATGCAAATTATCACACAAGCCACTTTCAATTGATCTCATCATGAACCAAAAAATTAGACAGCTATATTCCTCATTAAATTCGGCTTGTTTTTTTTTCATCCAATTTTTAAAATAAGTACAAAAGGAGATCCAAGTCAATTTATCAAAAAACAGTAGCTTTTTAGGGCTTCTCACCCTAGAAAATCTTTTTTTTTTCATTATACAAATTGTATGAACATGATGAATGTAGGCCTATAGAATTTTGCGATAATATATTTTTGACATAAAAGTTAATGGTGCTTGTTCTAGTTGTGTCTCGTTTCATTCGTTTAACTGTTTAAGAGTTTGTGAATGGCCACAGATCTGTTATTCAAAACGAAAGTAAGAATTTTTTTGTAAATATTATACGGTAACTGTTAAATGTAACAGACAGAACTGGAAACGAATTCAATTTAAATAAAAAGACATCTTTGTTTTGATAACAATAACACGCAGCCAAGGGCATATATTAAAATAAAATTAAACATAAAAACCCTTTCCCGGTCAGCTGTGGTAGTGGCTATAGGCCCTACTCATGTTTACAAAAAGTTGAAACATCATTATTTGGATTTCGGACCGTAAAATACAGCATCAGATAAATATAACCAGTTAATGCAAAATGGGAAAACTTACACTCTACATTTCAGTCAATCATTTTTTATGCCAGCAATGGCTTCATGGAAAATTTAGTTTTCCTTTCTCTTTTGTTTCTTGTTATGTCTGCATCAGTGGTTGCGTAATCACTAAATCAGTAAACGGTACATGTAGTCGTAATTAATCCGGAAAAGTCATTCAGAAAGCTGAATTATGTATCAGAAAGCCGAAAAAGCAAACTTTAGGCATATAAAGAAGAAAAAAAAACTCTAACTTGTCTTCGTTGAGCAAGTATAAATAAATTTTTTTATCATTAACAGCTGATTAAAACAATTACCAGTCTTGATTGAAAGTTATTCCTCTTACACCATTTGGCATACAAGTAAACTTATAGGCTTAGACTATGTACAGTACCACCTGACCACAGGGGCCCGTTTCATCAAAAGTCGTTTTAGCATAGTTAAGTCATTTTGGCTGACGCTTAGCCAACATGTACGTTTTAATAGATATTATAAAAAAAGGAGGGACCACATTTTAAACCATTATTATTTGTCACCCCATGCCAGGCCCGTAACAATGCGTAATTGAAGCATTACGGGGAGGGGGCGCAACCAAAGATTTTCAGTTTGTGGGCACTACCCAGCAGGCACGCAACGTTGTTTCAACGTTGAAAGGAGGTGGAATGTAGGTTGCAACGTTGATCAACTATATTTCAACGTTGTTTCAACGTTGAGGTTTCAACGTTGAATCCTCAACCTCTTTTCAACGTTGAAACAACGTTGAAGCTGCAACATATTTTCAACGTTGAATGTTCGTCGATATTTCAACGTTGAAACAACGTTGAGGCTGCAACATATTTTCAACGTTGAATGTTCGTCGATATTTCAACGTTGAAACAACGTTGAAGCTGTAACATTTTCTCAACGTTTGATGTTCGTTGATATTTCAACGTAGAAACAACGTTGAAGCTGCAACATATTTTCAACGTTGAATGCTCGTCAATATTCAACGTTAAAACAACGTTGAAGATTCAACATAATTTCAACGTTGAGTATTTTCTGATTATGTAGAGTTAAAACAAGGTTTAAAAATGCAACGTTGACCGTCTCTTGATTTCAACGTTGAAACAACGTGGAAGATGCAACATACATTATTTTCAACTTAAGGAAAGTTAGGAAAATTTAACGTTGAAACAACGGGTAACGAGTATTGAGCACTTTAGTTTTTAAGTTCAAAATATAAAGGTGTCTTTAACTTCTAATCCATGCGATTTTTCACAATATACACGCAGCTGTTTGCATTGTTAGAAAATATTATATATATAATAATCATACTTAATAAATTAAACGCATGCATTATAAATTAATTCACTCAAAAGAGTTGTGTCAATAGCTAGTACCGTTATAAAATTTTAAATATGAGTTTATATGAAGCATGCATCTACATTTAACACTTCATTATAATATTAATTATGTTTCAAAAAAGGTTATTTTTTTAAATCAAAAATTGTGAATGCTTTTTTTTTTTTTTTTTTTGATATATTTATAAAATATGTTAAATATAAGCTTAAAATAAATAAAAACATCTTTATCCAACATCTCACTGTAATTCCATGTTACTATAGAATTAATAAAAATAAAAATTAGACTCATATGGATCCGTGCCGTATACTCTTGCGCAGATTATACGTATACAGAGCGAATCTAAGAAGTCTTATTTTATTAAATTGTGCTTTTGTTGTGTGTATTAATTCTATAATCTTTCTTTTCACAAAATATAAAAAAAATTCAAATAACTTCATAAGAATTTTCACACTGACAATTATATATAACCCCGGTCAAGTTGCATTACTTAAGATCCACTCCCCGAAAACCTTCGAGATATCAGATAAGGAGTGCCTCTCGCTTAGTTGGTCAGTTTCAGTGTCAGGATAACCCTGTTATGCAATTTTCTTGCTGGGCAGAGTATAGCTGTTTGCAGCTTATCTAGGTCAAAATTTGAATTCAACCGATGGACAAGAAGTGCGCGTCTCCTTGTTGTTCATATTTAATGTGTTTTCAAGCTATATACACAAGGATTAAGGCTGGAATATCAACTTCTGCTCAGTAAGTATTATTTCCTTTTCATGAATTAAGAAATTAAATTAAACCTTAAGAAATTAAGGTTTTTATACGCCCGTCTTAAGACGGGACGTATTATGTTATAGGCTTCATGT